TGCTGGCCCTAAATTTTGTGTTTATTTTAACACATGCACAGCACATATATGTGTGTATGCATATGTGAGGGAGTTTCAAAAAGTTCATGGAAAACTTGATCATTTTTTTATACTTTGTGTCTGTATTTTTACATTTTAAAATTATTTTTATTTTTGATAATTTTTACATAGTTGATCAGGTTGATAAGGGCCAAGGGTTATAGGAAGGTGGGTGAGATCACCATTTGCACATTCTCTTTTTTTCCTTCCTGTATCTGGGGGAAGGAGGGAGATAAGGGGAGAAGCCACACACAGCCTCCCAACCATCCCAGGCTCCCTGATATGAGGCATACTCTGAGGGTCCTGCTCGAGAGGTTTCTATAGTTCAACAGTTCTGAATTACTGCCAATATCACCAAAAGTGAGATTTTCCATCTGCTGGAGTGTGTTGGGGAGAGTGCAGGGGAGTTAACTGATGGTGGACAATAGACATCCATGAGGTTAGGGAGGCAGAACAGCTAAGGGGTCCATGATCGACCATGATGCTACTCTCATAAAGCTCCAGGTCAGAAAGGCCTTCCAGCCTCAAGAAGTGATTAGATTCCATCCCCAGTATCCTGGCCTCAGATGCTGGGCAGGTACCCAGGGTCTACCCCAAGGCCCTGACCTGAATTACTGGCCCAGACTTCCCCTGTGGGCCATGTCTGTCTGAGCCAGCTCTGGGTCAGTGTGCCTATGCGCTTCAGGACTCTGAGCCAGAGGTCAGCCAGCTGACAGGTCAAACCAACTGCGGGCAGACGCAAGGCGGCCAAGTGTCGAGCGGGTTAGGTGCTCCATTAGGTTATGTCCATTGGTGTTGGAGTAGGAGGGCTTGCGCCAACCCTGACTCCTTCCTTGTAATCTGCCCTTGTCCATGGGCCTCCTCCTGTTGAGGGCTGGCCAATGACTCACAGCCCAGAAAGGCAGGGGAGCACACAGGCCAATGGTTCCCTCACAGGAATCTCTGGATTTGGCACCAGCAGGGAGGGCTCCTTTATGAGCTGTTTCTGTGATGTTGCAATTTGTACCAAAATGGAAAGCATGAACAAACAAGGTATGAGGCATGATGTCACTGGTGAGTGATCAGACACACTGAATGCCTGCTCTCCCAGGCAGGGCTGCGGCTCAGAGGCAGGCTGCTTGGTTCCACAGAAAGGAAGCTCAAGTGATGTCCACAGGCACTCTCTTGCTTGAAGGTGGGAGGGTTAGGGTTAGAACTCACTGCTGTCGGGGCCGGTCTTGTGTCCTGACAGCCACTGGGCTGACGGTGAGTCAGGATCTGCCTTGGGAGCAGCCCAAAGTACCAGATCTGGCGACACCATCCTCAGGGGGTGAGACACAGTGGGCCACTCGTGGCTGCTCGTTCAGCTGATGTGCAGCACAGTGGACTGGTGTTGAACAGTGCTGTCTTTCCTGCCCTTCTCTGCTCTAAACAGTCTGGGAAAGGGGACAAGCGGAAAAGACTCTTCTCAGGGAAAGTCCTCAGCACCCCAGAGCCCAGGGGCCCTGTCTCTCCAGCTCCCCTGCAGGCTCCTGGCAAAGCAGCAGTGGCTCCCTGTGGGAAACAGATCTCTTGTCCAAGCTTCTGCTTCCTCTGCTTCTCAAACCACCTCCTGACCCTGCAGAGCCTTCCCATCTTTACCTCCACTCAGGGCCCCGCTGGATTGGCCCATATGGGCATCCAGGGAGGTCCTGGCCAGCCCTCAGAAATGGTAGGATGGCCTTTCTTGTCGACAAGAAGGGCGAGCTTAATAAACCTGGTTTCTGGTGGAGCCATCAAGCTCAGGTCAGCTTTGCTCTGCTTTTGGCTCTTAATGACTGCTTACCTCCTTGCCAAGAGCCTAGTCATGCCAGTAGGACCCTAGGAGAGATGTTCTCTCACACCAGTAGAAGGCCAATCCTTCTGTGGGCAGCCAGCTAGGAAAATGCCTGAAGACCTCCTGAGCAACTGCTGCTAGTTCCAAGGCCAGGGCAGTCTGCCACAGGACTATTGGTGTGTGCCCAGCCCATTATCCTGCCACTTTCCAGTGTGCAGCCTCCATACCCCTAGCAAGAGGGTAGGGACCTGGCAGCAGCAAGAGAAAGGAAGGGTTGGGTCCCCTCCTGCATATTTTTGGAGACCTGAGCAGTGATAAGAGAGGGCATTTATGCTGGTTTAGAACCTCCTCAGCCTGTGTCCTGCCTGGGAAGGGCTGGGTCAGGGTGTGGTCCAGGCTCCTCACTGTTGAAGAAGCTGGATGGAAATAGCCTGCCCATCTGGGCGATGAGTCACGGAAGGCATTTCTTTTTTGAAGAGGTTCTATTTTAGGTGAGGCGCCTGTGACAGCCTGGGAGATGAGGGCTGCCAGGAGGAATGTTCTAGTGATGAGGTTAGGAGTTAGAGCACATGCTTTTGTTCAGTCCTGTCCACAGCCCCAGGGAGGGTCCCTCCAGTCCCAGGAAATGGAAACTTATTTCCCAGACTCCCCCTTCTCAGTCTCAGCTCAGGCTATAGCAACTATAGTGCAGCCCGGGGCCCTGTGACAAAGAACAGGGCTGGAGGCCCAAAGGTCCTCAAAAGGTCCTTCTGCCCCCACAGTGAGCCTGGATCATTTTCTGGTAGTGAATGGCCCTTCAAGGGGATTCACAGCCCCTGACAGGGCAACACCAGGGCCGCAGGCCTCAGCTCTGGCTGTAGGGGAAGAACCTCCTCATCACAAGACCTGCTGTGGTGGCTTCAACCTGGAGGAAGTAGTGTCTGTATCACTGCATCATCAGGACGTGTCTCCCAGGCAAGCCTCTCTGGGGTGAGGCCTGCTGCCCACCATACACCACTTGGAACTCCCAAGGAATACCCTGTCCACAAGAGATCCCAGGCTCTGCAGGACACAAGGGACTCCTGGTGAGCTAATTAGTACATACTTTGGGATGAAGTAAGCATTTGGAGGAAAATGAGCTGCGTAAGGGCAAGGGGAGAGATGGTCACAGTGTGGTCCATGAAGGCGCTTAGGAGAGAGGTGATATCTACACAATAAAGCAAGCCAAGGGAGAGAGGGAATATGAGTACAACAGCCCTGGTGCAAATTTTAGCTCAGAGCTCCACTTGACCCATCAGGAGGCCCTGTGTGTCTGGGCTGAAAAAACCAAGGAGAGAGGAAAGAGACCAATGGGAGGGGAAGGCTGGGTGGCTCCTGGGGCTGTGGTCACTCCTTCTTTCTGTCACCCTACCTTTCAAGTAAAAATAAATAAATCTTCAAACATAATGCAATTATAAGTAATATGCTATAATTTATATGTGAGTTGTTAGAGGAAAAAAAATATGTATTGGCTCATGTAATTAGAAAAGGGTAGACTAAGACATAATTTTATCCATAGAATCAAATGATCTTCTTGGCTGCACTTCCAGCTGTTGATTGAGTTCCTTCTTAGCATCTCTCCGCATGTTCAAAAAGACGGCTGCTGGTCATCTTTCTGTCTAGAAATCCAAGAAATAAAAGGCCTCCTCTTCTTGCTGCAGCAAGGCTTGGCAGGCTCTTGTTGGCCCTATGGGTAAGGTCCCATTCCCATCCCTGCACAGGGCTGATGGCAGAGGAAAACAACATGTTTACCAGTGAATGGCTGCACGTGTCTTATTTGTTCTGGAAACAAAAATTATCCAATCTTCTGTAAAATATATATATTCCTTTAGAGGGTACAAGGCTTATTTCACTCTGCTTACACCAGCCACTTCGATCACATTATTCTGTTCTACATTCTGTGATTTTTTGGTTCATATATTGTCTTTTCAGCTGGAGTCTCGGCTTCTCCAGGATAGAACCTGTGGTTTCATTTTATCTTCTGTGCCTCCTTCTTCCACCTGTTTATCTTTACCTACTCATTCTGCAATGTTTATTGGCTACTTAACTGTATGCCAGGCATTGCTCTAGGCCCAGGCCTTGCTACCTGGTTTACATTTTTTGAAGAATGCTCTTGGGCCAGTGTTGTGGCTCTGAAGGCTAGTAAGACCCTGCTTGAGATGTGCATATATCCTGTATCAAAGTACCAGTTTGAGTCCTAGCTACTCCATACTTTGGATATAATTCCTTGATAGGGCACATCCCAGGCCCAAGTACTTGTATGTCTGTGCCCTATGCAGGAAACCTAGATGGCATACAGTTTCCATCTGGTCCAGCTCTGACAATTGCAGGCATGTGGGATAGAACCATTTGGGAATAGAGGGTCTCACCTCCTCTCTCTCTCTCTCACTCTCTCGCTCTCTCTGTTTCTTTTTTCTTTTTTTAAGTATCTGCTTATTTTTATTGGAAAGGCAGATCACATTTACAGAGAGGAGAGACAGAGAGAAAGATCTTCCACCCACTGGTTCACTCTCCAAGTGGCTCACAACAGCCAGAGCTGAGCAGATCTAAAGTTAGCTTCCTCCAGGTCTCCCACGTGGGTGAAGGGTCCCAAGTCTTTAGGCCATCCTCCACTGCTTTCCCAGGCTACAAGCATGGAGCTGAAAGGGAAGTGGTACTCAAACCAGTGCCTGTTTGGGATCCCAACACTTACACGGTGAGAATTTAGCCACTGAGCCATTGTGCTGAGCCCTCATTGTGTTTCAAGTAAAAAATTAATACATCTTTAAAACTAAAAATGGCCAGAATGGGAAAGGGTCAGGAGCCTACTTAGGCCATCCAGCCTAGAAGTCAGTAGTGTGGACTGGAGAGCGGGAATCACATGTCCAGGTCTTGGGTGACCCCGCTGGGTAGGGAGGATTCTCAACAGGTGGGTCCAGCAGGTAGCAGGCTGCGTGATGGGGGTGGTTAAGGAGTATAGGACCACCTGTGCTCTGGCCCAGGTGCCATCTGCCCCACCCCATGGCATCCTAAAAAAACCCCTGAGCAGGGGGCTTGGTACTTCTGCCTGAGCCAGAAACCAACCCTAGCTACTGTGGGGCCTGTACTATCCTGGACCATGAGCACCACCTGGCATGGCCACCTTGCTAACTGATGCTTCTCTCCTTAGGTGAAAGAATGGCTCTGTCTGAACTGTCAAATGCAGAGGGCTCTGGGAATGGACATGACCACTGCGCCTCGTTCCAAAAGCCAGCAGCAGCTGCACTCCCCAGCCTTGTCTCCTGCCCACTCCCCAGCCAAACAGCCCCTGGGGAAGCCAGAACAAGAGAGATCTCGGGGCCCAGGGGGACCACAGCCTGGATCCCGCCAGGCTGAGACAGCCAGGGCCACCTCAGTGCCGGGACATGCCCCAGCAGCTGCCCCTCCAGAGATGGGGAGAGCATCTCCTCAGCCCTCCCTCCCCACCAAGCCTTCCACCGCTGAGCCCAGGCCACCTCCAGGAGAGGCCTCAGCAAAAAGTGCCACCACAGCGCCCTCTGGGGCTGGCGCTGCCGAGCCGACTCAAGAGGGCCTCACTGGGAAGCTCTTTGGCCTTGGTGCTTCACTGCTAACCCAGGCAAGCACCCTCATGTCTGTGCAGCCTGAGGCTGAGCCCCAGGGCCAGCCTGCCCCCAGTAAGGGTCCACCCAAGATCGTCTTCAGCGATGCCAGCAAGGAGACTGGTCCAAGACCTCCAGGCTCAGGACCTGGGCCTGGACCAGCACCTGCAGCCAAAACTGAGCCTGGGGCTAGGACAGGCCCTGGGTCAGGGCCTGGAGCCTTGGCAAAAACTGAAGGAACAACTAGTCCAAAACATGGCAGAGCAGAACACCAGGCAGCATCCAAGGCTGCTGCCAAGCCAAAGACCACGCCGAAGGAAAGGGCTACCTGCCCACTGTGCCAAGCGGAGCTCAACATGGGCAGCAAGGGCCCAGCCAACTATAACACCTGCACCACCTGCAAGCTCCAGGTGTGCAACCTGTGTGGCTTCAACCCAACACCCCACCTGGTGGAGGTAAGAGCTGGACCAAGCATGTATCCCCAAATTGGTGAGAGGCTAGAGCCTAGAGTGTGGGGGTGACACAGGAACCGAAAAGGGCTGTCAAGTGCTGGGTCTGCAGCAGGCACGAGACTGCTCCTAACAGACAGTGTACAAGGGTGCTGGGGCTCCTCTCTGTCCATGCCTCACACACACCAGTCTTTCTACTCGGAGATCTGAGTCTATGGTGGGTGGGAATAGAGGTGCCCACTGTCTTTGACTGGACAGTGCCCTGGGTCTGCTCCCAGATGTAGATGGATTCAGGAAGCCCTGAGCTGACCCTCCCATTTCCAGCTGCTGTGGCCGCTTGTGGAGGTGCTCAGGAGTACTCCTCTTCCCTAAGGCAGGTTTGAGGGAGAGCTGGGCTGGCACAGTTCTTTCTGCCTCTCTTTGCAGAGTCAGGTGGAAGGAAGCGGAGGCACAGCATCAGCCTTCTGTTTGCTTGAGGTTTGGGTCCAGTCAGGGAGGCTTGAAATGTAGAGGTGCCCTGGCACAGCTGTACTCCCCTAAACTCCTTACTTACTCTCTCATACCCAAGATCACTCCGTGGCTACTGGGCATAGCCAGGGGTGTCTTGCCCTTAGAGTGCTCCTGGGGGCTGGAACTGACTCTTCCTGGTGTAGTTAGGTGGGTTTCTCGCCTGTGTCACATTAGGAGATGGTCAGGCCAAGACCCCTACCTCCTGCACTTATGCAGCTACTTGAGCCCTGTGGGCTTGTGGGCTGAGCCATGCATGGTGGCGCAGGGGTGTGTGGCACATAAATCACCGCTGGCCCAAAATGGAACAAGAGAGGAGAGCATGATGTCATCATGGTCTCCTCACTACACTGTTCTCATTTTCCTTGGGGTAGACCTTCATGGAGCCACTCAGTGTGACTAGGAATTTGCCTTTGACCACTACAGGGTGTCTTTTCTTTTCTCTTTTTAAGATTTATTTATTTTTATTGGAAAGGCAGATGTACAGAGATAAGGAGAGACAGAGAGGAAGGTCTTCCATCTGATGGTTCACTCCCCAAGTGGCTGCAACAGCTGGAGCTGAGCCAATCCAAAGCCAGGAAGCAGGAGCTCTTCTGGGTCTCCCACGCAGGGTGCAGGTCCCAAGGCTGTGGGCCATCGTCTACTGCTTTCCCAGGCCACAAGCAGGGAGCTGGATGGGAATCAGGGCTGCCGGGATTAGAACCGGCGTCCATATGGGATCCCAGCGCGTTCAAGGCGAGGACTTTAACCACTACTCTATCACACCGGACCCTACAGTAGGGTGTATTTTCCAACATGTATGGCATTATCACTGAGTAAGACAAGGGATTCCTGTGTGACATCCATGTGGCCCTCCAGTTCCATCCACACTGTCACTTTAGTAAGTTCTAGGCCCAGTGACTCATGGGAGGAAAGCTTGCCTGGCTATCTGGGCAGTGGGGGTATGCACTAATCCAGGTCACCTCAGGGCCATGGAACCCCCCAACTGGCTCTTCTACTCAGAGACTTCCAGGCACAAGTTCACCACTGGTTGAGTGGGGTGCCTTGACCTTGAGGGACCAGGAGGCCCAGTGGATTCCTGGGCTGGCCTGGATGGGAAGATTCTTGTCCCTGAGAGACCGCTCAGCCTACATTTCCTCACTGAGCAAAATATGCAGAGATCTGTCTCTGTCCAGGAGTGTAAGTGTTCCCGACAGCTCGCTGTGGCAGCCCCAGGCCAGGCCTGGCAGTGCTGAATTAGGCCAAACACAAGCAGCTCTGTCACATGCTGCCTCCAGATGATGCGTCTGGGTTCTGCTCCAAGCCTGTCATTAGCTGCTTGATTCTGGCTTTCCTGGGTCCTATAGCTTCTGCCTCTCCATGGACTGCATCCACTTGGCAGCCCCCACCATCAGGAGCCTGTGGCTGGCTTCTCCTCTCCACCCTGGGGCCACAGCCCTCGTCCTCCCTGACACAGTGAGCAAAACTTTCTCCTGGCTTCATGTTGCAGGGTTGGTGGGGTTAGGCTGGTATTCACTGTGTCCTGACCCCAGCTTCACTCTTCCTCACTGAGCCCTTGAGCAGGTCATGGCCATCTTTGATAGCCCTTCAGTGATTTGCCACTTTGTGCTTCCCCTGTCCTTAGCTAGAAGCTTCTGGTTTCTAATGACCACCTCTTCCCTGCCTTGGCCAAAGCCAGAGTGTGAGGCTCAGAGTGACTGCCGAGTCTCTGTGCACAGCACAGGCAGGCTGGTAGCCCAAGGCAGGGACATACCAGAAGAGCCACCCTACTCCCCTCACAGTCCTATGGGACTTGTCTCCCAGAGCTTCCCCTGAGGGCAGAGCTGACTGTTCAGACCAGTGGTTGGAATGTCCCTCAACGTCTCTGAGAACCTTTTTCTTCCTCCCCAGACAGGGAGCCCACAGTGTGTAACATAGGTGGCAACACAACCGGAGCCTGTTCCCTTTGAAAGTAACCATAATGCTATTTAGTGAGTCATTTCATAATTAAGACTTGTTGATTCCAATTTTTTTTTAACATTTATCTTTTTGAAGGATAATAGTATCCTCTGGCTTAATTTTTAATTAGCTTTCAGTTCAAAGTAGAGCTTGTAAAGAAATTAGTGCAATTGGATCTGTTACAATAACACTGCCAGTTTCTTATTTTATTTTTTATTTATTCTAATGTGCAGTAATTCTACCTTTGAGAAGTCAGGCCTCCCTAGGTACCTGTGTACCTGGTGCCTGTGATACAGGGGCTGAAATGGATTTTTCAGAGCAAGTGCTGGGATAGGGCATCGGACAAGAGGCCAGCAGCTGTCGGTGCTCCTGATCTGCTACAGGGGTGCGCAATCTCAGGGTACCCCGGCTCCTCCCTACAGAATGGGAACAGGGCTCATCCCACATAAGCTTCTGTGGGAGCTAGGTGAGGTACTTACGCCCTGAGACCATGGACCCATGCAACAGACACAGCAGGGAGTCTGCCCAACATCCTGCCCAGCCCCCAGGGCTATACTGGCCCACAAGGCATGCTGGCCAGTGGACCCAGGAAGCAGCAGGTCTCTAACACCTGTTGGCTGCTCTCTGATTTCACAGTCAGTTCACTTCCTAAATAACGATACCCTGGACCACAGAGCTCCATCTGGTGGTGTGCACCGCTGTCTGTCCCACCTTCAGGTGCTGATTGTTCTTGGGGAATGCTGCCTTCCTGCCCCTGAAAAGGAACCAATTTGAGGGCAGCAAGGCAAAAGTGGCCATCAGAGCCCCTCCAAAGACTCTCCCTGCCCAGTTGTGAAAGGGGCCAAGCAAAAGGCAGTTTTCCCAGGGCTGGGGACAGCTGAGGCTGAGTGAGTGGGAGTGTGACAGAGTGTGATGTGGAATAGCTTCTGCCCTGGAGAGCTGAGTGCACAAACAAGGGAATGCATAGCGGGGCTTGGGTGGGGAGTGCACTGGGGTGTAGATAAAAGCAGAGTGAATCAAGGCACTAGGACCTCAGCGACTGGACAGGCATTCCACTTGGGCTGCCTGTCACCATCCCGTGCCCCAGAAGCCCCAAGCCTGGGCCAGGTCTCCCCTTGCTGGCCCAGATACCATGTATGTTCCCCTGACTTCCAGGAGCCAAGTCAAGTGTTTATTTTTAGCTTATTTCCCACCTCCTTCTCACTGCCCTCCCTTCCCTGCTGCCTTTTATAGCAGAGCCAGGCGCAAGGAGGCTGGCTGGGCCACTCCTTCTGCAGGCCGGCTGTCTCCATGAATAAGGGTGTGAGGGAGCAAGTGACTGCAGCAACATGCTGTACTGTGGCCTGGGCCTCTTCAGGGCTGGCTCTGAGCTTGTGGCATTGAGTCTGCCTTCTCCAACCAGACCACCCTGCAAGGTGCCCTTGCTTTATTTTGATTATTGCTTCTGGGAGGGGGTTTGCAGGTCAAAGATGGGGGTCACAGATTTACTGAGCAGTGGTAACATCTTCAAGAGGCCCAATCTAGGATAACTGTGTCCAGGGACCTAAAGAGGAGTCAGGGCAGCACTGCCTCGGCCTCGCCCCCAGTGTGGCCCAGCTTCCCACCCTATGAAGCTGATGCTGAGGCTTGGAAATGGCTGTTGCTCATCTCCAGAACTCTTTTTTTTTTTAAAGATTTATTTATTTTTATTGGAAAGGCAGATATAGAGGAGGAGAGACAGAGAGGAAGATCTTCCGTCCGATGATTTACTACCCAAGTGACTGCAACGGCCAGTGCAGTGCCAATCCAAAGCCGGGAACCAGGAACCTCTTCTGGGTCTCCCTCGTGGGTGCAGCATCTGAAGACTTTGGGCCATCGTCTACTGCTTTCCCAGGCCACAAGCAGGGAGCTGGATGGGAAGCAGGGCTGCTGGGATTAGAACCAGCGCCCATATGGGATTTCAGCACATGCAAGGTGAGGACTTTAGCCACTAGGCTACTGCACTGGGCCTGATCCTGTGATTCTTATAATGGCCCATCCCTTTGACAAGGCTGCTGGCAAGAGCCTGAGAGTCCAGAGACCCAGAAGGAACAGCAGTGGGAAGGAAAGGGTACCAAGACTGTGTCCCCACAGGGTAAGCCCAGGCACAGGTGTCAATGAGGCCCTGCTCTGGACTGCACTAATCCTCACTCCTCATCCCCTTCCTGGGCCAGAGCAGGGCACATCCTCACATCCTCTTTCTAACTGAGGCTCCCAGGAAACCTGCCCCCATCAGCCTGAGACCTGCAGGAATCACTCCCACGGGACTCAGGGCTGCCCACATAGGCAGCCAGGGCTGAGGCACTTAGACCTGACTTGTGGGATTCTAGTGGTCTGACCTGTGGTCTTCAGTAGGGATTGATACTTAGATCGGATCTGAAGCAGGGTGGTCAGCACTAACAGTATTGGATTAAGCACCCAAATATTAATCCTTGCCCAGCTCTGAAAGCAGCAGAGCCCCTGGCCAAGGGTAACCTGCCACACACCTTGCAGTCTGAGAAGCATTCCAGAACCCCAGGGGCAGGAGGCAGCTTCTGCCAAGGGTATTAATTAGCCTTGGCTAAGGAATGTGAGCGGAGAGGACTGCTCAGCCCTGCCCACAAGCAAAGTTTGCCCTGGACAGCATTCTTTGCCCAGCACAGCCTTTGCTTGGGCAATGGTATAGAGGAAGATGTCAGATCTGAGAGCTTGGAGGCTGGTGAAGGCCCTGCCATCCCTATTCTGCGCTGATCTCAGCAGCTGGACCCCATTGCCAGTCCCCAAAGAGTAGTTCACCTCCCTGAGGGTGCACCACAACTCCCTTTGTATTGCTTATGGCCTCCCGCCCCTGTGGTTATTCTCTTCTGGCCAGGTGCAGAGTTCTAGGGAAAGGGTGGATGTAAGGAAGGGACCCTTCTTATTCAGTTTGTTATTTTCATTTTGACCCTGTGTATGTCTGTCTTCAGGCTCCCTATTCCTTTTCTTCTTTAAGTTTCCAGAAGGACTCATGGAAATACTCTGAAGTACCTCAGTGTGTTTGTGATTTTCATCAACTCCCTCTTCCATTTGCTTACAGAAAACAGAGTGGCTCTGTCTGAACTGCCAAACTAAGCGGCTGCTCGAGGGCAGCCTGGGAGAGCCGACACCCATGCCGCTGTCCACCTCACCACAGCCCCCTGTGGGAGCCCCTCACCGTGCTGCTGGAGCATCCCCTCTGAAGCAGAAGGGGCCACAGGGGCCCACTCAACCATCTGGCCCTCTGCCTGCCAAGGCCAGCCCCCAGCCCACCAAGGCCAGCCCCCAGGCCAAGCCCCCCAGAGCTTCTGAACCCAGCAAGACCCCAAGCAGTGCCCAGGAAAAGAAGCCAGGAGCCCCAGCAAAAGCTACGACTGTGCCGAAGCCGCCACCAGAAGCAACCCTGCCCTCTGGGACGCCTAAAGTCAAGAGTGGGGTGAGGAGGAGTGAACCTGCCACCCACGTTACCAAGGCAGTTCCAGAAGCCCCCAAGGGTGGGGAAGCAGAGGTCAGTCCCTTCACTCCCATGAGCCCTAGCTCCCTGAGGGGATGGTCTCAGGAGAAGCTTGCCTCCCTGGGGGACCAGGGATGTCAGCTGGGTCAGGGCCTGAGGAGACATGGAGGAGGACAGGGATGTCCCAGCAGAGGGAAAGTGGAAATGAAGCCCTGGCAAGCCCGGAGGCTCTGAGTTGGAGAGTGGACCTGCATCTGGCACCTTGCTGGATGCCTTGTTGAGTTTTGACACCCTTTGTTCTAGTAAAGCTTCTCTTTGAATCTCTAGTGCTGCTTGAGGCTTGCCATGGAAGCTCTAAGTCATCTACGGACAGGGACATGGGCTGGGTGGTGGGCCCTAGACCCTTGGAAGATGGGGAGGCCCTTCCCCAGAGCCCTGGGATTGGCAGGGAGGGCTGGGCTCTACCACAAGCTGCCATGGGGAGTCAGTGTCTGCTCTTGCCCTGCTGCAGGAACCGGTGGGCAAGCCTTACTCTCAGGACCTGTCGCGGAGCCCACAGAGCCTCAGCGACACGGGCTATTCTTCTGACGGCATCTCCAGCTCCCAGAGCGAGATCACAGGTGTGGTGCAGCAGGAGGTGGAGCAGCTAGACAGTGCAGGAGTGACAGGGCCACGCCCGCCCAGTCCTGTGGAGCTCCACAAGGTCGGGAGCAGTGTACGTCCGCAGCTGGAGGCCCAGGGCCTGGCCCCTAGTGGCAGCGAGCGGAGCAAAGCCCCCAGCAGCAGCATCAGTGAGGAACAGAAGCAGCGGCCCCATTCCCTGTCCATCATGCCAGAGGCCTTCGACTCCGATGAGGAGCTGGAGGACATCCTGGAGGAGGAGGACTCCCTGCAGTGGCAACGCCAGAGGGAGCAACAGGACACAGCCGAGTCGTCTGACGACTTTGGCAGTCAGCTGAGGCATGACTACGTGGAGGACAGCAGTGAGGGCGGCCTGTCCCCAGTCCCACCCCAGCCCCCAGCCCAAGCAGCAGAACTGACTGATGAGGAGTTCATGCGGCGGCAGATCCTGGAGATGAGCGCCGAGGAAGACAACCTGGAGGACGATGATGACACTGCTGCTCCTGGGCACAGCCTGGCCAAGCACGGTGCCCAGAAGGGCAGCTCCAGGACCAGGCCTGAGTCTGGCCAAGAAGCAGCAGCACTGCCTAAGAGGCGCCTGCCCCACAATGCCACTACAGGTTATGAGGAGCTGCTCTCAGAGGGAGGCCCACCAGAGGACACCGAAGGCAGCGGGGCACTGCAGGGTGGGCTCCGACGCTTCAAGACCATTGAACTCAACAGCACGGGCAGCTATGGCCACGAGCTGGACCTGGGCCAAGGCCCTGACCCCAGCCTCGACCGAGAGCCTGAGCTAGAGATGGAAAGCCTGACAGGCTCACCGGAGGACCGCTCCCGTGGGGAACACTCCTCCACCCTGCCTGCCTCCACACCCAGCTACACGTCCGGCACTTCTCCCACTTCCCTGTCCTCACTCGAGGAGGACAGCGACAGCAGCCCCAGCCGCCGGCAAAGGCTAGAAGAAGCAAAACAACAGCGCAAGGCCCGGCACCGCTCTCACGGGCCCCTGCTGCCCACTATTGAGGACTCCTCGGAGGAAGAGGAGCTGCGGGAGGAAGAGGAACTGCTGCGAGAGCAGGAGAAGATGAGGGAGGTGGAACAGCAGCGCATCCGCAGCACAGCCCGCAAGACCCGGCGTGACAAGGAGGAGCTGCGGGCCCAGCGGCGGCGTGAGCGCTCCAAGACGCCACCCAGCAACCTGTCCCCAATTGAGGATGCTTCACCCACCGAAGAGCTGAGGCAAGCAGCTGAGATGGAGGAGCTGCACCGCTCCTCATGCTCCGAGTATTCACCCTCCCCCTCTCTGGATTCGGAGGCCGAGGCTCTGGACGGAGGCCCCTCCCGCCTGTACAAGTCCGGTAGTGAGTACAACCTGCCCACCTTCATGTCCCTCTACTCACCAACTGAGACCCCTGTGGGCAGTGCCACCACTCCCAGCACCGGACGGCCCCTCAAGAGTGCCGAGGAGGCCTACGAGGAGATGATGAGAAAAGCTGAGCTGTTGCAGCGGCAGCAGGGCCAGGGCATGGCAGCCAAGGGGCCTCATGGAGGCCCCTCGCAGACCCCGGGCCCTAGGGGCCAGGGCTCCTTTGAGTATCAGGACACCCCAGACCGCGATTATGGCAGGGCCACTCAGCCTGCCCCTGAGGGTTCACCAGCTGGCCTGGGCAAGGCTGTGTATGAGGAGATCCTCCAGACATCCCAGAGCATTGCGCGCATGCGACAGGCTTCCTCCAGAGACCTAGCCTTCGCTGAGGACAAGAGGAAGGAGAAGCAGTTCCTGAATGCTGAGAGCGCATACATAGACCCCATGAAGCAGAATGGTGGCCCACTGACGCCCGGCACCAGTCCCACCCAGCTTGCTGCCCCTGTGTCCTTCTCCACCTCCACTACCTCGGACAGTGGTGGAGGCCGAGTGATCCCTGATGTGCGTGTCACTCAGCATTTCGCGAAGGAGCCTCAAGACACCTTCAGGCTGCACAGTTCCTCTGCCTCCCCCAGTTCAGCCCCCAAGGAGGTAGGCATGTCTGTCTCCCAGGGCCCTGGGGCCCCAGCCACAACAGCAGCGGCTCCCTGCCCAGCTGGCCTGCCACGGGGATATATGACTCCGGCTTCTCCTGCTGGCTCTGAGCGTAGCCCTTCACCATCCTCTGCGGGCCACGCCTATGGCGCAAGCCCAAGCACTGCAAACTATGGGTCCCAAACTGAAGAACTGCCCCCAGCCCCTAGCGGCCCTGCTGCAAGTGGACGGGCTGCCAGAGAGAAGCCCCTAAGCGGGGCTGAGAGTGAAGGGGGTGCTCCACAGCCTTCCCGGGGATATTCCTACTTTGCGGGGTCCAGCCCACCCATCTCCCCATCTTCCCCCTCAGAGAGTCCCACATTCTCTCCTGGCAGGCTGGGCCACAGGGCCACAGCAGAGTTCTCTACACAGACGCCAAGCCCAGCACCAGCCTTGGACATGCCACGGAGCCCCAGTGCTCCCACTCCAACCCCTATGGTAGCCCAGGGCACTCAGACCCCACATAGATCCACCACGCCTCGTCTGGTGTGGCAGCAGTCCTCTCAGGAGGCACCCATTATGGTCATCACGCTGGCATCAGACGCCTCCAGCCAGACCAGGATGGTGCATGCCAGTGCCTCCACCTCCCCGCCGAGCTCACCTACAGACACCCAGTCCACCGCCCACAGTTACAGCCAGACTACACCTCCCAATGGGTCTCAATTGCCCCAAGAGCCACCTGGGCCCCCTGGCTTTCCACGGGGGCCCAGTGCTGGTGCAGATGGGCCCCTGGCCTTGTATGGCTGGGGCGCCCTCCCTGCCGAGAACATCTCCCTGTGCCGGATCTCCTCTGTCCCTGGGACCTCTAGGGTGGAACCAGGCCCCAGGCCCCCTGGTAGTGCAGTGGTAGACCTCCGCACAGCTGTGAAGCCCACGCCCATCATCCTCACTGACCAGGGCATGGACCTGACCTCTCTGGCTGCAGAAGCAAGGAAGTACGGCCTCGCTCTGGATCCAGTTCCAGGACGGCAATCGACTGCTGTGCAGCCTTTGGTCATCAACCTCAACGCCCAGGAGCAGACCCATGCCTTTCTTGGCACTGCCACCACCGTGAGCATCACCATGTCCTCCTCTGTGCTCATGGCTCAGCAGAAACAGCCTGTGGTCTATGGAGACCCCTTCCAGAGCCGGCTCGATTTTGGCCAGGGGGCAGGTAGCCCTGTGTGCCTGGCCCAGGTCAAGCAGGTAGAGCAAGCCGTCCAGACAGCCCCATACAGAGGGGGTGCCCGGGGAAGACCCAGGGAAGCCAAGTTTGCTAGGTATAACCTCCCCAACCAGGTAGCACCTCTGGCCAGAAGAGATGTTTTGATCACTCAGATGGGCACCGCCCAGAGCGTTGGCCTCAAGGCAGGCCCAGTGCCAGAACCTGGAGCTGAGCCCCACCGGGTCACTCCAGCAGAGTTGCGATCCCATGCCCTGCCAGGGGCCAGGAAGCCACACACGGTGGTGGTGCAGATGGGAGAGGGCCCGGCAGGCACCGTGACCACACTGCTCCCAGAGGAGCCAGCCGGGGCCCTGGACCTGACTGGGATGAGGCCTGAAAGCCAGCTGGCCTGCTGTGACATGGTCTACAAGTTCCCCTTCAGCAGCAGCTGCACTGGCGCCTTCCACCCCACCCCCAGTGCACCTGAAAAGAGCGGGTCAGAGGCTGTGCCTCCTGGCCAAGGCACTGGCCCCTTCTATGGTCCCCGGGACTCAGAGCTTCCTGAGCCCCCTACCTACCGGGCACAGGGGATCATGGGGCCTGGGCCCCATGAGGACCAGAGGCCCTACCCACAAGGCCTTCCTGGCCGGCTGTACTCCTCCATGTCTGACACCAATTTGGCTGAGGCTGGGCTCGGCTACCATGCCCACAGGATTGGGCAGCTCCTGCAGGGCTCTGGACGTGACTCAGCCCTAGACCTCAGCTCCCTGAAACACTCCTACAGCCTGGGCTTTGCAGATGGGCGCTATGTGGGGCAGGGCCTGCAATATGGCTCCTTCACAGATCTCCGTCATCCCACAGATCTGACTCACCCGCTCCCCATGCGGCGCTATAGCTCAGTGTCCAACATCTACTCAGACCACAGGTATGGTGCCCGGGGAGACACAGTCGGTTTCCAGGAAGCCAGTCTGGCCCAGTACAGTGCCACCACAGCCCGTGAGATCAGCCGTATGTGTGCTGCCCTCAACTCAATGGACCAGTATGGTGGGCGACATGGCGGGGTTGGCAGTAGCCCTGACCTTGCACAGTACCACCAGCCCCAGCATGGGCCTGGGCTCAGTGCTCCACAGGGCCTGGCTCCCCTTAGACCTGGCCTCCTCGGTAACCCCACCTTCCCAGAGAGCCATCCAAGTCCCGGGAACCTGACACAGTTTGGACCTGCAGCAGGCCAGGGACCAGCTGTCAGACAGCTGCTGCCATCCACAGCCACTGTGCGGGCCGCTGACGGCATGATCTATTCCACGATCAACACCCCGATTGCTGCAACACTGCCCATCACCACCCAGCCTGCCTCGGTGCTGCGGCCCATGGTGCGTGGTGGCATGTACAGGCCTTACACGTCTGGTGGAGTCACAGCCGTGCCTCTCACCAGTCTGACACGTATGCCCATGATTGCTCCCAGGGTCCCTCTTGGGCCAACAGGGCTGTTGCGATACCCCGCTCCAGGGAGGTTCCCCATTGCTTCCAATGTCACACCTGCTGAGGGGCCTGTCTACCTAGGGAAGCCTGCTGCTGCCAAGGCCCCGAGCACTGGAGGCCCACCCAGGCCAGAGCCACCAGCAGGGACTGCGCGGGAAGAGCCTGTTCCCACCACCACCCCAGCTGCTATTAAGGAGGCTGCCCCAGCCCCAGTTCCAGCCCCACTAGCTGGTCAGAAGCCACCAGGAGATGCTGCTGCTCCTGGGGCTGGCACTACAACACTCAGCCGGCCAGGACCTGAGAAGGAAGAACTATCGCAAGAGGAGAGGCAGAGGAAGCAGCAAGAGCAGCTGCTGCAGCTGGAGCGGGAGCGAGTTGAGTTGGAGAAGCTGCGGCAGCTGCGGCTGCAAGAGGAGCTGGAGAGGGAGCGTGTGGAGCTCCAGAGGCACCGGGAGGAGGAGCAGCTGCTGGTGCAGCGGGAACTGCAGGAGCTGCAGACCATCAAGCAGCATGTGCTGCAGCAACAGCAGGAGGAACGCCAGGCCCAGTTTGCGTTGCAGCGGGAGCAGCTAGCCCAGCAGCGCCTGCAGCTGGAGCAGATCCAGCAGCTGCAGCAGCAGCTGCAGCAGCAGCTAGAAGAGCAGAAGCAGCGGCAGAAGGCCCCCTTCCCTGCAGCCTGTGAGGCACCTAGCCGAGGGCCTCCTCCAACTGCTCCTGAGCTGGCCCAGAATGGCCAGTATTGGCCACCCCTGAGCCACACAGCCTTCATTGCCGTGGCAGGGCCCGAGGTTCCTGGGCAGCCTCGTGAGCCTGTGCTTCACCGGGGTCTACCCAGCTCCGCCTCAGACATGTCGCTGCAGACCGAGGAACAGTGGGAGGCAAGCCGGGGGGGCATCAAGAAACGGCACTCTATGCCACGCCTGCGGGATGCCTGTGAGTCCGAGCCAGGCCCGGAGCCTGGCACGGTCAGGAGGATTGCAGACAGCAGTGTGCAGACAGACGACGAGGACGGGGAGGGCCGCTACCTGCTGACCCGGCGGCGCCGGACGCGGCGCAGTGCTGACTGCAGCGTGCAGACAGATGACGAGGATAATGCCGAGTGGGAACAGCCGGTGCGCCGCCGCAGGGCCCGGGCTTCACGCCATTCTGACTCCACTTCTGATAGCAAGCATGATGCCACTGCCTCAACATCCACTGCTTCCACTGCCGCTGCTGCCGCCAGGGCCACAAGCAGTGTGGGCATCCAGACCATCAGTGACTGCTCTGTGCAAACGGAGCCTGACCAGCTGCCCAGGGTCTCTCCAGCCATTCACATTACGGCTGCCACTGACCCCAAGGTGGAGATCATCAAGTACATATCGGCACCAGAGAAGACGGGGCGTGGGGAGAGCCTGGCCTGCCAGACAGAGCCTGACGCCCAGGCCCAGAGTGTAACTGGGACCCAGCTGGTCGGGCCAACTGCCATCAGCCCCTATCTGCCTGGCATCCAGATAGTCACCCCTGGGTCCCTGGGCAGATTTGAAAAAAAGAAGCCAGATCCCCTGGAGATTGGGTACCAGGCCCACCTACCCCCGGAGTCCCTCTCACAGCTCATGGGCCGCCAGCCTCCAAAGTCCCCTCAGGTCCTCTACTCACCAGTGTCACCCCTGTCCCCACACCGGCTGCTGGACACCTCCTTTGCTTCCAGCGAGAGACTGAACAAGGCTCACGTGAGTCCACAGAAGCACTTCGCAGCTGAAAGCACTCTCCGTCAGCAGACGCTGCCTCGCCCCATGAAGACCCTGCAGCGGTCCTTGTCTGACCCTAAGCCCCTCAGCCCCACCGCCGAGGAGTCTGCCAAAGAGAGATTCTCCCTCTACCAGCACCAGGGGGGGCTGGGTAGCCAGGTATGGGCACCGGGGCTGGTCCAGGGTGGGACAGGGATCTCTGCCTAGCTCGAGGGGCTCTGTAGGGAGGGGCCTCCCCTAGGGTGGGAGTGGAGCTTCCTCCGCCTCCAAAGGCTTGGGGGAGTCAAGGAGGCGGCCTCTGGATTCCTGTCTACCAGAGTCCACAGCCTGCCAGGGTGCCAGGGCCAATACAGATGGCACATGGGCCTCACAGCCATTCCCCCAGACTCCCTCTAGAGACATCACTCTCTCCCTAGCATTGCCCCTTTACTGCCCATACCACCTCCCTCTCCAGGTCACTTCAGCCCTCAGCACCAATCTGGGCCATTTAGATTCCAGGCCTCATCTCTAAGACCAGTAATACATTTCTGTCTCCATCCTGGCTTGGCTTCGGTTGCCTCACAGGAAGCCCCAGCCCAGGGCACAGGCCTTGAGGCCTATATCCCAGATACTACAGTGTGCTCCCTACTCCTACCTGGTCCTCAGATGATATACCTGCCTGCCCCTGCAGGAGCTCCAGGAGCATGAACTTGCTCTTCATGATGACTTTCACCATCACTGATGCACTCGGGCCTGTGAGAAACAGCCTAGCTGTGGCATATAGCAGCAGTGAGGATAGGGGCTGTGAGAGCCTCAGGCCAAGGATTCTGAGTGCCAGGCTGAGGAAGGTAGCTCCTGAGAGCTCCTGGAGGTTCCAGGACAAAGCAGGTATTTGAGCTTTGGGGACAGAATAGAGGCTGATAAGCTGGAGCCAGAGACCCTGGGTAAAGGAGGTGGTGGCCAGGGGCATGGTTAGGTATGTTAACCCATGCTCTGGCTGTGATGCAGGGAGCAGAAAGGTAGGCAGGAAAGAGCCTGGTGTATGCAGGCCAGCAGAGTGGGTGGGATCAGGAGCATTGGCTCACAGGGAAAGCAAGAGACCCAGAGAATCCCTTGGGGGAACCTATCTGGGGCCAGGCCATGGTGCACACTCATGGTGGTGGCCAAAATAAGGAAAGACAACAAAGAGAGGAGTTCAGAAAGTTAAATTTGTACTGCTGAAGCTTCACCCTTTGTTCCAAGATTTGCGGGACATGCTGTCACATGTGGTATCCCTTAGGGATGTGGAGGGAGATGGAGGCTAGACCAAGAGTGCAGACCAAGACACAAAACGATGTCAGGAAATGAGTGGATGCCGGGAGGACAGTTTCATAAGAGCAGCCAGGAATGAGTCTGCAACAACTGGCCTGCCATCAGCAGGTGCCCTTGCCCATAGAACTCCAGTGATCCTCCAGTACCCACTCCATTCCTCCCATCCATGCCCCCTCAGTGACTACTAGGCCTTGGATCCCAAGCCCAACCTGTCACGTCCCCATGGAGGTGGAAGGTAGAAAGCCCACTGGAGATGAGCAGGGAATCTCAAAGCCACTGTGTGCCAAGCCAGAGCTAGAAACTAGCGTAAATGGACATCCTGCCCCTTCCCCACTCCCCATCCTCACTGCCCAGAGCTCTGGGGGAATGGAGGGCTGTGGTCATGAGCTTTCTCTCACAGGCCAGCAGGTGGGTAGGATAGGGTTTGAAGCTGCCTGGTAAATCAGGGCACCCAAAAGCATGGAACCCAGCTCCTGGCCCAGCCCCAGCCAGACTCTTATTAGACCCCACTCCCTGCCAAGTCACCCACACCTCGGGTCTCAGTGCTGCCCACCCTTCCCTCTGTCTCAGGTGTCGGCGCTGCCACCCAACGGCCTGGTCCGCAAGGTGAAGCGGACACTGCCCAGCCCCCCTCCAGAGGAGGCCCACCTTCCCCTGGCTGGCCAGGCCCCCCAACAGCTGTACACAGCCAGCCTGTTGCAGCGAGGGCTGGCGGGGCCCACCGCCGTCCCTGCTACCAAGGCCAGCCTGCTCCGGGAGCTGGACCGGGACCTGCGGCTGGTGGAGCATGAGTCCACCAAGCTGCGCAAGAAGCAGGCGGAACTGGATGAGGAGGAGAAGGAGATTGACGCCAAGCTCAAGTACCTGGAGCTGGGTATCACGCAGCGCAAAGAGTCTTTGGCCAAAGACCGGGGTGGCCGCGACTACCCACCCTTGCGTGGTCTTGGGGAGCATCGTGACTACCTGTCAGACAGTGAGCTCAACCAGCTGCGGCTCCAGGGCTGCGCGACTCCAGCTGCACCATATGTGGACTTCCCCACTGCTGCTGCTGCTGCTCCAACCCCTACCACTGCCTTAGGCCCCACTGCTTTCCAGCAGCCCCGATTCCCACCACCAACTACACAGTACACTTCAGGCGGCAGTGGGCTGACCCAGAATGGATTCCCAGCCCACCAGGCACCCACCTACCCCGGCCCCAACACATATCCAACACCTGCCTTTCCTCCTGGCACCAATTATCCACCTGAACCTGGCCTATCGATCCAGCAGGCTTTCCGTCCCACAGGCCACCATACAGCCCAAACAACAATGCCAACCACACAGAGTACCCACTTTCCAGTTCCGGCTGACAGCCGTGTCCCCCACCAGAAGCCACGCCAGACATCGCTGGCTGACCTGGAGCAGAAGTTACCCACCAACTATGAGGTGATCGCCAGCCCCGTGGTGGCCATGTCTTCAGCCCCCACTGAAACTAGCTATGGTGGCCCAGCTGTGAGCAGCAGCTACGAACAGGGCAAGGGTCCCGAGCTGCCCCGGGCCAGTGACCGCAGCAGTGTGAGCCAGAGCCCAGCCCCTGCCTACTCTTCTGATTCACACTACACTAGTTTGGAGCAAAATGTTCCTCGGAACTACGTGATGATAGATGACATCAGTGAGCTAACCAAGGACAGCACCCCCACTGCCCCAGAGAGCCAGCGGCTGGATCCCATGGGACCGGGCAGCAGTGGACGCCCAGGGAAGGAGCCTGGAGATCCTGGTGCCCTTGAGGGGCCCACCCTGCCCTGCTGCTATGGCAGAGGAGAGGAAGAATCCGAGGAAGACTCCTATGACCCCCGTGGGAAGGCTGGCCACCACCGGAGTGTGGAGAGCAACGGCCGACCAGCCAGCACCCACTACTACAGTGACAGTGACTACAGACATGGAACTCGGGCAGAGAAATATGGTTCAGGACCCTTGGGGCCCAAGCATCCCGCCAAGAGCCTGGCCCCAGCTGCTGTCTCCTCTAAGCGCAGCAAGCACCGGAAGCAAGGCATGGAGCAAAAGATCTCCAAGTTCTCGCCAATTGAAGAGGCCAGGGACGTGGAGTCAGACTTGGCCTCCTATCCCCCCTCTGCAGTCAGCAGCAGCCTAGCCTCCCGGGGCAGGAAGTTCCAAGACGAAATCACCTATGGGCTCAAGAAGAATGTGTACGAACAGCAGAGGTACTATGGGGTGTCCAGCCGAGATGCAGCTGAGGAGGATGACCGTGTATATGTTGGGAGCAGCCGGTCCCGGGTGGCGTCTGCTTACAGTGGGGAGAGGCTGTCCAGCCACGACTTCAGTAGCCGGAGCAAGGGATACGAACGGGAGCGGGATACTGCAGAGCGACTTCAAAAAGCAGGCCCCAAGCCCTCGTCCCTAAGTATGGCTCACAGCCGGGGACGACCCCCTATGCGGAGCCAGGCTTCTGAAGAAGAGAGTCCGGTTAGCCCCTTGGGGCGACCTCGCCCTCCTGGGGGGCCCCTGCCTCCCGGGGATAGCTGCCCACAGTTCTGCTCGAGCCACTCCATGCCTGACGTCCAGGAGCACATCAAGGACGGGCCTCGGGCCCACACATATAAGCGTGAGGAGGGCTACATCCTGGACGACTCACACTGCGTGGTGTCCGACAGTGAAGGTAATGGGAGCTGGGGGTGATTTCTGCGGATTCAGCCTCTGGGGGGCCTGCTTGTGCCTGGGTTCCTGGGCCCTGAGATGTCCCAGCAGGGGTCTGGCCTGTTGCCTCCTCCAGTGGGCCCTGCCGCAGGCTGCCCTTGTCTGCTACACCTGTACCCTGGTGCCCCTGGTTGTGGGAGGGCGGGTTGGAGGGTTTAGTGATCTGCTTGTGGCTGTGGTGTCCACACTCTGATTTCCTTGCATGGCTTCAGCTAGGCCTCCCCCTGCGGCCAGCCCGGGGGTTGATGGTATTCTGTTTTTGGTCTCTGAAGCGTATCACCTGGGCCAGGAGGAGACAGACTGGTTTGATAAGCCCCGGGATGCCCGCTCCGACCGGTTCAGGCACCATGGGGGCCACGCAGTCTCCTCCTCCCAGAAGCGAGGCCCTGCCAGGCACAGCTACCATGACTATGACGAGCCCCCTGAGGAGGGCCTGTGGCCTCCTGATGAGGGCGGCCCAGGCCGCCACGCCTCAGTCAAGGAACACCGGCACCACAGTGAGCACGGGCGGCACTCAGGCCGCCACGCTGGTGAGGAGCCGGGACGGCGTGCTGCCAAGTCACACGGTCGGGACATGGGTCGTCATGAGGCCCGACCTCACCCTCAACCCAGCCCTGCCCCAGCCATGCCGAAGAAGGGGCAACCTGCATACCCCAGCTCTGCAGAGTATTCCCAGCCACCACGCACCCCATCAGCATACCATCATGTCCCTGACAGCAAGAAGGGCTCCCGGCAGGCCCACTCTGGGCCCTCTGCCCTGCAGCCAAAGCCAGAACCCCAGGCGCAGCCACAAACAGCTCCCAGTCGACAGACAACTCCAGGACCACAGCAGTCACAGCCACTACCATCCAGACAGCTGCCTTCGGGGGCGGTAGCACGCCAACCACAGGTGCAGCAGGCACCTCAGCCGCAGCAGCCACTGCAGCAGCAGCAGCAGCAGCAGCAACCTCCCCAGCAGGCACCATCACAGGCTCGACAGCAGCAGCAGCAGAGCCAGCCATCTGCCAGGGGCCCAGGCCCTGCTGCCAGCCAGCCAGCAGGGAAGCCTCAAACAGGCCCCACAACAGCTGCAGGCCCCCAGCCAGCAGGACTGGTGAGTGCATGGATCCTACCCAAGGTGGACTGAAGCTTAGACATCTGGCTTCTAAGCTGGGTGTGGGTGATGGTGATAGGCAGAACTCAGCTGTGGATTCTGTATTGCAGCCACGGGCAGACCAAGCAAATGGCTCTAAAGCAACAGCTAAGGCTCCGCCACAGGGAAGGGCTCCTCAGGTGCAGGCAACGCCAGGACCCGCACCTGCAGGTGAGCCTACTCTTTGGTTCTCTTGCTCATAGCTCAGAGTATGCAGACTCTTTCCCACACACACCTACCTGTGCCCCCAAGTCCTCCTTGAGGTGGACCTTCCTCCACACACCCACTCTGAGAAAATGCTCAGTGGGCTGCAGACCTCCCCAAAACTTGGAGGTTGCAATGAACCAGCATTATCACCAGCACTGGGGCCTTGGGGCTCAGGAAGCTCTGGGTGGAGAACCCCAAAGGGCAGGCACAGTGAGCACGAGGCCAGGGCAATAGCTCCTTAGCTCTTCTCCCCTCCTTCTCTCTTCCTCCCTAGACAGCCATGCTCAGAGTCTTTCATGCCTACTCTCAGTGTTTCTGGTTTCTTCTCCTCCCCCTCCCCCACAGGTGTGAAGTCAGGAACCAGGCCTGGAGGCACCGCCGCGACTCCTGCAGGCCAGCCAGGTGCAGATGGAGAGAGTGTGTTCTCCAAGATCCTCCCAGGTGGGGCAGCAGAGCAAGCTGGCAAGCTGACTGAAGGTACGTGCTGCGGTGCCTGCCTGCGGCCAAGTCCACAGGGCGGCCTCTCCAGGATCCCCATCCTGGTAGAGTTGGGTCTGGGAGGGATTCCTGGGCTACCACCCAGTGGTCCTGTGGCCACTCCCTGTCCCAGGGACTGCCCTTGCTTTCACTGCCCCATTGGCCCTGCCTGGGAGGGGGCTAGCCTGATTCTTTAATGCCTCTCTCCTCTTTCTGTATCACAGCTGTCTCTGCTTTTGGCAAAAAATTCTCCTCATTTTGGTGACCAGGCCCAGCAGGGTGAGTACGAGCTGCCTGTTCCTGGCCTTTCCTGGGAAAGGTTTGAGGTATTGGGGGGTGTGGGGTGAGGGGGAGTGGCACGGAAGGGCGCCGAGTTTGTAGGTCCCAGCAGATCTTCCAGGAGGTGCTAGGCTGGAGCAGGTGGCATGGCCTGAGTCACAGCATGACGTCTTTTCTACGACGTGGAAGGATGAGGAGAGGGGAAGTCAACGTGCTCGGAGTCCTGGTGTAGGGCTGGCATAGTGGAGCTCTCAGCAGAGAAGCAGGACCAGGGTCCCCATGTCCTTGTCACCCTCCTGTGTCCCTCCTCTCACAGCTGTGGGCTGGCATTTGGTTATAGGTGGGACCCATGGTGGCACTGCTCCCCACCAATCCTCCTCTATAAATGCTCCACAGGCTCTTGAAGGGATGAAGAGAGTTGGTAACATTGCTGTGGAAAAATCTCTGGAGTCAGAGATCTGGGCACAGCTCTGGACTCTGCGTATAACAGTGAGTTTGAGGGCCAGGGCGGGATGGACCAGAGGAAGGGGTGAAGGGCCGTGACTTGGTTAGCCACAGCCATGCAGTCCAAGTGTTCACTAGGATGGGTGTGGTGGGCTTCCTTTAGCTGGAGTGTACCCAGAAGTTCCCAGGGAGGCCAGGGTCTCTGAGCTAGCTGAGGTGGCAGTGCTCAAGTCAGCCATAACCCTTGGGGAAGGGTCCCACAGAGATCACTATGTCCCATAACTACTTGGGGTCTACACATTGAGCACTGAATCCAGTCCTGTGGGGACAGGGCAGCCTGCAGCTCTTGTAGGCAAGATAGAAGAGTAGAATGAGCAGAGAGGCAGGTGGGGAGGGGTCCCCAAATAGTCAGCCTCCATCCCAGCCTATCAGCCTGGGGAGAGGGAAGAAAGGGCCTAAAGACAGGAACCCTGGGCTGTGTGCACTGCAGTGCCATCCTGTGGCCTCAGCCCTGCCTCCAGCATGAGGCAAGGGAGTAAGCTGACTATTGAAACCGCTGTAGACACAGCCAGGGACCACCTCCCACTGTCCCACAGCCGTAGGACCCTTTTGTCCTTCCCATATTGGTAAGAAGACAAAAATTTGGGCACCTCTCATGGTAGGTGGACATATGTGTGATACCCAGCAAACAGGTCACTTCAAGGAAGTCCTGGGCTCTGCAGGAGCCCTTGCCCAGCCCTAGCCTAACCCAAAGGGCTCCTGTGTGGAGGAATGATGGGATGGGTGGCCTGGGAAGGCCCAAGTTTCTGTCCATGCACTTAGCAGATGCTGGTCAAGCCCAGCTGGGTGCCAGGCCCCATTTCTGGCCCTAGGATCCAAGCCAAGTTGCCCCTCCCCTACAAGCTGACAGTGAAAAGTAGAAATGGGGTTGAAAAAAACAAACAAAAAAAGAAAATGGAAAGGTCATTTCTGAAGGTGATAAGGGTTTTTGAAGCTAGTACAACAGGGCTGTGGGAACCTAGGCTACAAGCCACCCTAGAGGATATGGTCAGGGCCATAGAAGCATGGGATGATGCAGGGGAGGGAAGAGGCGGATGAGAGAAGTGGCAATGGGGAAGGGGTGGCCAGGGTTGGAGGAAGAGGTTCTGATGAGACAGGTAGGTCTCAGAGATGGGCAAAAAGCTGGCACAACAAGAGCTGTAGCAGAGGAAAAGGGAGCACAGTTGTAGCTGTATGGCCTGGTATGAGGTCTAGGGGTGGGTCATCCACTAGGCTGGGCTTCAACAGACCCAGTGAAGCGCCTGTAATGTGTTCCAAGAGTCACTGGGCTGGCCCTGCCATGTTCCTGTTCTCACCGCCTGCGGCTCCATTGCTTTTCCTCTCATGTAGATGCTTCCCCAGAACCTCCCTGGGAACCAGAAGTGGAGCTGAAGACAGAAAAGGAGGGACAGCCCAGGGCCCTGGTTCATGGCAGTGCCCACCTTGGATTAGGGACCAGGACCCCAGTGCAGAGGAAAAGGGAGCACAGTTGTAGCTTGGTTCTGAGGCCTACCACATGGTGTGCGGAAGCCGTTGACTATAACTGTGACTGAAAGAAGTCTCTCTCAAGTTCTAGTCTTGGGCTGATGATGGGGCTGAGGTCAACACTGCCGAGTGTCCATCTCCTAGTGTCCTTTCTAACAATTTCATAGATGCTGGGAGAGGCTCACCGTTGTAAACACAGTTCCATCTGCCTCATTCTTAAGCAAAACTCAAGAATTTCTGTTAGTAGAAAGATATGTGCCTTTCTGGCCAAGTCAATTTTTTAATTTATTGCTTTGTTTAAGAGACAGAGAGAATTCCCATTTGTTGGTTCACTCCCCCAAATGCATGCTAAGCTCAGGGCTGAGCTAGGCTCAAGCCAAGAACCAGGAACTTAACCCAGGTCTGCACTTGGGTGGCTAGCACCCAACTTCCCAAGGCAAGGCCTAGGTGTGCTGCTTCCCAAGGTGTGCAATAACAGAAGCAGGACTCACACAATGTGGGCCACAGGCATGCAAACCAAACTGCCATGCCACATGCCTGCCTCATGCCTTTGCATTTTGCATCAAAATGTGGTACTTGTCCCTACTAAGGACTACAGTGCCTGATCCTTCTCTCTTCCTGTCTTCTCTGTGTCCTCCAAGCTGCTCAAGTCCCCAATCCCCCAGGCCTCAGAGGTGTGGGACCCTGAAACCAAGACAGACAGTTGAGAGGAGTTGGAGGGGGTGAGAAGCAGCTATCCACAGTTCTTGACGAAACTCGTTTGTCTTCTTTCCTCCCTGCTTCCTTTTCTCTTCCAAGCATCTGCAACCTGGCGTGCCCTGGGTCCCAAGATTCACACCAGGTGGGATGCGGCAGACAGGCCACAGTGAGGATGGGAAGTTTTCTAACAGCAGCTGTCTGCGTGAAGCATCTGCTGGACCAGTGGGACCACTGGCTCTGGGGAACCCTTTGGTTGTCTTTCCAGAGACCCTGTTCTCCTCAGGGCACTGCCATGAGGCACCGCCATCGGCCACTGGGAGGGAGGCCCCCCTCTGCAAAAATCCCAACCCGTGGCCATCCTGCCCGAGTCCCACAGCCAACTTTTTGTGGCCTGGCCGGCCAGGCTTTCAATGCGTTATACGCCGAGTTTGGACACACACTGCCCTCCCTCCGAGATGCCAGAAGTTTTTCCACAGCCTTGGAGAGGGGCTTTTGCCTGAGGGCTGGGGGCCCTGGGCTCCGTTTCCTTCACATTCCAGCTGGCCCAGATCCCTCTGTGGCCCCAAGGCCCTGCCCCCTCACCCTGCCCTCTGGGTGACGCCGGAGCAGATCTCCATGTGGCCAGCGTAGGGTTGGGAGCACTTTACAAACACTAGGACCTAACACTGTCTCATCGCTGAAAACAAGAGGCCATAGCACCGAAAAGCAGCGTGGGCGCCGGCTGAGGCTTCTCCCAGCCCCTGGTGGCAGCGTGCTAGCTAGCACGCCAGCCATCACCTTAAAGCCATCCCCCAGCCATCGTGAGCACCCCAGTGGCACCGCCATTGTTTCGACCAGCTGGCTCCTCCTTGTCCATACACCTGGAGATTTCTTTTGATTTTGAGAACAGCCTTAATCATTCCAGTTTGATTTACGTGTATACCTCATAAACATTTTTTCTTTGGCTTTCCCCCCACCCTTTCTTCTCTTTGCTCACCCCCTTACCTCTTCCTTCACCACCACCACCTTGTGACTGATGGTTTGGTTTCCTCTCTGCTCTGCCCCTGCTTAGCACAGGGAGAATGTTGACTTAGAAGCAATAGGGGGCAGCAGGCCACCAAGAGCACAACCCCAGGGCGAGGTCTAGGGAGGCCCCTCAGCCCGCCTCTGTTTACTGTGCAATCCCAGTCCTTCTTAAGCCATCACCAGTGAGTGTGCTCAGAGCAGAGGGGCCAGGGCTGCACCAGCCCTGGGAAAGGCCCAGAACCCCCAAGGGGGGTTGTGTGTATGTCACATAGGCTTACCACAGGGTGTGCTGGGCGGCATTTCTCCCTAAGACCCTTCCCTTGGTGGGGGGTGATGGGGCTCCCTTCATCTTGGGCACAGCCACAAGTCTCATCTCTAATGTTCTATGCAATGAAATATAAACCCTCAAAGACAACTGTTAATATTTAATAAATTCCATGTTATGTATAAGGAGTTAATTGCAACCATGCAATTGAGAAACTGGATAGATAACATTCATATCACCCCCCACCCCGCCCCCACCTGCTCCCACTCTGTGTGTATGTATGTTTGTGTGTGTGTGTGTGTGTGTGTGTGTGCGCGCGCAACTCTCAGTCTGTGGCATGCTTGACCTGTGGCAGGACTCGCTGCTGCCAGGTGAGTCACCGCCTGTCCCGCAGTGGAGCATGCACAGCTCGCAGCCTCTTTGCACGATTTCATCCATTGGAAATGCTCGACCCTTTTGCTTGAAGTTCTTCTTTGCCTCTGAACCTCTCCTTCAGGAGCACTTGTAGCTGATTTCTACCCACACTAGTGAGGACCTGTCAGAATCCCTGCCTGAGCAAGCTAGGCAGGATGAGGCCCCCACATACCTTACAGGTCTCTCAACCCAGAGGACAGGTAGAAGGGAATTCCTGGAGCTGACCCAGTGAGAGGAACCTGCACAGGATGCATGCATGCAGACGTTCTGAAGGTTTGCTCCAGGGTTTTCAGCTATGTCACATTCCCCTCCTACCCGACCCCAAACCAGAGGCATCTGGCCACCCCTTTCTAGCAGGGTACTTGCATTCAGGGTTAGAGAGGCAGAGGCCAAAGACAGAACTTGGCTGTGCCCCTGGGAACCCCAGCTTCTGGCTGCACCTGCTCCTTGCCTGAGAGCACTGTGAGCCCAGGAGAAACAGGCAAGGGGAACCAGGAGGTCAAGGAGTGCACAGGCAGAGAAAATGACCTGTCTATAGCTGCATTGGCTTCAAGTAAACTTTTGTGGGAAGCCTCTCAAGAGCCAGACAAATCAAGGGTCCTGTGTGGTCCTCTCTGCATCCCTCCCCAGCAGTTGCTCCCTCCCCTTTGCATCCCCACCTCTGAAGCCACCAACCCTGAGTGTGGCTGGCAGGGGCTGCCTGAAGCCTCAAGACCCCAGCCTTTCTCCCTAGGGCACTGGTTGACATAACACATTGCTCACAATTTTCTGTGAAGTCTGCCTACCCCTGCAGAGAGAGATCCTGGCCCACCTCTGGTGCCTGCGGAGAGAACAGAAAGCTGCCAGCCTCCATGGAGAACGTAAGATGCCTGCCTCCTGAGCTCTGGGACACCTGCCTCATCCCCCAAGATGAGGCCTGGGCTGAGGGTGGTGAGGGGCCAGGTTCGTGAGGGGATGTGCCTATCTATTTATGCTAGATATTTGGAGACCAATGCAGCAATCCCTTCTGCTGGGGGTCAAGGATGGGCTAGTAGTAGGTTCCAGGCCAGAAGCTAACAGTCAGCCTCCAGCAGGCCTAGTCTCAGGCTGTGAAGTGTTGTATTTTCAGTGAACTTCCTTTCTGGCTGAGGTCTCCAAACTTGAAATTTCTGACATCTGCCATTCCTCATGCCCTACTGTATCTACAAGACCAGTCACTGCCTCTCTCTGTGAAGGTGGCTGACGCAGGTGTCTCAGACCTTGGGACCTCCCATGTGGTGCCTTGGGAAGTAGAGAACAGGCCTGTTTCCAAATGTGCAAGGGGTCTCTGGGAGGCAGTCTAGGCCTTCTCCACCCTTCCCCCACCCTGCCCATGTCATTGCCTGCTTTGACCCATCCTCTTAATGCTTGGGTGGATGGAGCATGAGGCCTCAGGGCCAACCATGAGAGGGCAGCAGCAGCAGCACCTGTGGCCTGTCTGCTAGAGCCTGGGGAGAAGGGAAGGGGGGGGTTCCAGGCAGGTCCTTTGTTCAGACAGTGCACTTCCATCCCATTGGCTCCTTCTCTGTCCCGCCGCCATGCTGTAAATACGTGTCCTTATGGACTGCAAAAGGGTCAGAGCAACAGGCCTTGTGAGCTGAAACTCCTCTGTGTGGCAGCAAACCTGCTGCTGTGCTCACTGGGGAGGCTCCGGAGCACCATGGCAACCATGAGATACTGTGTGTGAGTGGGTGTGCGTGTGTCGGCCTCACTCAGCCTCTGGGGTCACATCAGCCCCTTCTCTCCCAGGGCAGCACCCTGGATCGCAGCGGCCATCAGCCTCTCCCTCTAGCTCCCTTGTCTTGTTTCTGAGCTCCCCCCTCCTCCCTCCTCCCTCTCTCTTTCTCTCCTTTCTTTGAGGGAGGGAAGAGTGCTGTACAAAGTCAAACAAACAAGTTTACAGTTGTAAGTGCAATGACCCGAGTCCTCCACACAACCTTGTGAATTGTGCGCCGTCCTCCCGTGCTCCGTGAGAACTCGTGGTCCTTTTCCGTGTCCCTCCCCCTGTATTGTGACAAGGTAATTCTGTGGTATCAGAATAAAAGGACTTGATATAAACAACATGCAAGCTGTCTCTGGGTTGGTTTCTGAAGTCAAAAGGGAGACAAATCACCAACTGTGTGTCCTGGTTAGAGGGAGCTTGGGGAGGGAGAATGAAAACAGGACCCTGATGGAGCCCACACACAGCTATCTGCAGACCTTGCTCTGCCAACCATCCCCAGCCTCCACCCTTTTTTTTTTTTAAGATTTATTTTATTTATTTTTAAAAATATATTTATTTTTTATTACAAAGTCAGACATACAGAGAGGTGGAAAGACAGAGAGGAAGTTCTTTCCTCCAATGATTCACTTCCTAAGTGACTGCAATTGCCGGTGCTGCGCCAATCCGAAGCCAGGATCCAGGAGCTTCCTCCAGGTCTCCCACACAGGTGCAGGGTCCCAAGGCTTTGGGCCATCCCCGACTGTCTTCCCAGCCACAAGCAGGGAGCTGGATGGGAAGTGGAGAAGCTGGGATCAGAACTAGCACCCATATGGGATCCCCGCGTGCTCAAGGGGAGGACCTTAGCAGGTAGGCCACTGCACCTGGCCCAAGATTTATTTTATTTTTATTGGAAAATCAGATATACAGAAAAGAGGAGAGACAGAGTGGAAGATCTTCCATCTGCTGATTATTACCCCAAGGGGCCACAATGGCCAGAGCTGAGCCTATCTGAAGCCAGGAGCCTCAGGCTTCTTCTGGGTCTCCCATGTGGGTGCAGAGTCCCAAGGATTTGGGCTGTCCTCTATTGCTTTCCCAGGCCAGAGCAGGGAGTTGCGACACAGATCAGCACCCATATGGGATCCCAGTGGATGAAAAGTGAGGATTTAGCCGCTAGGTTTCAGTGCCAGGTCCCAAAGTCCACACCTTGAGATAGGTTCTTCTCTTTCTGTCTTTTTCATTTTACAAACAGAAGCCAGAAGGTACAGTCCACCATTTGCTAGTCTCCTGTTTATTTCTGCATGCCCATTGCCCAGTGCCTGGCCTCTGGAGAGATTCATCCAGAGTTTGCAGCCGGTCCAACTGCACACACCCCAACAGGCAGGCAGGTGCTGGATTCTGTTTGCCTCAGTGAAATCTCCCAGCTTTTCCACTCAGATCGATGGCTGGGGTCATTCCTGGATTCCAGGTTCTGGCCTTGACAATCCTGAGTGCTCATAAATGCCAGTGCCCTTTGAAAGCAGGGGCTGTCCTTACATAACTAGTGATGTTTAAGTGACCATGTTGCCCTTAGGGAAGGAGAGGCTGCAGGCAAGGCAGAGACCCAGGGTTCTAAAGTGCGGCCAACCAGGCAGGCCCAAGGAACTAGAGAGAAGGGGGAACCTCTGCTGGCTTGATTTCCCTATACTTGTCTTCCAATACTTGTTTGCTTTTAAGATTTTAATAAAGTATTTGGGGCCTGGTGCGATGGCACAGTGGTTAAGGTCCTCACCTTGCACGCCCGGGATCCCATATGGGCGCTGGTTCTAATCCCGGCAGCCCCGCTTCCCATCCAGTTCCCTGCCTGTGGCCCGAGAAAGCAGTCGAGGACACCCCAAAGCTTTGGGACCCTGCACCCATGTGGGAGACCCGGAAGAGGCTCCTGGCTTCGGACCAGCATAGTATCGGCCGTTGCGCTCACTTGGGGAGTGAATCATCGGACGGAAGATCTTCCTCTCTGTCTCTCCTCTCTGTATATCCGCCTTTCCAATAAAAAATAATAATAAAAATAAATCTTTAAAAAGAAAGAAAGAAAGTATTTGAAAGGCAGAGTTGTAGAGGGAGAGACCGAGAGAGTGTTCCATTGGCAAGTTCCCTCCCTGCCTCCCCAGTGCTTTGTCTCCCCTGTGAGTGCAGGGGCCCAAGCACTTGGCTCATTTTCCACTGCTTTCCCAGGTGCACTAGCAGCAGAGCAGCCCTTCTAACCCCGTGCCCAAATGAAATGGTGGTGATGCAGGCGGAGGCTTAACCTGATAAACTGCAATGTCACTCCTTCCCTATGTCCACAATTTTCTTTCCAGAAGGAAGCCCTCTTGGTGTACGAGAGGCTGACCCCACCGGGCCCTCTGTACCCAAGAGCTTGAGGGTGACACCCACCCATCCCCAGCAAGGCACCAATGAGCTGAAGAGTAGGTGCAGGGCTGCGAGGACCGATAAGTCTTGGCTCAGGCCTGGTGACCGATAAGCCTAGACGACACCTCAGGCCTGTGTTCTGCATGCACCCCAGAACAGTGTGGTGCAGTGCGTGAGTCCCTGACCCTGCCTCCTGCCCCGCAGGCTGCCGGCTCCGCCTTCTCAGACCCCACCTTCCCAAGCCCATTCCTGTCTGCTCTCGCTTCTTCGGCCTAAGAGCCTCCCTGTGTTCTCCCTGGCACCCTGCGCCCCTTTCCGCGGCGGGCAGCCCTTTCCGTCCGCGGCCCGCGACTGGGACGCACACACCACGCCTCCCACCTGTTCCTCCTGGCCCTGCCCCGAGAGGCCTGCTCCTTTCCCTCGAGGTCCCGCCCCGTACAGGCCAGCGGCGCTCGCCCATTCGCCGAGGGCCACGCCCCTCTCCATTGCCGCCGGGGCTCTAAGCGGAAACTGGCGGACCGCCCAGGCCCCGCCTCCGGCGAAGCCTCACTTCCGGGCACTCAGCACGCGCGGCTGCGCCCTGGCCGCCGAGACGATGGAGCGTCAGGTGAGGGCTCGGTCCGCGGTCCCCGTGGTCCTTGCAGCCCGGGCCGGGCCTGAACCTGATGTGTCCCCTGCGCAGGTGCTGCTGAGCGAGCCCGAGGAGGCGGCGGCGCTGTATCGGGTCCTTAGTCGCCAGCCCGCGCTGAGCGCCGCCTGCCTGGGCCCGGATGTCACCACGCAGTACGGGGGCCGCTATCGGACAGTGCACACTGGTGGGTGTACGGTGAGGAACTGGGGACAGCGCGGGAACCGAGCACTCAGGAGGAGGGGACGGGAGAGTGTGTGGAGCTTGTCATCTGACAGTGCGTGCAGATGATGTGGAGGGAGCCAGGGCTCCGTGCACAGGGGTGTAAGTCTTCCTGTCTTCGTGTAGGGGCGTTAGCAGGCACTGCCTACAGGCAGTGCCCAAAAGTGCTGGAGGAGAGGGTGTGGGAGCAGAACTTTGACCTGTGTGCTGAGAGTGGTATGGGCCTTGCCCAAGGCATGCCAGGCTGCCTGTGAAGCTGGATGCTGGACTGGGTTATGGCCAGCTGTCATCCAGCCTGCACGCCTGCAGCCTGGGCCTTCCTGGGTCAGGGACAGAGGCTGGGATGGGCCGAAGACAAGTTGGACAACCTCACGCTTCTCCCTCGCAGAATGGACCCAAAGGGACTTGGAACGCATGGAAAACATCCGCTTCTGCCGCCAGTACCTAGTGTTCCACGACGGGGATACAGTGGTGTTTGCAGGGCCTGCAGGCAGCAGTGTGGAGACCCGCGGGGAGTAAGTGTGGAAGGGAGGAAGCTCACGGACGGGGCCACAGCCGTCTGTAATTCAGGCCTGTAAGATAGCCCAGCAGGTGCTAGAAGTGTACAGACTCAGAGAGAGGGAAAGGGGAGCCAGGGTCGAGGCCCTTGGGAGCCCACTGGTCTCAGTGACATGGCCTGATAAGGAAAAGGCCAGGCCAGTACCCATGGGAACTGGGGAACCTGGAAGTGCTGTAGGGGCTGGTATGGGCCAAGACCTCTAGAATCTTCTCTTAGAGGTGTGACAGGTGAGGGGGCAGGGCAGGGTAGGGCAGGGCTGTGGGCGAGTGGGAGGAGTTATCCCTGACAGACTGCTCTGTGCCTTCCTCAAGGCTGCTGAGCCGGGAGTCACCTTCAGGCACCATGAAAGCTGTTCTGCGCAAGGCTGGAGGCCCAGGCCCCGGGGAAGAGAAACAGTTCCTAGAGGTGAGTCTGCCACAGGACCCCCTTCTGGCAGGCCAGTGGGAGACAAGATGCTGGGGACAGGCAGCAGTCTGACACCCGCTCATCCTCAGATCTGGGAGAAGAACCGGAAACTCAAGAGCTTTAACCTGTCAGCCCTGGATAAACATGGACCTGTTTATGAGGATGGTAAGGTGCCTGGCCAGTGCCTGGGACAGGTGGCCAGGAAGGGCAGCTGCCACTGCCCTGGACCCTTCCTGATCAGCCCTCCCTGCACCCAGACTGCTTTGGCTGCCTGTGTTGGTCACATTCGGAGACCCACCTGTTGTATGTGGCTGAGAAGAAGCGACCCAAGACCGAGTCCTTCTTTCAGACCAAAGCTTTGGACATCAGTGCCGGTGACGATGAAACGGCCAGGCCGAAGAAGCCTGAGCAGGCCGTCAAGGTGCTTGTGGCCATGGCCTATCCATGTGCTTCCCTTGTCACACTGTACCTGCCAGAACTGGGGGCGGGTGGTGGGAAACACCTCCTTCTAGGTGGCCAGGCAGGGTCCCATGGAGGGGCTGGGCACTGAGTATCTTGTGTCTTCAGGGGGACCAGTTTGTTTTCTATGAAGACTGGGGAGAAAACATGGTGTCCAAGAGCACCCCCGTGCTCTGCGTCCTGGATGTGGACAGCGGCAACATCTCTGTGCTTGAAGGAGTCCCTGAGAATGTGTCCCCCGGACAGGTCAGCAGCGTCCTGGCCTGGAGTCCTCCCAGCACTGAGGGGCCCTGCTTGAGCCACTGCCCTGACACATCCCTGCCCACTGTGGTCTCATCTGCAGGCATTCTGGGCTCCTGGAGACACAGGTGTGGTGTTTGTGGGCTGGTGGCATGAGCCCTTCCGGCTTGGCATCCGCTTCTGCACCAACCGCAGGTGAGTGAGGTGGTGGGACAGGGCCAGTGCCCCTGTGGCCCAGCTAGCCTCAAAGCTCAGTGTTTCTCTTGCGGTTCTAGGTCAGCCCTGTACTACGTGGACCTCAGTGGGGGAAAGTGTGGTAAGGGGCCCGGCACCCACCTTTTTGCCTGACACATGTGGGCCCCACCAGGCTGCAAGGGACTTACGTGCACACCTTGTCTGATACAGAGCTCCTCTCAGACGACTCCCTGGCAGTCTGTTCTCCACGACTGAGTCCAGACCAGTGTCGCATTGTATACCTGCGGTACCTGTCCCTGGTCCCCCATCATCAGTGCAGCCAGCTGTGCCTGGTAAGCCAGAGGATGGGAAAGGCCAGTGTCATCTCTTCCCAGTGCCCAGGAGGACTGAGTGGCGGCACAGAGTGCATTGTCCATGAGAGCTGCCATCTTGTACACAGGGTCTTCCGTGTACAACGGCTCCTCCTCTAGGCTCTTCTTTGCATGCAGCTGGCCCTGCAGGAGCCTGGGATGGAGTGAGAGGGTACTCAGTGCCAGGGCTTATCCAGGAAGAGCTTTTGGCAGTGCCAGACAAAGTCAGTGGGACATGCCTACCCCTTCCTGGCTTCTGCTGAGACAGCCAAGGGCTTTTAGGCTGGGACCCAGCCAGAGCTCTGTGTCTAGGACACTGCCATGCCTCTGGGAGCCCCCATTGTCTGTTGTGTTCTTCCACAGTATGACTGGTACACCAAGGTCACTTCAGTGGTGGTGGATGTTGTACCTCGGCACCTCGGAGGTAAGGGGCGCTTGGCAGGATTGGAGGGTAGTCGAGCCTATGGCTCTGTTTTCCTGCCCTGGACTCCCCCTGAGGGCAATGTCTCCTTTGAGTGGGTCTCAAGGAGCTCATGAGGTTGCAGTGTCATGCTTGAGCAGCCCTGGGTCCTAAGGTTGCCATACTGTCCTATCCCCTGCCTCTAAGCTTGACCAAGCGCTCGAGCCAGGGCTCTGGGTAAGTGGCCCTTGGTGAGAGGTTCTTGTTTGCTCTGGCCAGTTAACTCCCAGGAGTGCCACCGGAAGCCAGCTGTCTTTTCCCAGCCATTGCCGTGGTAGAGACCAAGGCCTAGAGATCAAGACCCAGTCCCAGCTTGACCTCTATCTGGCTGTGTGTCCCTGGACAGTGTCCAGGTCCCCTGCCACAACACACACACACACACACACACACAGAGTTGTCCTGCCTCCTTGCAGGGCAGTAATGAGGATTAAATGAGTGATGAAACTAAAGGGCACAAGTTACTGATCACCCATGTCAGGTGCTGTCCCGAGCATGATGGGGCCAGCAGGCAGGCAGGTGTTACCTTGGTGAAGTGTCTGCCAGGGGCCCAGCTGGAACCACTCTTGGGGAGCCGGTGCTTTAGCCTGAGCACCCACAGTTTCTCCCCAAAATCTCTCAAGCTCAGCCTTGGTCAGCTCCTTGGAGGCCTCTCAGGCCACACCTCACATGCACTGTGGGTGACACACACACAAACACTCACCCATCAGGAGTACACATGCATGTGCACTTCTCAGGCCACACCACCTTGCCTTTGATGCCCCATGGGTGGGACACACACACACTGTCAAGTTCCAGGGGTGCTCTCTTGACCCCTGTGCCTCCACTGGTGAATGAGCCCTGGACCCCTGTCTTTGCAGAGAACTTCTCAGGAATCTACTGCAGCCTTCTGCCTTTGGGATGCTGGTCAGCCGACAGCCAGAGGGTGGTCTTTGACTCGGCTCAGCGCAGCCGGCAGGTGACACGGATAGCCCAGGCCCCAGATGTCAGTGGTCCTTTCACCACCTGCTTCTGCCCTGCACACACTTCTGGGACTGGATGTTCCAGGATGGTGTCTTGTGGGGAGAGGACTGTGCCATCCTGCAGGCTTGGGGCAGGGACACAGGCCAGGCTCCTTTGGAGTGTGGTGTCAGTTGTTCTCATGTTAACTGAAAGGGAGTCCAGAGGCATTCATCATCTCACCCAGGGTCACCCAGCAAGTTGTGAGGGGGCTGGCATTGGAACCCCAGCCCTCAGGCTATGCCCTGCTACACTTAACAGCCATTGCCACATTTGCTCATAGCCCTGGCCTAGCCCAGGGATCCCTGAGGAGTTGGAGGGGAGGTGGGGAAGGGGGACCTCTAGGACTTCTGAATGGGGCCTTCCCCCTCCACTCCAGGATCTGTTTGCTGTGGACACGCAGACGGGCAGTGTGACCTCCCTGACAGCTGGTAAGCAGGCCCCCAGGGGGAGCCAGTTAATGTCATGGCCTCCCTGGTTGACCCTCTACCTTCCCTGACCTGCCCACAGTACTCCCCACAGTACTCAGCTTTGCTTATAGGTCCTGGCCCGCCTCACCCCTGCTCCTAAAACCCATAAAAACTGTCTCACCAGGATCAACCAGTCCCTCCTTAGCCTTCCCCAGCCCATGGGGACCTCTCTCAGGCAGACAGGCAGGTGAGCTGGGGAGAAGTACCGTTCTCACACTCAGCCTGATGATTCCATCTGTGAAAAGATATTTCTACCTGCCCTCCTCCATCCATTCCTCCACAGAGCTACTGAAGGATCACTCTAACCTGTCTGGACGCCTCTGCCCAGAATCAGCATAATCCCCCCACCCCCACCCATCTCCCTGAGCCCAGCTGTACCCTATAGTCAGGCAGGTGGGCAGCTGTGCCCTGCTGGTCCTGAAGTCTGGTAGCTACTGGGCAGAGCCAGTGTCTGGGAGCAGGAAGCTCACCCAGGGCCATGTGTCTGAGTGGGCAGGGACACCTTTCCCTAAAGCCTCTAGCCTGGGACTGTGCCCCTACCTGGTATTGAGTAGCTTCTGTCTTCTCCAGGGGGTTCAGGTGGGAGCTGGAAGTTGCTTGCAATCGACCAGGACCTTATGGTGGTACAATTCTCCACCCCCAGCCTGCCCCCAAGTCTGGTGAGTACAGGAATGCCCCAGGCCACAAAGCTGGTTCCAGAGGTCAACCTACAGACCGCACAGGGAAGGTTCAACATGTGGGCCCATCCAACGGAATCCACTAGGGTTTGACCCTCATGGGAAAGAACCTCTGGACATGGTAGTACTGTGCGTAAAATAGGGTGCCTGGGAGAATGGCCAGCGCACTGGTATTGCAGAGCCTAGGGACACAGCAGTGCCTGGATGCCCTTGAGGGGTAAGGGTGTGGGGTGTTTACCAGCTCAAACAGGAATGCATGCCATGTCCTCGGGAGGTGAGCAGAAGCTCAGCCTAGTGAAAGCTGCCCACCTCCCCCTCAGGGTAGAGGCAGTAGAGTGAAGAGGCAGCTGGACCACCATGATACATTCCTTCCCCCTGCCCTCATCCCTTGCCCGGCAGAAAGTTGGGTTCCTGCCTCCTGCTGGGAAGGAGCAGTCAGTGTCATGGGTGTCCCTGGAGGAGGCTGAGCCCATTCCCGACATTCACTGGGGCATCCGGGTACTACAGCCACCCCCGGAGCAAGAGAATGTGCAGTACGGTGAGCTGGGCCCTGGGCAGAGGGACATGGCCTCGGTGTGTCCCGGGGTTTCCTGAAGTGTGCTCGAAGCAGCTCACTGTCCCTTTGTGGGTGGGAATGGGGAGTGGCTTAGGGTGGGGAAACCAGGACCCACAGAAAATCGCCTCATGCACAATGCTGTTGTGGAACGTGGGGCTCTCTACCAGGAGAGAAATGTAAGCATTTGGGGTTACTGTATTGCTGTTCGGGCCACACTGGTCAAGACTCAGTTCCAGGGGTCAGCCTCAGACCTGCTGCTATAGATGGGGACACCCCCAGCCCTGGCCCTGCTGACTGCTGCCCCTTCCCTGCAGCTGGCCTTGACTTTGAAGCCATCCTGATGCAGCCCAGCAACCCTCCAGATAAGACCCAGGTGCCCATGGTGGTCATGCCCCACGGTAGGCATCTTGCCAAAGAACCCTGCCCTGGTGCTCTTCCATGGGCCTCTTCACCCTCCACTCCCTGTCTGCAGGGGGGCCACACTCATCCTTTGTCACTGCCTGGATGCTGTTCCCAGCGATGCTCTGCAAGATGGGCTTTGCAGTGCTACTCGGTGAGTAGGCAGGGGCGTGCGGCTGGGTTTGGGCTGGGGTGGAGTAATGGGGAGGCTCTGCTCTCTGGGCCTTTCTGTACCCTGAACCAAGTGGCCAGTGCCAGGCACTTCCAGGCACACCCTGGTTCCCTGGTGTGGTAATAGCATGCATGGTAACTAGGGACTTCCACCTAGGCCCATCCTGGCTCCCTGGTGTGGTAATAGTGTGAACTAACTAAAGACTTCAGGGAAGGGTGCTGTGGTCACTGGGTTGGCACCCTGCCCCGGAATCCCCATGCCTGGATGAGTGAACGCGTGTCCCCGGGGGCTGGGGACATTGCCTAATTACCTGTCTGGTCTTTCCCTGGCCTCCAGTGAACTATCGTGGCTCAACAGGCTTTGGCCAGGACAGTATCCTCTCTCTCCCAGGCCATGTGGGTCAGCAGGATGTGAAAGACGTTCAGGTAGCAAGACTGGGCTGCAGGGCAGGCTGGAGGGTAGGTTGGTGAGGATGTGGCTGCGTCCCACTGGACAGACAGCCGGCTGCAGTGAGCCATGCCCCTTTCCATAGTTTGCAGTGGAGCAGGTTCTCCAGGAGGAGCGCTTTGACCCAGGCCGCGTGGCCCTCATGGGTGGTTCCCATGGCGGCTTCCTCTCCTGCCACCTGATTGGCCAATACCCAGAGACCTACGGTGCTTGTGTGGCCAGGAACCCCGTGATCAACATCGCCTCCATGATGGGCTCCACTGACATCCCTGACTGGTGGGTGTACCCCACAGGCCCCTAGCCTTTTCCCTCCAGCTCTGTCCTTCCACCAAGCCCCTGGGGACCCCAGCACCCTTGGGGCTGCATCAGCACCAAGCCTCTTGCAGGTGTGTGGTGGAGGCCGGTTTCCCATACAGCAGCGACTGCCTGCCAGACCTCAGCGTGTGGGCTGACATGCTGGACAAGTCGCCCATCAAGTACATACCTCAGGTATGTGGCCTTCCGCTGTGTTATGTGCCTGTCCAAACCCTGGGGCCCAGCTCACTTGTTCTCTCCACATCATGTATCCAGGTGAAGACGCCACTGTTGCTGATGCTGGGGCAGGAGGACCGGCGTGTACCCTTCAAGCAGGGCATGGAATACTACCGTGCCCTCAAGGCCCGGAATGTGCCTGTGCGGTGAGTGCAGCCTGACAGCCCTGGCAGCCAGTGGGCAGGTGAGCACGAGAGAACCCCCGCCTTAAAACATTGCCACTTGGCCCCTTACAGGCTTCTGCTATACCCCAAAAGCAGCCATGCCCTCTCGGAGGTGGAGGTGGAGTCAGACAGCTTCATGAACACTGTGCTCTGGCTGCGCACGCACCTGGGCAGCTGAGGCCCTGCCGGGCAGCGTCAACCAATCAGCCCATACCACTTGTTCCTGGGGAGCCCCAGGCTCTGGACTCCATGGACAGATGGGCCAGGAATGTGGGTTGTACGGTCACAATAAATGAGGATTCAGAGCCTGGTTCCTGCTGGTGCTTCATGCCATGCCCTCCCCTGGCTTGCCCTGGGGTTCCCTGACACCAGGTCCTGGGTGTGGCAGCCACCATTGCTCTGTCAGCATCCAGTGTGACAGGATGGCCAGTGAGAGGCTTGACTGACAGACTCAGACCTGGCTCGCTGTCTGCCACAGCCTCACACATTAGAAACTGCCCTGAACCACCCCATGCTCCTGAGAGAGTGACCACAGGCCTGGGAGGCCTTGCCTTTCCACAGCACTCACAGGCTGAGCTAGTCCCAGCTTCAGGTCCTGGCAAGGAGTTGCCAATTCATTCCCTAGAAGCAATGGCTTAGTTAGGAAAGATGGCTTTATGTCCAATATGGAATGTGGTGTGCTCCAAGGCACGTGGGGTTGTAGCCAACCTAGTCCATCCTCATGACCTTGTGAATCCAGTCCACAAACACAGAGACACGTGTGAAGACAGCTGGCCAGCGAGCCCGTGCACACACACGATTGGGGATTATAATTCCCTCCAGGACCCAGCAGTCATGAGTAAAGCAGGCAAGTGGGCCCCCGTAGTCACCCTGGCAGACAGGAGAACTGGTGAGACCGCTGAGCTGTGGCAGTGACCGGCCCCCTTGGTGTTGAAGCCATTGCCAACCCCCCACCACCTCTCCAGGCTGTCCCCAGCATCCCACACCCACCTCACAGGCCCCCACAGGAGCCAGCAGTCCATCAGTGCACATCTCACTCTCCCGGACTCGCCCTCGGTACTTGACATTACACTCCTGGTTGGAGATGACGTTCAGTGAAGCCACATTCAGAACTGCATCATCACCAGTGCCTGCAGGGAGGGGAGTGAGGCAGACTGGGCACTGGGGCGGGGGCCAGGGCCAGCCTCCTGGCATGGCACAGTCCATGCCCATGCACTGCTCTTACCTTTGGTCTCGCCCCAGCCTGCGATCTCACACTTGGTCTTGGGAGGCACCACATACTGCTCCGGGGGCAGGCAGATGAGGGCTACACGCTGGTTCAGGGTCACCGATCTTGGGCAGGAGTGAAGGCAGTTAGGACCCGAAGTGAGGCCCAGCACCACCTCAACCCTCAGCTGCTCCACATACCTTTCCAGTTTGAGCAGGACCAGTTGGGAATCTGAAGGCCCACACACCATTTTAGCCACGGGGACCCGCTGCAGGCCTGGCTCCCCTGGCTCTGGGTTCTGGAACATGGTGCCCAGCCATACCTCGTAGCCCACCAAAGGCATGTGGCTGGGAAAAAGGCTCCACTGGGTCATTTAGATGCCCAGCCTGGGGAAGTAACTGTGGGGAGGGGGAGGAAGGGCATGTAGGGGCAGGGGTCCGGGTCCCAAGCCCAAGGGAGGCTCACCAGGAGGAGAAGCACTGTCGAGCCGTTAGTACCCACTGCTCCTTCACCAGGGACCCCCCACAGAAATGCTGACCCTGTCTGAAGGAGAGGGGATAGCAAGGCTTGGCACAAGGGCTGGGCCTGCCATCTTCCAGCCAGAAACTCTGGGGCCGCAGCATAACCACAGAGGAAACAGCCTTAGTTCCACCCAGAGACGGGCCATGCCACACCTGTTCCGCAAGCTGACTGTCCAGGGCGAGTTCCCAGGTTGGCCGCCTACCACCCGCAGCCTGAAGCGCCGCCGGTCCTGCCGATCTACTCTTTTGCCACACTTTTCAAACAGCACCTGGTCTGTGGGAGGACGGGAGACAGTGAACCCTGGGCCAGACAAGAAGAAGCCACCTAGAGGGTAACTTGCCGAAGGACACACCTGGAGGGTCCAGGATGGATGGTGGCACGTCGTCATCTGAAAATCCAAGTTCACCCAGATTAAGGGGCACTGCCCTCGGCTGTGGGTGCTGAGGAGGGCTTACAGGGGACCATTGCCAGCCTCACCGCAGCGTCGCAGAGCACAGTAGTCAAAAGGGGTCCCAGGGTCTGTAGTGTAGCACCAGGGCCCATGGCTATCCCCGTCAGGATTGCGGCAGAAGTTCTCCTCCAGATTGGCTTGTGGAGCCGAGGTAGGTGTGAACCTAGGCAGAGGAGAGCAGTCAGCTGGCTGCTCGGGTAGGGATCTGACAGGTGATGGAGGGTTAAGATCCCGATGGGATTGGATGTGCTCACAGCGGCTTGTGCGGTGTCTCTGCAGACCAGTGCTGGCATGGGATGCCCTTGCGGGTCTTGCTGACCCGGCCGCGATATTGCTCCCCTGTGCCGTGGTAGCAGTCTGCAGCAGGTGAAAGAGGACAGCTGTCAGCTCCCACTTCACCCCCGCCCTCCCGCTCTGGAACCTTCCCTCTGGGCCTTACCCTCAGGCCCCACATCGTCTGTGCATCGTGGGATCTGGTAGCAAAAGGCCACACGCATGCCCTGTCGTGAGGTAAAGCACCAGGGCGCCTCGGCACCATCGGGGTTCCGGCAGAAGTTCTCACGGAGGTCCCTGGGCGGGTACTGCTATTGGCTGTGGGTGATGGCTCACCTAGCTCACCAGCCCTTCCCTACCCCGGGTCTGTGCTGCAGGGTGCACCCCAATCCCCAACCTCACTTGCATGCATATTTCTCTGGTGCAAAGCGGTGCTGGTGCGGGCTCTGCGCATCCCAGCGCTGGCAGGGCACGCCTGCAGCCGTGGTGTTGGCGGTGCCCCGGTAGTCCTCACCCTTTCCACGGAAGCAGTTGAGAGTAGTAGTTTGAGATCGTGGCTGAGCCTCGGCTCCTGGGGCAAATGGGGCCGGAGGGGAGGAAGCAGCAGCTGGGACTTGTTCTGAGCCACCCACCAGGTCCTACCTAACCCCTCTTCCCTCCAGAGCAAAGCCTGGGCACGTACTGCAGCGAGGAAGGTCACAGAACTCTCGCTCAACCTTTGGGTCTGTGGTGTAGCACCAGGGTCTCTCAGAGCCATCAGGATTCCGACAGTAATTGTCATCCAGGCCTTGGTCAAGGAACCTGGGAGTGACAGTGGGTGGAGAACAAGGCTGCCTCACATAGAGATCCCCCTGGGCCCAGGGTGTACCCCAACTTTGTTCCTGCACTTACTTGCCAGGCTCAAAGGGATGTGGGTGTGGGTGCTGCAGGTCCCAGCGCTGGCACTCACGACCTGACTCTGTGTGGTCCACCGCACCTCGGTAATCCTCACCATTGCACCAAACACAGGTGGCTAGAGGCCATGGGGCCAATACGTGGGCTCCTGTCTTTCCCTCGGGTCCTCCTCTCCCTCCTTCCTTACCTTCCTCCCTTCCTCCCTGGACTCGCCTTGGCCACACTCACCCTCCTGGCAGGACTTGATACCGCAGGTCTGGAAGCGCTCAGCAGGATCTGTGGTGTAACACCAAGGACCCCCAGGGTCTCGGTCTGGGTTCCGGCAAAAGTTTTCTTCCAAGCCATTCCGGAGTGAGGGTGTGTACCTAGGGGGCAGATGGTGGCCACTACAGTGCTGGCTATGGGAGAACTCCCATCAGGGACAGATGGATGGTGTCAGTCTCACTTGTGGTCATTGGGGAACCTATGGTTCCAGGCCTGACAAGGCAGGCCACCAACAGTCACGGCCACTGTGCCCCGGTAGCTGACTCCATTGTCCACAATGCAGGTCCGAACGTAGTCTGGGAGAACAGGATCAAAGGTCAGTGCCAACTGAGATCCTAGGGCACTACCCTGCCACTCATGGCCACTCACCTTTCTTCTGGAAGAGGTCACAGCGCCCAGACGGCTGCAGCTGCGTGTTGGGTGAGTTCTGAGTCCACGGGAGAAGTTGGCAGCCATGGCTGCTCACATTGTAATGGAAGGCCCTAGTGGTAGGAGTGTGGGTACATAAAGGCAGCACAAGGTTAGCCAGCACCCCAAGCTGCCACCATCCCTAGTTCCAGCTGGGTTGTCCCTTGCTCACTCACCGGCAATCCAGGAGGGGCTGGCAGCGCCCAGCACACTCCTCAGCGTCTGCCACATCCTCCTGCCAAGACCTGGGCTCCACCGTGTGGAGAAGGTACCGCAGTTCTGTGCCCCGCAGCACCTGGAAGTCGTTCAGCGGGGAGCGCTGCCCTGCAGGTGGAATACCCAGCAGGAGCACAGTGCCAGGGAAGAGATTCCCTGCCCCCTGGGTCTGTGCATCTGGCCCACACTGCCTCATTGCCCCAGCAGGCCAGAGCATGGAGGGCCTCCATGATCATGTGGGTGCATTTGCCTTCCCAGCTCCCAGGCCAGGTAGGGAAGTGACCTCTTGGCCATATTTGGATGGGCCTGGGGCCAACCTCCTCCTGAAGGCAACCAGGGTTCTGAGAAGGGGGCACTTACCAGGGACCCCTAGACACCACGGCAGAAGCAGCAAGAGTGAAAGCCACCCCATCCTCCCCGCTGGAGGCTGCACTGTGACCCACCACGGCCCCATCCGGGAAGTTGTGAAACCTGTCCCCACGGGATTGGATGACTTCAGAACCACACCCCCACCGAGACCCTGTGGCAGCCATCAGCAGGGGCTAGGCCTCTGGTTCCATGGGGCCAGGTGCAGTGGGTCCTAAGCCCCTTCCTGGAGCAGGCAGCTGTTAGAACTGAGGACACTTAAGAGGCCTTGGGGGTGGGAGGTTAAAACTGCCAGAGAATGCCAGGGACATGGGAGCTGCCTCTGGGATCTGAGTTCCAGGTCCAGCTTGGTAACATGTACTTTTTCTGAGCCCGTTTTCATCTGTGATGTGGGGAACATTGCCTGCCCAATCCCCTTTAAGTGTCTTATCTACTCCAGCTGGAGGCAATTAAGTCACACCCCTGGCAACCCAGCCCAGGCAGTCCCACCCTGGCCTGAAGAAGTGTCCTCTCGGGGAAGGTGAGCAAGGGCACCCGTTGGATTGGGCTGACATGGTGGTTGGGGCGGGGGTGACAGGCGGTGGGCTCTATGCAGGAAGGCCTTTCAGATGTGCTGGGGGACATTTGGGTCAATCCGGCAAGTGTAAGCTAACAGGTGGTCTAGGGATCCCGGCTAGGAAATCACACGCAGGCTAGCAGCGTCCCGGCTATGCTGAGGCCCCAGGAACCTCTAGCGAAGCTGACACCACGAACCACCTGCCGTGCGGCGGCAGACGGAGGCAACCAGGAGATGGTCGAGCGTGGCCGCCGCGCGTGCGCCGACGGCGGCGCGCGATTGGGCGCGTGGCTTGGCCCCGGCCGGGCGCCGTAGCAGAAAAGCAGGGCGGATGTTGTGAGCCGGTCGCGGCGGCCGAGGCTGGTGGGGGTGAGTGGTGAGGGGAGGCCGGGCTGGGAGCGGGGCGGCTCTCCGGGGCTCCCCACGCGGCCCAGGCCCGTCTAGTGCCAGAGCATTCGCCGCGCGTGACATGGCGGCCAGCGGTGCGGGACCCCGGGAGGGTGCTGTTTTGGCAAATGTTCTGGAGGTTGGAGCTCGGCGGGGGCGACCTGGAGGGGCCATGCGCTGCCCTTGGCGTCCTTGGACTCCCCTCGTGGAGGCTTGGGCGAGACTGGGCAGGATTGCCGTGGCAAGGAGTCCCCGGGCAGGGGCAGAATCTGCCTCTCACCTGGGGCCTTCGCACCTGATACCTGGAGTGGGTGGGGGTGTCCCTGCAAGCTCCGCTGGTCCAATGAGTGATCGCGTCTGTTCATTCCTACTGCTGCTGTGGTGTGAGGGGAGGGTGGGACGCCGATCCCTTGAGCTCCCCGAGGGGCCGCAGTGGGTAGCAGGGCGGGAGAGTCACTTTCTCCGGTAGGCAAGGGTTTGTGGAGGGAAGCTGAAGGTCTGTTTGGAATGAGATAAGGCAGTAGTGGCTGAGGCTGTGCTGGTGCGTTGGCTCTAGAAGGGAGCTAGTGGAACTTGCTGTGAGGAGAAATGAGCCGCACCTGTGCTGCCTCCATGGGCATCATTAGCTCCGCGTCGTCCCTCAGCCCTTCAAATAAGACTAATGTAATGACAAGCTTATACTTTAGTTTTGTTTAAACGATTTATTTGAAAGAGTTAAACACCGGTTCACTTTTTTTTAAGATTGATTTTTTTTTTTTTAATTGGAAAGTCAGAGAGGAGGAGAGACCGAGGGGAAGATATTCTCATCTGATGATTGCTCCCCAGGTGGCCGCAATGGACAGAGCTGAGCCTATCCGAAGCCAGCAACCTGGAGCTTCTTCTGGGTCTCCCACATGGGTGCAGGGTCCCAAGGCTTTGGGCTGTCCTCGGCTGCTTTCCCAGGCCACAAGCAAGGAACTGGACGGAAAGCGGGGGAGCTGGATTTAGGACTGTTGCCCATATAGGATCCCAGCGCGTTCAAGTCGAGGACTTTAGCCACTAGGCTACCACGCCTGGCCCACTGGTTCACTCTTAAAATGGCTTTAATGCCTGGGGTTGAGCCAGACTGAAGTCAGGGACTTTATCATTTCCAGTGTGGGCAGCAGGGAATCTAGTCCCTTAACCCACTGGTGCTCAATGCTAGCTGCTCCCCCCCTTTTGAAGATTTATTCATTTATTTTTATTGGAAAGATAGATTTACGGAGAGAAAGATCCGTCCGCTGGTTCACTCCCCAAGTGGCCACAATGGTTGGAGCTTCCTTTGGGTCTCCCATACACGTGAGGAGTTCCAAGCCTTTACGCCATTCTCTGCTGCTTTCCCAGGCCACAAGCAGGGAGCTAAATGGAAAGTGGCATAGTCAGAACTCAAACCAGCACCCATATGGGATCCTGGTGCATGTAAGGCAAAAACTTTAGCCACTAGGCTACTACACCAAGCCTAATGCTAGTCCTTAATGCTTAATTTTAAAAAAAGATTTATTTAGGCCCCAGCACAATAGCCTAGTGACTAAAGTCCTTGCCTTGCATGAACCGGAATCCCATATGGGCTCCGGTTTGTGTCCTGGCGACCTGGCTTCCCATCCAGCTCCCTGCTTGTGGCCTGGGAAAGCAGTTGAGGACAGCCCAAAGCCTTGGGACCCTGCACTCATGTGAGAGACCCAGAAGAAGCTCCAGGCACCTGGCTTTGGATCTGCTCAGCCCCAGCTGTAGCAGTCACTTGAGGAATAAATCAGCGGGGAGGAGCTCTTCCTCTCTGTATATCTGACTTTCCAATAAAAATAATTAAAAAAAAATTTTATTTATTTGAAAATCAAAAGTGATAGACCATGATATCTGCCTTTCATCTGCTGGCTTACTCCCCAAATGGCTGCAGCAGCCAGGGCTGGGACAGGCCAAAGCTAGGAACTCCACCTGGGTCTCCCATATATGTGTCAGTGACCTCAGCCCTCCCAGACGTTTTAGCAGGGAGCTAATGTGGGAAGGCTTGGAAACAGATCAACCAGGTCTTAAATCAGTTCTCTCTTAAGGGATACCTGTGTCTCAAGCAGTGGGTTAATGTGCTGTGCCACAACACTGGCCTTGAAATTTTTTAATTTTTAGAAGTTGAATTCAGATTGGAATAAGCGTGCGCAGCTGGTGGTTGCTGTGTTAGCCATTACAGCTGTCTATCAGAAGTCACCAGGAGCCTGGTGCACCAGGACCTTGGCAAGGCCAGCAGCTGAAAAGAAGGACCCTGCTTTGGAGGTGTCCTGGGCCTCCTGACCGAGAAGGGGAAAGACCAGCAGTGGTCTGATCTTGGGGAGATGTGATGTCAGGGTCTCTCCTGAGCATGAACTGGGCTCGATGGAGCTTGTGCAAGAGATGAATGTGGGGGCTCTGCCTGGGTCACCCTCACTACTCTGGTTTGTCCAAGCTGAGGCATTTAGTTACAATTCAGTTCAACAAACACTGCGCGCCTACAGTCTGTGGGCTCCTACGCTGGGCCCTGGGACAGAGTAGGGAAGAAGACAGACACGTAGGCCTACATCCCTGTCCCCTTCCTGGGTTGGGAGCTGCTCTCCCCTGCCCTGAGTTGCTCTGTGAGGCTGTGGGCTTCTGGGCTTCTCTGCTCCCCAGTGTTCTGCTGTGGCAGGACCAAGGCCGGGTTGGGGGTGGGGCCCTCAGTGCGCCTGGAGCAGACAGGCTCTGCATCTGGCTCAGCCTTCAGGAACCCCGACTGCCCATGGGAGGTGAAGGATGGCGTCCAAGGGGGCCGGTGTGTCTTTGTCCCGCAAGAGCTACAGGCTGACGTCAGATGCTGAGAAGTCCAGGGTCACAGGTAAGGGCTGGTAGGACAGGGAGAGAAGGGTGGGAATGAGGCGGCTGGTCCAGGGAGCCTCAGGCCTCGCTGTGCCTCTTGTCCTGGGAGCCAGCCCTTCAGCAGCAGCCACGGAGCGGGACACCCAGTGTGGCTGTCCTTCGGCCCCCTGGGGCTGGCACCCAAAACTGCACTAACCACGCGCCCCCCTTTCCCTTCTGACCTGTGGCCCAGGCATTGTGGATGAGAAGCTGCTGAATGACTACTTGCACCGCATCTTTGTTTGTCCTGACGATGCCACCTCCACAGCCACCAGCAGGTATGGCTGGGCATGGGGGCCGGGCCGAAGGCTGCAGTGATAGGGAAGGGTCTTGAGCTCTGGCCCCACTCTGCTGCTCCTGGCTAGGAGACTCTGGGCCTTTTCTTTCTCCCTCTAGACAATGCTAGCTGCTTCCCTCCGAGGCTATCGGGAAGGTCAGGTTACAGGTTCAGTGCACAGGGAACACACAGCACTTGCTCCACCCACTGTATCTGGTCCTGCAGGCACCTGCTCACACCTCTGCCCCGCGCTGACCCCACTCTACCTCTCTCTGAACTTGTTCCCTGCAAGTTTACTTTTCCTTATAAGTTTACTGACATTTAGTCCATGTAAAAAAGTTGCAAGTGCACTTCCTGGCGCCTGTTACTTTGTTGTTCTCTTGTGACCATTTGAACTTGATTCTTTACTGTTGCCTCTTTCTCACCTTAGATACAGGTCAGATTCTGCTGTCTAGAAAACCTTGAACATTTCTTTTTGAAAGACGTACTTATTTGAAATGCAGAGTTAGGGAGAGACTGAAGATCTGTCCTCTGCTGGTTTACTCCCAAATGGCTGTCATAGCTAGGCACGATCCAAGAGTTCCAGCCATTTCCCATGTGGGTACAGAGGCACAGGTACCTGAGGCATCTTCTGCTTCTTTCTTAGGCACATTAGCAGGGAGATGGATGATAGGTGGAGAATCCAGAACTTTAACTGGTTTTCCTGTGGGATGCTGGTATCACAGACAGGAATTTAACATGCTGTGCCACAAAACTAGCCCCTTTAAGAAAACATGTTATTGAGCTATCTTTAGGATGAAGCATACATGTAAAACATTCAGTAAGTTTAAGCATTTGTGTAACCCTGGAAAACAACTTTGCCACCATTATAATGAACAGATGTTACTTCTGAAACACCTGAAGGTGTTATTTCTGAAAGTTTATAGGGCATTTGTTTTTTGGCAACCCCTGTAGAACATTTTTCAAACCACATGTTTACTGTTTTTCTACTTTTAGTATAGTTTTTCAATTAAAAATTAAAAAAAAAAAAGAATTGAGAGACAGGGCTCCTATCCACTGATTCATTCCCAAATGAATCAGGCATGACTGTCATAGATGAGTGCAGGGCCCCTAGTGCTTTATGTATTAAATACTGCCCCCAGGGTGCACGCTGGTGGGAGGCTGGAATCGAGAGAGGAGCTGGGACTTGAACCCAAGTAGGCACAAGCTGTGTGTCTTTTTTTCTTTCTTTCTTTTCTTCTTTTTTTTTTGGAAAGTTAAATTTACAGAGAGAAGGAGAGACAGAGAGGAAGATCTTCCATCCGCTGGTTCACTTGGTTCACTTCCTAAGTGGCCGCAGTGGCCAGAGCTGAGCTGATCTGGTTCCAGGAGCTTCTTCCAGGTCTCCCACATGGGTGCAGGGTCCCAAGGCTTTGGGCCATTCTCTGCTGCTTTCCCAGACCACAAGCAAGGAGCTGGATGGGAAGTGGAGCAGCTAGAAATACAAACCAACACCCCATATGGGATCCCAGTTGATGCAAGGTGAGGACTTTAGCCACTAGACTACCACGTCGGGCCCAATAAGCCAGGTGTCTTAACCACCAAAACCTTGCCCCTAAATGCAGTTTTTATCATTAGACATTGTCCTGTGAATGCTTTTCCCCATGATGAGTTGATTCCCATTGGTGTCTTCTAGGGCCAGGAGGCTCCCGTGGCCCGTGGCACAGCCCTGGTCTGGAAGGGCTTTTGCTATTTACACAGTGTTGTGAGTGCTGTGAGGATGCCTAGGCTAGGAGTCAGGTGGCTAGAATGAGCCACAATCATTTTTAATGTTGCTGTCCAGTTGTTTCAAAGGACCATCATGACAGTCCCCTTCTGTAGCTGTCTTCCCATCACCAGCCTCCTCCCCTCTCACCTTCCCCATAAGACCATGTCGTGCCCATCACGTATTACAGTACCTGCAATGATTGGAGTGTTCCTACTTACTTGTACCCAGCCCCATCCCAACCCCAGACCTGGCCTCTTCCCACAGCCACCTGATCCATGCTGCCTCTGGAAATGGTCTTGCTGCCAGGAGGGAGAACAGGTGGCAGGGCTGTCAGTCAGTGGCTATGGGCTGAGACTTGGGGAATGCAGAATTGGCTTGGCCAAGAGGGCAGTACTGCAGACTCTCAGGACAGCTGCCCACAGCTCCATGCAGGCACAAAGGTGGTTTTTTGAGGGGATAGCACACCGTTATTCTCTTGAATATGGGCCTCTAGAACTGCTTTGCAGGAACTCTCCTCTCTTGGGTCCACTTGACTAATCAGAAATGGGTTTGGCTTTCGCCTTCTAAGCTGTGGATTGGGCCCCACCTAGCCTTGGCCTAGGCATCTCCACCTCCTGCAGCTCAGGGTCCTGTGTGTTCCCTGAGCCTGGGTTGCCATTCCCTGGGCAGAGTTGATGTTCTGATCCATATGTATTCCCTCCAAGAGCCTCGGAACTCTGGGACAAATGGGGTGGAAACTGGGATTAAAGGTGTGAGAGTGGGCTCTGACAGCTGACAGGCTCAGGGTGGGCTCGAGATGGGTACCAGGCCCTGCTTTGAATCCTGCTGCTTCCCACCACCCCACTCTGCTATTCTTAGCAGTTGAGCTCAGCCCAGAGCCAGCCAACATTTCACAGTGACCTTTCTCCTGTGAGCATGTGTGCTGAGAGAATGAGGGGGCTGCTCCGGTGGATTTTCCCATCTTCTTTGGCTGTAGCGGGTGGCAGGCAGGTGGGCCATGTGCTCTGCCGGCCACCTGTGGACAGATGGGTTTTGAATAAAGCCAGCCAGCAGCCAGTGAGCCCTGTACCCTGCCAGGACATGTCTGATTTGGCACAGACACCCCTGACTGGGCAGTGAGGGACTGGAAATCTACCCATAAAGGAACCACAGGCCCAGGGTGAGGGGCTGTACCAGGTGACCTTGGTCTTGCCATTGTGGGGACTGGCATTTCTCCCAGCCTTTACACACCCGCCTTCAAGAGTAGACAGGCCATGGGACATGTATTCATGGGACATGTATTCATCCTTGCACGAACTCTTAGCAGGGTTTCTGACATCGAGCTGCTCTTCTCTGCACAGTTGAGGGGATAATGGCCCAGGGGAGCTGGGATCTGTTAATTGTCCCGAGTGTATGGGGATGGCTCAGAGTTCCCTGGCTCTTCCCGACAGAGTCCAGGCAGCCACCCTCTGAGCTAAGGGAAAGAATGGGGGTGGGGAGTGTCATCCGGCTGATTTCAAGGACTTGTGGTCCCCTGGCAGCCTCTCACTCTCCCCAGGAAACCCCTGAACTTCCAGAACCTTCCAGAGCACCTGGACAAGCTGCTGCAGGTAGACAATGAGGATGAAGAGAGCCAGGGTATGTGACAGCCTGGGATGTGCTGGGGTGTCAAAACTGGGCCCTGGAGGGCACTGGAGACTTTCCCAGTGAGTTCCATGCACCCCGTATATTTCATCAGACCCTCTGGCCTGCCCCACCCCATGCCTCTCCCCTTTGCAGGGCAGGTTGAAGGGCGACTTGGCCCATCCACTGTGGTCCTGGACCACACGGGCGGCTTTGAGGGGCTCCTCCTCGTGGATGACGACCTCCTGGGGGTGAGTGAGGGCCAAGTGAAGGCCCTGGACCCATCTTTTTGGACATAGCTCAGGCTCCTTGTCCTGAGGCCCTGGTCTTGCCACTCTGCTTGATAGGGCCATAACTAGAACCTGGTCCTGACCCAGGCCCTTCCCAGCATGGTCCCTAGCCTCCTTAATTTATGCCCCTGACCCAGATTCCTTCCTGATGCAGGCCTAACCCCTGCCACCCTGGTCAGGTATAGTGCATGCTGGTCATAGGGTCACCTCCGCTGGAGGTAAGCTCCTTATCACTCAGGGGAGGCAGCCCATGTTCCTGGGAGGGAGCTGACCAGCACTGTCCTTCACCCAGGTGATTGGGCATAGCAACTTCGGCACCATCCGCTCTACCACATGCGTGTACAAAGGTGAGGCAACCATATTCCACTGTGGCCCATGGAGTGAGGAGGAACCTGGGGGCGGGGCATGTCTGAGGCACAAGGCAGTCTTCGTCACCTGTTGAGCCTAACTCAGCTCTCCGCAGGGAAGTGGGTCTACGAGGTGCTCATCTCCTCGCAGGGACTCATGCAGATCGGCTGGTGCACCATCAGCTGCCGCTTCAACCAGGAGGTACCTGCTGGGGAGGGGCTCTTCCTGCCACAGGCCCCAGGGCTTTGGCCTCTCTAAAACCTGCATGGGACCCTAGTCAGGACTGCCCTCTGGAGAAGGAGGGGGTTCTCCTTAACCCCAACCACCAGCTTGAACAGTACCCTTCCCTTTCCCTGATATGTCAGCCCCTTTCTCTAGAGCCAAGTGGGCACTTGTCCTGCCCCTTCCCCGCTCCCTGCCAACTCACGGACAATTCCTCCCTAGGAGGGAGTGGGTGACACACAGAACTCCTACGCCTATGATGGCAACCGGGTGCGCAAGTGGAATGTGACAACCACAAATTATGGCAAGGTGAGGGCTAAGCCTCCTGTGGGTTGGCTGGGTCACCTGTCCCATGTAGCCAGTGTGGAACTTCTGAGCAGTCATGAGGGACTACAGGGCCACTGGAGAACAGACAGGGGCTCAGGACTCCTGTCTTGCATGGCCAGTCTCCCTTGGGTGGTCCATCCTGGAAATGTAGCTGTGGATGCCGGGGAAGGTAGGTGGGTGGACTTCCTTGTGTCTTAAAGGCCACCTCTTATGCCAGGCTTGGGCAGCAGGGGACATTGTCAGCTGTCTGATCGACTTGGATGAAGGCACCCTGTCCTTCTGCCTGTGAGTCTCCTGCCCTGTGGCCTCTCTGAACTGCCCTCCAGTCCCCTGGTAGCCTGCAGGTGGGCAGCCACGCCCTCCTTAGCACTGGCTCATGGCAGCCCCGCTTCTCCTCCAGGAATGGTGTGTCGCTGGGCACCGCCTTTGAGAACCTGTCCAGGGGTGTAGGCATGGCCTATTTCCCCGCCATCAGCCTCTCTTTCAAGGAGTCCGTGGGTTTCAACTTCGGCAGCCGTCCTCTACGATATCGTTTTGGGGGGATGGCCGTGGATGTTCATGAGCTCCCAGGACCTTGGGCTCAGCCGCTTCCTGTGTCATCAGATGTGTATGGGCTGGGAGTGGGCCCAGGCTGCGGCGAGAAGTGAGGAGGGTACACCATGCGCGGGTGCTGAGGACCGTGGTCTGGCGGGGTGGGGACCTTGGTCACCTGCTAGAACAAATGAGACCAAGAAGTGGCAGGAGAAGAGTCACTGCACAGAGTGGGGGGAGGCAGGGGTGCTGCATTTCAAGCTCTGCCCCAGAGCACAAGACCAGGGGTTGCTGCCTTAACTCTGTGGCACCTACCCTGTGGCGGGCTACCGGCCCCTGCAAGACCCGCCGGGTGCTGACCTGACACGGGCACAGAGGTTGCTGGGCTGTTTCCGGGCCGTGCTGAGCGTGGAGCTGGACCCTGTGGTGAGCAAGGGCCTGGGCTGGGTACTGTGGGGCCTTCCTCAGGCCCTCAGCCCCTCACGGCCCTCTCTCCTTGTGTCCCCCACCCACCAGGAAGGGCGGCTAGTGGAGAAGGAGAGCTCAGAGTGGCAGGTGCAGGGCCAGCCCACCGTCCTCCTCACACTGGCCCATATCTTCCATCGCTTTGCTCCACTCCTGGTGAGGGCACCCGCCACGCAGAGGGGGAAGGCTTGGCCTGTCACTCGTGGCCTGAGGCTGCGGATGCCTGGCCAGCTGCTCTGGCTAGAGTGTGAAAGCCACCAGCTCACGATGTCCACTCTTGGTGCAGCACCAGGTGTACTTGGTTGAGGCCGTGCTCATGAGCTTCCTGCTGGGCATTGTGGAGAAGGGCACGCCCGAGAAAGCACAGGCCATGGTGCACCAGGTCATGGACCTCCTGTGGCTCTTCATGGAGGTAAGGTTCATGACTCAAGCTTTGGGCCAGGCCAGTGGGCTCCCCAGCAGTGAGGGAGCTTCAGGGAGAGTCTTGGAAAAGTCCTCATGCCCTCGTGGTTGCCCTGGCACTGTTCCCTTCCCACCCCACCCCCAGGACTACGAGGTACAGGATTGTCTCAAGCAGTTGATGATGTCTCTACTGCGGCTGTACCGGTTCTCGCCCATCGTCCCGGACCTTAGCCTGCAGGTAGGGGAGCACCTGGCCCTGCCCTGAATCCCCAGGCTTCCGCCACCAGTTCTGATTGTCCCCTTTCCACAGATCCATTACCTGCGGCTCACCATTGCCATCCTGAGGCATCAGAAGTCCCGCAAGTTTCTGCTCAGCAACATCCTGTATCCTCCCCTTGCTGCTGGGTGGGCGAGGCGGCACACCCTGTGGGCTCAGCAGGCCGGGGTGCCCCAGGGAGAGTACCTCAGGAGGCTCAGGAGGCCCAGGGTTTCCCAGCATCTGAGTCCCATCCCCAGGACTGGCCCCTCCACTCCAGCACTGTCCTAGCCAAGCAGGGAAGGTGAAACAGACGCTTTGAGCCCAGTGGCCCACCTGCATGGGGCTTCTGGGTGAGCAGACTCCAGGCTACACAGAAGTGCAGCAGGGAACCCTGCGGCCTGGCCTCTGCTACAGGTGCTTGTGTGGTGCCTTCCCCAAGATGCTAACCCCAGTGTCGGTTAAGAGGGCAAGCCAGGCTTGGTGGCCCTGGCAGCTACAGCTTTCTCGAGACTCCCAATTCAAGGATGGGGAACAGGTGCAAAATGTCAGCGATGCACTTGATGGTGGAGAGCCATGGTGGGCACATCCTGTGTGGGTTCCCAGGCATCTGGGGGCTCATGGCAAGCAGACCCATGCCTTGACTGCCACCAGCTTCGATGTGCTGCGCTCCGTTGTCTTCTTCAACATCAAGAGTCCCCTGCGTGTAGAGGAGGCCGGTCTGCAGGAGCTCATCCCCACCACCTGGTGGCCCCACCGCTCCAGCCGGGAGGTGGGCAGCAGTCTGCGGAAGGCAGCTCTGGGGAGCTGGACCGCCTGGCCCTTAGTCTGTGAGATGTCTGTCTGCCTCAGCTCTGGTTCTCATCGTCAGGGGGTAGTTTTGGGGGTCTCTGAATGAAATGCAGGCTCACATGCGTTCTGGGTGAAACCTCTGTCCTTGCCCAGGGCAAAGATGGTGCAGAGGACCAGGAAGAGTCCGCTGAGGAGCGGCCCCGGCGGCGGGCCTATGAAAGGGGCTGCCAGCGGCTCAAGAAGCGCATCGAAGGTCAGCCCTGGCAGTGAGCAGGGAGACAAAAACCCACTGGTGTTAGTGCCCATTCCCAGGTTGGGTTTGAGGTGCCCTGGTGGTTGGTGGAGTCCCACCCCATACCAGCTACCCCTTCCCACCACTGGGAGCCTGAGTGTCCTGTCCTGCGCCCATCCCATCCTTAGTGGTGGAAGCATTACAGGTCCAGATCCTGAAGCTACTATTGGACAACAAGGATGAAAACGGGGTGAGTGACTCCCCGCCTGCCACAGGGGAGGTTCCTGGATTGGGCCCCAGGACCTGGAGGCTGCTGAGCTGTTCTGGTCCAGATCAGCATGCTCTGCTCACTGGTCTCGTTTTCTCCCAATCTCGAAGGGGGAAGCTTCTAGGTACATTTTCTTGACCAAGTTTCGAAAGTTTCTGCAAGAAAACGCCAGTGGCCGTGGGGTAGGTGCCCTCGCCAACTTCCCACAGCAGCCCTGCTCAACCCCTGGGATCATGGGCCAGAGCCTTGATGGGCTGGGCCCTGGGCCAGCACTGATGCATGCTGTATGCCCTGTGCCCCCAGAACATGCCCATGCTCTGCCCCCCTGAGTACATGGTCTGCTTCTTGCACCGGCTGATTTCTGCCCTCCGCTACTATTGGGATGAATACAAGGTCTCCAATCCCCGCGCCTCCTTCAGCGAGGGTGAGTGAGGCTGGGCCGGAGGGCAGTAAGGCAGTGGGAAGCCAGGCCCAGGCTGTCACTAGCACTGGTGTAGGCTACTGAGCTGGGGCCAGAACAGGGGGACAGTCCCAACCTCCTGCCCAGCTGAGTCCTTCCCCAACTGCAGTTGGTTTCTTTCTTTTTTTCTTTCTTTCTTTTTTTTTTTTTTTTTAAGATTTACTTATTTTTATTGCAAAGTCAGATATACAGAGAGGAGGAGAGACAGAAAGATCCTTTTTCCAATGATTCACTCCCCAAGTGACTGAAACAGCCGGTACTGTGCTGATCAGAAGCCAGGATCCAGGAGCTCCTCTTGGTCTCCCACACGGGTGCAGGGTCCCAAGGCTTTGGGCCGTCCTCAACTGCTTTCCCAAGCCACAAGCAGGGAGCTGGATGGGAAGCGGGGGGCAAACTGGGGGGAGTCTAGGCTTTGGGCCCTACTCTGTCTTACAAGGCCAGGAGTCCACTCTTGTGCTGGATCAAATTAGAGAGGCAGGTTCTGTGGAGGGTCTTCCTGCTAGGCCCTGACTGCTGTCTGCGCCTCCCCAACTCCCTGCAGAGGCCTACATCCCACCCCAGGTCTTCTATAATGGCAAAGTGGACTACTTCGACCTGCAGCGTCTCGGAGGCCTCCTCTCCCATCTTCGGAAGACACTCAAAGGTGTGTGCAGACCCCTGGGCAGGGAGTCGGTCTGGGGCAGCCAAGTCCATCTCAAAGCCTGCTCTGCTGTGGTTGCTGAACTGCCCTCTGCCCACCAGAGGGCGCTTGGGTATCTATTTTCAAGGTGGCACTGCAGATTTGCCTGCTCAAGCTCTCTCTGGTCCTGGGGCCAGCTGTCCGTTGCCTGCAGTGCCCACCCCAGAGGGAGGCTGGGGTGGCTGGTGTGAAACACAGTCAGGCATGCTGATAGAGGCCTGGGGTGGGCTTGGTGGGCTCAGGGCAGGGGACATGCAGCTGCTGCTGGGCGCAAGGGCTGGGAGCGCAGTGTGAGCTCTGGAGCAGCTGTCCAGAGGCTGGGGTCTGCACTGGCTGCTGTGGTGTGGGAAGTGGAGTGCAGTGGCTGAGAAAGGAAGCAGCGAGGCCAGGTATCCAGGCCGTGTGCTGGGGACGCAGAGGAGGAGTCGGATGACCCAAGATATCCTGCCAAAGGAGTGCCATGGGGGGGCGGGCAGGGACTTCAGTCTGAAGTGACAAGTTCAGTGGTGGCTGCAGTGTACTTGCAACATCCATGAACATAGCTGGGAGGGTGGCCTGGGCTGGAGACAAAGTTGGTGCAGTCAGCTGTCAGGCAGAGCTGGGGACCTGCCTGGGATGAGGTGTGGTTCTCGGGGGAGTATGCAGAGCAGGGCCAGCAGGGCCCTCAGCAGCCCTGGGCTCTCCTGCTTAGGGAGCTGGAGAGGACCCTCCATGGGTGAGCCCGCGGAGAGGTACAGAGGGGGTCCTGTGGCCACCGAGCTGCTGCTGGACACGGGACCCTCCGAGGCTTCCTGCCATCCTGGGTGATCCTCCTCAGAGCCTCTCAGTCTACCCTGGCCTGAGGTTCCCTCTGCTGTCCCACCCAGATGACCTTGCTTCCAAGGCCAACATCGTGATCGACCCATTAGAGCTCCAGGCAGCCACCATGGATGACCTAGACGAGGATGAGGAGCCAGCGCCTGCTGCCGCCCAGGTACCTCCCAAGGACAGGCTGGAGGTGTCCTGGGGGGCTTTCCTCTCAGAAAGGCATGGGTGTCAGGGCCACCCCCTACCACCATGCACAAGTGGTCTCTCCTCCATGGGGGGGAGTAGTGGGGAGGAGCTCTCCCTGTCCACTGCCAACCCCTCAGAGCAGAGGTACCTTGTGGGGGCCCTCGTCTTGGGGAGCTGAGCAGCTCTGGCCCCCTTCTCTGTACTGCAGCGCCCCATGCAGGCCCTGGCCGTGGGGGGCGCCTTGCCCCTGCCTCGGCCTGGTTGGCTCAGTTCGCCCACGCTGGGCCGAGCCAACCGCTTCCTCAGCACGGCAGCCGTGAGCCTCATGACCCCACGACGGCCGCTTAGCACCGCGGAGAAGGTGAAGGTCCGCACACTGAACGTGGAGCAGAGGACACGAGAGGACAGTAGGTGCCGGGCAGGGCCGGGAGGCTCAAAAGGACATCCCCAGCCCAGACAAAGCCAGACGTACCGCGTGCCCCTCTAACCAGTGTCCTGGCAGCATCCCAAGGGCGCTGAGGGCAGGAAATGGAGGCTACAGAAATAGCTGCTGGTGCTGCTAGGCCTAGCCCTGCTGCCGTCCTCGCCCGCAACTCTCCCCTCTGGAGCCCCACAAGGGTGTTGGGCATGGGGCACCCCCCCTTGGGGGAAGCCCACCCAGCGTGCCCATGTTGAGCGGCCGGGGGCCCTGACCTCAAGCTCCCTTCCATCCCCTCACAGTCGAGGGCAGCCACTGGAACGAGGGCTTACTGCTGGGCCGGCCGCCCGAGGAGCCGGAGCAGCCGCTCACTGAGAACTCGCTGCTGGAAGTGTTGGATGGGGCCGTCATGATGTACAACCTCAGTGTGCACCAGCAGTTGGGCAAGGTCTCCCCTCGGGCCTCCCAGATGTGGGTGGGGTGCAAGGTGCTGCCTGGGGGCAAGCAGCAAGAGGCCTCATCAGGTCGGGGTGGGGGGCTTGCGAGGAAGGGGCTATCCTGGGCCCCAGGTTGGTCCCGGCTGGGTCTGACCAAGGGTCACCCTGCCCATGTGGTGTCCAATGTTAGATGGTGGGTGTGTCTGATGATGTCAACGAGTATGCCATCGCCCTGAGGGACACGGAGGACAAGATCCGCCGGTGCCCCAAGCGGGTAAGGCCTGGACAGGCAGGCAGGTCTTGGCGAGGGAGGGGATCATGTAGGGGCGGTGGCTTACTGGGGTCCTAGGATGGGCTGCAAAGGTAATCTGAGTCTGGGAGCTGTCCCAACCCCCATTAGTGGGAATGGGGCTGGTAGCAAGGCCTGGTGTGGTTCTGAGCTCTGTCACCCAGCAGCAGCCGGGCCTCCCCGCCCCTCCCCCCAGCCTGTTAAGTGCTGATGTTCTCTGCTCTCCTCGTCAATTATGGATCGCCCTGAGTGCTTCCTTAGCCGCTCGCCGAGTCAGCAGGACTGGGGCCCAGCTCTCCCACCCCCAGGAGCCCCTCTGCCTTGCCACTGCCCTCTTCCCTCCACATGCCAGGCTGGGCTTCCCTGGCAGGCCTTGGCTGCTGGAGCCATAGCCATGGCATCCTGGCCCCAGGGTGCCCTGGCCAGCTCAAGGGGTGACCGTGCGCCTGTTTGGAGGCTTGTTCAGGGTCACCAGTGGATCAGTGGCAGAAGAGAGTTTGAAACCTAAAGCTGACTCCTGGCCCACCCAGGCACTCAGGGCAAGGGTGCTGGGAGGTGGGGGAGGGCAATGGCACAGTGAGAGCCCCAGGCAGGGCTCGTGACCGATGGGCCTCTCGCTGTGGCTGGCAGAGGAAGGACATCCTTGCAGAGCTGACCAAGAGCCAAAAAGTGTTCTCAGAAAAGCTTGACCACCTGAGCCGCCGTCTAGCCTGGGTCCACGCTACTGTCTACTCTCAGGTGAGTGGTCGTGGCTTTGGCCAGTAGCCACTCTCCCATGGCCATGCTACCTGGCCATGGATTAGGCAGGGCTGGACCAGGCCTCTAAAGTTCCCCTTCCACTCAGGACTCTGGTGCCCAGGCCTCTCCTCACCTTTAAGCTCCTTCTGCCACCTCATACCCCTTTACCACTACTTCCTAGGAATTTCAGTAGTGGTCATGTCTGGACCACCAGTACACTCCCAACCCGTAAAGCTTTCCCTTAAGGTTAAGGCCAAGGTCTGGCTCTGCCCACCGCCTCTGCCCCCATCCTGCCTTTTCTGGTGCTTCTAGGGTTCTGTGGCCCTGGCCACTCCCCACCCCCAATTCTGCACCTGGTTCTGTCTGACCACCTGCTCTCCAGGACACCGGTGGGTTCCCTGCTGGCCCGTGCCTTCAGTGACACAGCCTGGAATGTGCTGGTGCCCTCCTGGACACGAGACAAACCCAGCAGGAAAGGGCCAGATGAGCTGTGCCCTGCTAGGGCTCCAGGCCCACTGGACAATGTGGATGAACAGATTGACTGGAGTCTAACTAGACCCAGGCGCTTTGCACTTATTTCTTCTCCATTCTGGCAGCAGGTGCCCTAGAACACTCAGCTGCCTGAGTCAGGGCACCTGCTAGCTTGGGCATGCCCTGCTCCAGAGCTAGGTGGCTAAGATCTTGGTGTTCCCTTCTCTGCGTGGTATTCATCCTTGTGGCTCCAAACCCATCTGCTGCCATGCCATGGCTGTCCCTGCCTGTCGTCCTCATTGGCGCACACCACCTTGTGACGTGCAGATGATGTGTGGGGGGCTTCCCCCGAGCCCGGGCAGCCTGGCTGCCGCCTCTCATGCCATCCTCTCTGGGCTCTTTCTGTGCCACTTTTTCAGATGGTGACAGGGCACGCATCGTGGCTTAGTGGGCTGAGCCTGTTTCAAGTCCTGGTTGCATTGTGCTTCTGATTCAGCTTCCTGCTGGCATGGCTGGGAGGCTGTGTGGGAGATAAGGGTGGGCTTCCTCCTGGCTTCAGCTTTGAGCCAGCCCTAGCTGCTGTGGATGGTCTGCAGACTAAGCCAGCAAATAAAAGGACACACACTTTCTGTCTCTGTCACTCTGCTGTTCAGAGAAATAATTGGATAATAATCTGGATCCCCAACATGGTTAGCCGGGGTGCAGAAATCTGAGATCTGCTGCTGCCCATTTGTCACAAATTTACCAGGGCACGGGATCAGAAGCAGAGGAACAAGCTGGCACCCCCAGCAGTGGCTTAGCCTGCTGTGACTGCAATGCCCACCCTGACTAGTCTGCTTTCAGTCTGTGGGACTTCTAATCAGAGTAGTATTTTTGTTCTTGTTTTCTTGAGAATGTGGCAGTCTGTTTTCCGCGGTGACTGTACTATGCTAGTGTTCCCGCTTAACAGTATGTATTGCTTCAATTTCTCCACTTCCTCCCCAGTGCTTGCCTTCTGTGGTTTTGATGGCCGCCGTCCCAGTGAACATGACGGGGCAGCCCGTGGCTGCAGCGCGTCTCCCCGCGGCTGCCTGTGTCGGGCACCTTTTCATGAACTCACTGGTCGTGTGGACATCTCCTTTGCAGACAGTTCAGTCCTTGTCCCTGTTTGTGAACGGCTTGTTCGTGTTTTTGTTGTTGAGTTGCAGGAATTCTCTGTGTGGTTGGGATATTGGCTCTGTGTCTGTCCGGGTTGCCTTTTTACCCCACCCATTATATCTAGAGAGTTTTAGTTTTGATGCTATCCAATGTATCTAGCTTTTGTTTCGTTGTGTCTGCTTTTGGGATCATATCCAAGGAATCGTTGCCAATTCCTACATTAGGCCAAATCCAGTGTCATAACATGAATCTTGGAAAAGAAAAAAAAAACTCATTGCCCTTACCTGTGTGCGGTTATCACTGGGATTCTGTATGATTCTGTTGTGAGTGTATCCTTATGCCAGCTCCACATAGTTTTGTTGTCGTTGTTATTTCTTGCATTTACTTATTTGAAAGTCAGTCTTAAGAGATAGAGATCTCCCATCTGCTGATTCACTCCTCAAGTGGTCAGAGCCCAGCCTTTGCCAGGCCACAGGTAAAAGGAGCTTCATCCAGGTCTCTCCTGTAGGTGGCAAGGGCCCAGACCTGGGCCATCGTCAGCCGCTGTCTCAAGCGTCAGCAGGGAGCTGGATCCGGAGTGAGCCTACCAGTGTTGGAGGCTACAGCCTTACCTGCTGCTGTGCCACAGTACTGGCTCTGGTTCTGGTTTTGTCGGTTGGTTGGATTTTAGTTTTAAAAAAATTATTTTGGTTTGATTTGAAAGGCAGAAAACAGCGTAGCTATTCCATCTGCTGGTTTACCCTCCAAATGCTTGTCATCATCTGCTGCCTCTCAGGGACGGACGTTGGCAGGAGCCTGGTCAAGAGCCAGGAACTCAATCCAGGGCTGTTTGAGTGACAGGAACCCGGCTGCTGGAGCTTTCTGGGGTCTGCATTGGCAGGAAGCTGAAGGCAGGAGCTGGCATCTCGGGGGCATGGGCCTCACACCTGCCGGGCCAGACGCCTGCTGTCTCAGTTCTCACTGGCTTGGCTTTGACATCAGGAAACCTGAGACTTGCAGCTCTGTTCTTCTTCAAGATTGTTTTGCCCTTTTAAAGTCCTTTGAAATTCCAGATGAATTTCTGGATGGACTTTAAAAAAAATTTTTAAGATTATTTATGAAGTCAAAAGTTAGAGTTACAGAGAGGAAGACAAAAAGGCGGTGGAGAGATCTTCGTCCTCTGATTCACTCCCCAGGTGGCTACAATGGCCAGGGCTGGGCCAGGCTGAAGCATTGAGTCTGGGCTTCTTCTGAAGCTCCCACGGGAATACAGAGACCCAAGCACTCGGGATGTCCTCTGCTGCTTTCCCTAACCAATAGCACAGAGCTGAATGGGAAGTGGCACCCAGGTTTGTGTTGTGACAGCTCCACTTCCCATCCAGCTCCCTGCCTGTGGCCTGGGAAAGCAGTTGAGGACGGCCCAAAGCCTTGGGACCCTGCACCAGTGTGGGAGACCTGGAAGAAGCTCCTGGCTCCTGGCTTTGAATCGGGTCAGCTCCAGGCGCTGTGTGACTATTTGGGAAGTGAATCAGTGGACAGAAGATCTTGCTCTGTATATCCTCTCTTGTAAATTTGTTATGCTGTTCCAAGAAAAAAATTTTAACCCTTTTAAATGTCAGTCTATTTTCCTAATCTTTTCTCTGTAACTAAACAGATACATTTTAAATGGACTAATCACAAACTGTTTAGCAAGTTTCCACTTAAACATATACCGTGGACAATTTTTCACATCATTAAATATTTTGCAACTTAAGTGATTTATTTGAAAGGCGGAGTTAGGGACAAAGATTCCATTTTCTTTTTTTAATATAAATTTATTTTTGATGATGCTTACATAGTTGAAATGCCCATGTGGACCGTGGGGAGTGGGGGGCGGGGTGCGTCAAGGAATGGAGAAAAGCAGATGAGACCGTTGCTTTCATGTTTTTTTCCTGTGTCTGGGAGAAGAGGGGAGGGAAGGCAAGGGCTGTTCCCAGCAGCCCAACTGCGTCAGCACCCGGGGCTGTGGGTCGGCCACTTGATGTGATCCTAGGGTTCCTGATATGGATGTGTTTGGAGGGTTCTGCTTAAGTGGTTTCAATATTTCTGAGATGCTGTTGATTTCATTGCTCCAAGGTTGAGGAAATCCTTCCAAAGTCCTTTACAAGGTCCCCCTGGAGTCTCCATTCACCAGATACTTGCTGTCAAAGCTTGGACAGGAGAGTAATCTAATTTGTTCTGTCCTCTGCAGGTCTCAGTGATCTGTCACGTCCCCCATGTGCATGTAGATGTGCCATCCACTGCACAGGCTTCAGGAACTGAAAAAATAATAATTAAAAAAGAAAAGCCAGTGCCCTTTGTTTCTGCAGAAACCTTGGTTGGGGCTTTAACAGAGACCGTGCCGAGCCTGTGGCACCTGTGGGCAGGATTGGCATCGTAACACCAAGCTAACAATCCATGAACATGGGGTTCCCTCCATCTATTTAGATGTTTAGTTTGTTTCAGCTACATTTTGCTTGGTTAGACTTATTCTGAAGTATTTTGTTCTTTTTGATAACAGTGTAAATGGAATTGTTAATTTCCTTTTGGCTTGTTCCTCATTGGTTTGGACAGACACCACTGATTTTTTTTGTGTGTGTGTGTGTAGCTAATTTGTTTTTAAAGGCTTTATTTATTTGAAAAGCAGAGTTGGGGGAGGGAGGGAGGTAACACGTGTCTTTCATGCTTTAGTTCCTAAAATGGCCACAATAGCCAGGACTGTACCTGGCGCTTCCTCTAGGTCTCCCCTGTGGGGGAGGGGCCCAGACACTTGTTCCATCCTCTTCTGCCTTCAGGTACATTAGCAGGGAGCAGATAGAAAGGGATGCCAGCCTTGCAGACAGTGTAACACATTATGTCACAGTGCTGCCCCACAGCTGATTTTTTTGTGTGTGTTGATTTTGTGTCTTGCAACTTAAGTGAATTTGTTCTGTCAGGGGTGTGTGTGTGATCTTAATAATTTCCTCTCGTTTGGATTGATTTATTCCTTTTTCTTGTCTAATTGCTCTGGCTAGATAGTCCAGTTACTATGCTGAATAGAAACAGAGTGGGCATCCTTACCTTGTTCTTGGTCTTAGAGACAAAGTTTCCAGGTCTGCATTCATGTTAATGTCGATTTTTCATATTTGGGATGCTGGCATTGCAGACTTGGCCTAACCCACTGCACCACAATGCCAACCCCTCCATGACCATTATGAAATAGTTTATTTTATATTTTTCAGCTTTTTTAAAGTCAGAGAAACAGATGACATAAGTGACAGAATAATCATTCATCTCTTGGTCTGCCTCCCAAATGCAACAACTAGGACTGGGCCAGGCTGAAGCCAGGAGCCTAAAACTCAGTCTAGTCTCCCACATGTGGCAGCATTTGGGCTGTCATCTGCTACCTATTGGGTACATCAGCAGGAAGAATTAGAGGTGGAGCTTCTGGGACTCAGACCAGCTCTCCTCCATGGGATGCAGCCTCCCAGGCTGTGGCTTATTCGGACAGGCCACAACTCCTGCCATCCTGTTCTACCCGGGGTCATGCCGCATCTCCTGCCCCATTTCTTGTCCCCTGTCCTCTGAGCTGCAGTGCAAAATTTCCATGTGTCTTCTGCCCTGCACTGCCTGTGCCACCTGTCTCCACCCCACCCTGAGTGCCCTGTGCTATGAGCCACACCCCTCTGTTTCTGTAGTTGTTCTGATCACCAGGAAGGCTGCAACACCCCTAGAAATGAGCTCCCCCTTCCTGGGGTGGCCTTTCTTGGGTTCCCACAGCTCAGTGGTAACCTGGAGCCTGGGGCACCCAGTCCGAATGGCTCCCTCCCCAGTCCCTCCTGACTCGGGCCACACTTCAGCACATTCCTGGCCTCCTCTTACACCCGTTCCATGCACTGTGAGGCCTGGATTGCCTGGCTCACACCTTCCACAATGCAGTTCTCTGTCCAGATGTTCTAGTTCCAGGGAAGGTTCCCCCTAGCCCCTGGCCAGGCCCTCTCCCCAGGGGACAGTGGACAGCCCAGTGTGCCACATGTGCTCCCTGCAGGAGAAGATGTTGGACATCTACTGGCTGTTGCGCGTTTGCCTGCGCACCATTGAGCACGGCGATCGTACGGGTTCGCTCTTTGCCTTCATGCCCGAGTTCTACCTAAACGTGGCCATCAACAGCTACAGCGCTCTCAAGAATTACTTTGGCCCCGTGCACAGCATGGAGGAGCTCCCAGGTGATGGGGCCATGTGAGGGAAGCCTTCAGCTCAGGCCCTGGCCTGAGCCACGTGGGCCAGCAGCATACACCCCCATGGGAATGAGGTCACCCCACATTATGCCCTTCCCTGCAGCTACAGGACCGGGGGGGGGGGGGGTGCAGAGTGAGGGCTCCTATGGCTTATAGCTTCCTCCAAGCAACTGTTGTGGCCCCGAGCGTATGGCCATGTATGGTGGACAGCATGGCTCACCTCACACCTGCTGGCAGGATGCCCTGGGAACCTGTGCTGGAGCCCATCCCCCAGGCCCCCACCCTGCCCAGAGACATTCCTGTCTAGGAACCCCTACTCCCAGCTGACAGCTCTCGCCCTGCCCCTTTAACAGGCTATGAAGAAACCCTTACCCGCCTGGCTGCCATCCTGGCCAAGCACTTTGCTGACCCGCGCATTGTGGGCACTGGTGAGATGCTCACACAGGGCCCCAGGGTGGGTGGGGTGGAGTGGTAGGATGAAGGCTGTTGGGTGTGAGCTTGGAAGTCCAGGACACAACCACCACTCACCACGGCCCGGCCCACAGACATCCGCGATGCCCTGATGCAGGCCCTGGCCAGCTACGTGTGCTACCCACACTCCCTGCGGGCGGTGGAGCGGATCCCCGAGGAACAGTGAGTGGGGCCTGGGGGACTGCCCGCCCTGCCCTACACATCCTGTGCTTTGCTGTGCCCTGGGCCCACCACCCCTGTGCCCTCACAGGCGTATTGCCATGGTGAGGAGCCTCCTGGCCCCTTATGAGCAGCGGCCTTGGGCACAGACCAACTGGATCCTGGTGCGGCTTTGGAGGGTAAGGCAGCCTGGGGACAGGTGGCCAAGGCTGGCAGGATGGGAGGCTTGTCTTCCCCACGATGACCCCCCATTCTTCTCCCAGGGCTGTGGATTTGGGTACCGCTACACCCGGCTGCCACACCTGCTGAAGACCAAGCCCGAGGATGCCAACTTGCCCAGCCTTCAGAGTGAGTGTCAGTTGCCCATGGGTTCTTCCTTCAGGCTCATCCAGCCCTTCTTCTGGCCTCCTGCTGGCCCGTATCTCCAGCCTGTGCCTCTGGGCCCTGGAGATCCTGGGCTGCCCAGTCTTGCACCACCATCTATGTGTGGCCTCTAGCCTGTGCACCTTGTGGGGTCACTCTTAGAAGGGGCCCACCCTCCCAGGCCACCTCCACTCCTGCCCCTCTGGGCTAGCTCCCCGACCGCTAGCTTTGTCCCAGTGCCACATCCTTCTCCTTGATGCCTGCTACTCTCATACCCTGGGAAAGGCAGGGAGACACAGGCTGTTCGTGGGCTTTCTGGAGGAAGAGGAGTTTGGTTGGGAAAGAGGCTGTGCTCTCTGTTATGGGTCCAGCAACTGTACCTGCCCAAGGCCCTGAAGAGCTCGCAGGGGCTGCCCCACAATGCTCGCTCTGCGTGTGGGTCTCTGCCCACCAAGTGTGTTTCTGCCCTTGTGGCCTGGATTTTAGTCTGAGAGGTATTCCCAGAGAGGCTGGGTGCATTGTTCAAAGTCAAACAGCAAGTCCTTGCCAGTTGTCTCCAGGGTGGAACTGAATTGTAAGTGGAGAGCGGCCACAAGGCCGGATCCCCGCATGCCTCAGGGACTATTGATTTGTACCACGAGGGCTGGGCAGGCAGCACTCGGAGAGGACTCCGGTTACTGCTGCCTGCCATCCCACGCTTGGCCTCCACCACTTGGGCCACCTGCCAAGGCCAGGCCAAGGCCAAGGGCAACAGAGGACAATAGCAGACAGCAGGGATGGGGGAGGCTCTTGGAGAAGGTAATTTTGAAATCAGCAGGCAAGGATCAGACACCCTGCCTAGGTCTGACTCTGTCTGAAATGCATGTGATTGAGAACTTGTGGACCAGGGCTGTCTGGCCACTGGAGTCCTCAGAGTGGTGTAGTGTGGGAGCCCCCAGCCAAGGCAGGGGGTGGGTTTAGCTCTGACGCCTGGCCCCTTGCCTGCACCACCTGAGCATTCCCAGGGAGCTGTCTGCTGCCCCAGTGTGTGAAGGCAAGGCCACAGCTCCAAAGCCCCTGCTGATGCCACCTGCCTGTGCCTGCAGAGCCCTGCCCCTCTACCCTGCTGCAGCAGCACATGGCCGACCTGCTGCGACAGGGTCCTGACGTAGCGCCCAGCTTCCTCAACAGCGTCTTGAACCAACTGAACTGGGCCTTCTCTGAGTTCATCGGCATGATACAGGAGGTGGGCCCTGGCGGAGTCCGTGGGCCAGGGTGTTAGCGGGGGGGCCCCGGGGAGTGGTCTGAATGTGATGGCTTCTTGTCTGGATGTCGCTGGCTCAGATCCAGCAGGCAGCCGAGCGCTTGGAGCGTAACTTCGTGGACAGCCGGCAGCTCAAGGTCTGTGCCACCTGCTTCGACCTCTCAGTCAGCCTGCTGCGGGTCCTGGAGATGACCATCACGCTCGTGCCCGAGATCTTCCTTGATTGGGCCCGGCCTACCTCGGAGATGCTGCTGCGGCGCCTGGCCCAGGTGCGTCCACTTGGGCAAGGATGGGATCCTGGGTGTGCCCACTCACCCACCCTCCCACCAACAGACTCTTGCCCTCACAGCTGCTAAACCAGGTGTTGAACCGAGTGACAGCTGAGAGGAACCTGTTTGACCGTGTCGTCACCCTGCGGCTGCCTGGTGAGAACCTAGAAGCCCACACTGCTTGGTCCTCCTGCCCCGAGCCACTGGCCTGGCTGATGGGGGGAAGGGTGGAGGACATGAGCCCGGCCCGGGGCAGCAGGCACACATGGGCCAGACTTTCCCTGCTCTTCATTTAGGCCTGGAGAGCGTGGACCACTACCCCATCCTGGTGGCAGTGACGGGCATTCTGGTGCGTCTCCTGGTGCACGGTCCCGCCGCAGAGTGAGTGTTGGGGGCTGGGGCCCCCAGGGGCCGTGTCTCAGTGGGACTGGGCCAGGCCTCCCCTTGCCTCTTTTCCCGTCTTGGAAATAGAGCTTGGGATAAGTTGGGAAGCCCAGGGCTAGTGGTGAGGTTTGCACTGCCTGGGGAGACAGCGTGGCAGATGGCGTAAGGAGCAGAATCAGGGACCCCAGCGGTACAGGACTGGGTGATGGCTCTGGCACGAGCATGAGCTGCCACCTTTATTCAGAAACTCCAAACCAGTAGGGTCTGGGACACCTGAGGGTCACCAAGTCAGCCCCCACCCCAAGTCACTCACAAGTCCCCTTCCCTGCCAAGGAGTGGCAAGCTGTACAGAGCCCAGGCAGTACCCCGGCCATCAGGCCCTACCCTGCAGGGATGTGTGGTTCCCACCTGTCCCTGCATGGCAGGCTTTTGTGGGCGTGGTCCCACGAGTCTGCAGAATAGGCTGTGCCAGACACCCCTGCACAGAGAGCAAGGCTGGGGCTCACCTCACACCAAACATCCAGGAATCTGGGGCCTGACAGCCACCTACAGACTGTGAAGTTGTGATGTTTCAGAAGGTGGAATGGCAAAAGGGCGAGGGCTGCTGCCCTGCAGTCCCAGGGTCAGGACCCGCCTTGGGGGGCAGCCTGCAGCTGTGGCATGGAGGCTCACCCGTGCAGAGCTCATTTCCTAGTTGCTGGGCACCAGGTGGTGGTGGCAGGCAGGGTGGGCACTAGCGGCCCTCCAAGGCAGGGGAGGGAAGCCGAGGGCCATGCCCTCATCACCAGGTCAAGGCGGAGAGAGCCTGCCCAGCACCCATGGCAATCCCTGGGCAATCTAGTTCGTCATGAGGCCCTCGGAACCTGCAGAGCTGGCCGACTCTGAGCTGGCCTTGATCCGCAGGCCCACCGGGTTATAGAGGTCGAAATCCTCGGCCACAGCCAGCTGCACGCGACCATTGAGACCCCTCCTGCCTGGCTCCAGGAAGACCACATGCTTGTGGACACTGGCCTTGCGGCTGGGGGCCTCTGAGGGCGTGCTGCTGAGCACTGAGGACTGTGCACTGAGCTCCTGCAGTGGGCTCAAGGTGCGAGGCCAGCGGCAACAGCAGCAGCGGCAGGGGTGGCGGCCACAGCGGCAACAGGCACGGCAGGGTGGCGCGAACAGGTAGAGCAGCACCAGCACCAGGCCCACGGCGCAGCCCAGCAGCGTGGTGAAGCCCGTGTTGAAGGCCTCGGGCTCGGGGTGTGGCCAGTGCACGCTCACGTTGTACTCGAGGGTCTGGTTGTGGTGCAGGCGTGGCCCCGCAGCCAGGCACACAAACATGCCTTCGTGCTTCTGCTGCACGCTGCCTATGGCCAGGCTGCCATCGGCCAGCACCGCGATGCTGCCGTCGTGCGATCCCGGTGCCACCAGCAGCTCTTGCTGCGGGGAAACCCAGGCCACACGGCCAGCCGGTAAGCTGCTATTGCAGTACAGCCGCAGGGACTGGCCCACCTGCGCTTGTAGCTGCTCCTCGGGCCGCTCAAGGCCAGCGGCGGGGGGAGCCGAGCAGTTCTCAAAGACACGGCTGTGCTCAAAAAAGCGCACACGGGATGTGGGCACACTGAAGGCCAGGCACGTGTACTCGCGGGCGAAGTCACGTATGGCACTCAGGCCCCGCTGGTGCCAGCGCTGAAGCAGGTGGTAGAGGCGGCAGTCGCAGGGCAGTGGGTTGTTGTGCAGGTAGAGGCCGCGCTTGAGGAAGGCGGGCAGTGCAGCCAGCCCCGGGATGGAGACGTGGCCCAGATGGTTGGAGGAGAGGTCGAGCACGCGCAGGTGGGGTGCACCCAGGCCGTGCAGGTGATCGAAGGAGAAGGCCGCGAGCTGGTTGGAGCCCAGGTAGAGGCTGCTGAGCGCCCAGAGGCCGTGGAAGGCGAGCTCGTCCAGGCGAGCCAGGCTGTTGTTGAACAGAAACAGGGTCTCCAGCGCGCCCAGCCCGTCGAGGTCGTGGCGGCCAAGTCTCCGAAGGGCGTTAGATGACAGATCCAGCAGCCTCAGGCAGCTGGCGTTGGCGAAGACGCCGTGACCCAGCGCAGTCAACGCGTTATGGTCTAGGCGTAGCGTGTGTAGCCGGGAGAGGGGCGCCAGCCAGCCAGGGCGCAGCTGCTGGAGCGTGTTGTGGCCCAGGTCGAGGTCTGCAGTAGTAGCAGGTAACATGCCCGGCACATCCTGTAACCCCAGACCTGCGCAGCTGAGCAGGTCAGCGGCACAGACGCACTTGTAGGGGCAGTTATGGGGCACAGGGGTCGGGGAACCGGCAGCGTCCAGGGCGCCTAGCTGGGCAGGCAGCATGCACAGCACCGTACCTGGCAGCAACAGCCAGGCCATGGCGGCCAGGGACGGGGCAGGGCAGTGGTGCACAGGGCACAGCCCCTGGACTCACCCGCACGGCCCGTGGCCAAGGCAGCACAACGCGGGCTCCACCCGCTCGGGCCGTGGCTCTTGCGAGGTCGGGCAGTGCTCTTCCCCGGCTTGCACTCTGCCGGCTTGCACTCTGCCGGAGCTCCCCTGGCTTAAGTACCCCGGAGCGGGCGGGGCGGGGCGGGGCGCCCGGCTTCCATTGGCTCCAGCCGCCAGGGGCGGGACAAGCCGCCGCCGGCAGGTTTCCTGGGCGCCCTGGCCGCCGCAGAAAGCGTCGGAGACCGCGGAAGTTGTTACCGTGTTTATTGAGGCAGCGTTGAAGGGGTCATGTACTGCGCACTTGCACTGATGGACACGTGTAGAATTCTGCTGGGGGAGAGCGGGCTGAGCAGGAGGAAGGGGGTGACAACATCCCTGCCCCAGCCGCCTCTGCTGCCTTCCTGTAGGAAGGAGCGAGCCACCGCCGTGCTCCTGGCTGACCCCTGCTTCCAGCTCCGCTCCATCTGCTATCTCCTGGGGCAGCCAGAGCCCCCCACGCCTGGTGCGGCCCTGCCTGCCCCTGACCGGAAGCGCTTCTCCCTGCAGAGCTGTGAGTGGATCCAGGGCTGGGTCCGGGGAGGTGTGGGGCTGGACATGGTCTGCCCGCAGGGAATAGGGGAAAGCTCAGGCCTGACGCCCCCTCCTGGGCACCAGACGCGGATTACATCAGCACCGAGGAACTGGCCCAGGTGGAGCAGATGCTGGCGCACTTGACCTCGGCATCTGCCCAGGCCGCGGCTGCGTCCCTGGTGAGCTGGGAGCCCAGTGGTGGGTGGTACACGGGCGGCGGGGCTACCAACGCAGGTGGCCTGGCGCCAAAGCCCAACTGCCTTTGCTGCTCCTGTCTGTAGCCCACCAGTGAGGAAGACCTGTGCCCCATCTGCTACGCCCACCCCATCTCTGCTGTCTTCCAGCCGTGTGGCCACAAATCCTGCAAGTAAGTAGGAGCCCGGTATCCAGGGGGGCAGCAGGGGCATGGGGCAGCCCTCACCCGACTCTGCACTTCCTGGCCTTGCAGAGCCTGCATCAACCAGCACCTCATGAACAACAAAGACTGCTTCTTCTGCAAGGCCACCATTGTGGCTGTGGAAGACTGGGACAAGGGAGCCAGTGCCGGCAGCACCTCCTCAGCTGCCTAGCTCCACAGCCTGCACCCCTGCTGAACCTGCCACCCTGCCACCCAGGCCAGGCCCTTAGCTATGAGCTCCTGACACCCTGTGCCCCAGAACCTTGCCCCTGCCCCGCCAACCTCGCCTGTGTGTAGCCTTGGCCCTAACTGTGCCCGAGCTTGACTCTGAGTCAGGGCCACAGCGAGCATTAAATTATTATTCCATACAGCCCTAGCCCTTCTTGGGGGTGTGCCACTTTACATCCACGTGGGAGGGCAGGTGTCCAGCAGCACCAGCCTCTGGAGTGTCAGCCAGTCCGAGGCCTCTGTGGTGCCCAGCCCGGGGTGCCTCACATGATGATGCGGGGCTCAGGCACAGACTCGCCGATGGACTTGTGAGGCAGCACGCTGGCTCCGTTGAGGTAGAGCTCGTCATTGACTATCACGTCCTCACCCAGCACCGTCACGTTCTCCATGCGCACCTTGGGGGCGAGGGGAGGCCTGGTCAGTGAGCCAGGTGCTTTCCTGGCTCCCACAGCCCCTGGCCCCGACTTACCCACTGGCCCACGCGGGAGCGCCAGCCCACAATGCAGGACTCGAGCCACGAGTGCGAGCGGATGTGCGCGTCCCGCAGCACCGTGCAGCGCCGAATGCACACGCCGTCCTCTACCACCACGCCTGGCCCCAGGCTCACGTTTGGGCCGATGCTGCAGTTCTGACCAATGCGGGCGCTCGGGTCCTGAGGGCAGTGGGGGAGTGGGGAAGGTGCCGGCCGGTAGGCAGTGTGCCGCCCAGGCCCGGGGGGGCTGCGAGGGGCGGGCAGCAGCTCACCACGAGCACGTTGCCCACGATGCCTGGCCCTGAGCACAGACGCTCAGGCTGCTTCTGCCGCAGTGACTGCAAGAAGAGGCACATGCCGGTGAGGAAGTCCTTGGGCTGACCGATGTCCATCCAGAAGCCTGCAGGCAGTAGGGCCACGTCAGGGGGCTCTGCCCAGCCCTGACCCATGCCACCCCACTCCCGAGTGGCTTCCTGCCTCACCTGGCAGCTCCATGGCATACAGCTGCCCCTCCTGGGCCATGACTGGGAAGATCTCCTTTTCAATGGATGTGGGCTGCAGCTGTGGGGGGCGGGCAGTGAGCAGGGTCCCCACAAGGGCCACCCCACCCTGCTGCAGGCCAGCTGGCCGTTTTCTCGTCCCCTCCCCACCTGGATGCGTCGCAGCACGGCCGGACTCAGGATGTACATGCCTGCGTTGATCTTATTGGACACGAACACCTGTGGCTTCTCCACAAAGCGGTGAATGCGGCCGGTGTCGGCCTCACACACCACTACGCCGTACTTGGAGGGCTCCTCCACCTTGGTCACCTGAATACATGGACACCTCAGGCCTCCGCTGGCATAGCACCGTGCCCGTGCCATGAGGGGGCTGGGGATGCCACGGCAGGCAGGCAGGCAGATGGGTCTCTCACCAGAATGGAGCCCTCCTGGCCATGGTGTCGGTGAAACTGCACCATGGCCTGGAAGGGAAACTCGCAGATGACATCACTGTTGAGGACGAAGAACGGGTCTGGGGTCTCAGAGAGCAGGTCCCGGGCGAGCGCCAGAGGCCCAGCTGGGGGGAGAGGACAAGGGTCGCCCTGTGGAGCGCGTGAAGGGCTTGGCTGGTGCCGCGCGGGCCCTTCTGCCCACTACTTACCTGTGCCCAGGGGCTCCTCCTCGTGGGACATGGAGATGCGGATCCCCAGCTGGAGGGAGACAGCAGCGGTCAGGCCCGCCCTCCCGTCCAGGGGGAGGGGCTGGGCAGGCCCCGGGGGGAGGGCTGGGTCGGGGCCTCACCCGCTGCTCCTGGGCCTTCATCTCCTTCTCCAACACCTGCGACATGTAGCTCACGGCCAGGATCACATGGTCCACACCTGCCTGTGCACCGAGCGGCGGGCGGCCTCAGCAGGGGCGGCCCAGGGAGCCCCCGCCCCGGCCCCCGGCGACCCCGGGTCTTACCGCAGCAAGGGCCTCCACCTGGTGCAGCAGGATGGGCTTGTTGCAGAAATCCACGAGAGGCTTCGGCGTGCTCAGCGTCAGCGGCCGCAGCCGCGTCCCGTAGCCGCCCACCAGAATCAGGGCCTTCATGGCGCCCGCGGCCGGCGGCCGAGTCCCAGGCACCGAGGCGGGTCAGCCCACCGCACCGGCCCCGGCCAGACTCGCCACCTGGGCTCCACGCCGCGCCCTCTCTGCCGGACGCCGGGTCTGGACCCGCCACTGGCCAGCAGGTGACACGGACAGCGGAGGCGAGGGTCGCGACCCGGAACTCAGGCAGAAGCCGGCGCGGGTGGTGACGTGTCCTTCAGCGGACCAATAGGCTGTGGCTTACGTGGCAGGGCAGCAGGCGTCAGAGGCTGGCGCACGGAGCTGCGAAGCACGTAACCAATGAGAGGCCAAGCACGCTCGGCTGCTATGGGGACGGAAACGTGGACCCAGCGGGTCAGCCACTCATTGGCGGATCCAAAGGCGGAACTGGCGCCAGGGGCGTGGCTTCGTCCCGCCGAGGCCCCGCCCCCGGGCGCCGGCCTGGTCCTCCCTGAAGCCGCGGGGGTTGCACAAAGACGCGGAAAAGCTCGTTTTTAGCGGCTTTATTTTGACGTACACGATCTCAGACACAAGCGGGGCGGGCAGCGCTGGATGTACAGACGGGGGCGGGCTCGGCCCAAGCGACCCCTCCCACACGCAAGACCCCGAGGAAACGCGGCGGCGCCACGTAGAGCGGGACGCGCCCCGGTGGCGCGGACAGGCTTAGTTTCTATGAAAGAGCAGGGAGCGTAGAAACGACGTCCCCCGGGAAGCAAAGGAGCCGAGTTCTTCCCAGGGTCCTCCACCCCTCCCCCCGTAAAAACTTAAATCAACGCAAACAGAACCACATGGTACAGATTTAAAGTTCAAAGCAGTCGGTGTGGAGGCCAGGTGTGAGCGCGTGAGCAGCAGCTACGAGCGAGCGCAGCCCCTGGCTCCGGCGGATGCCCACGCCCATTGCACAGGCCCAGAGAGAGGCGGAACCCCGGCAAGTGGTCGCGCTGGTCCCCTTCCTGTTTAAGCACCGCCACCCCACCCAATCACTGGGGACTGGTGTCGCCTCATCCCAGGAAAGCAGTAGCGTGGGGTCACCTGAGTGCCCCAACCGGTGATCCCATGTTGCACTTTGGTCCCAAATTGGGGCGGGAGGAATGGGCGCTCTAGCGAGGGACAAGGAGAAGCAACAGTGGCCGAGCCAACGTGTGCACGCCCACACCTCACCACCACCTCTAGGCGGGCTGTAGGTGTCAAAGTGCTGAAAAGAGGGACCCCGCCCAGGAAGTGGCAGGAAAACACTGAATGTGGGTGAATACAGCCCCACCCCCCGCTGTGAGCAGCACAACAGGGCACAATCTTCCCTAAATCTAAACTGCCGGACCCAGCACATCCCGGGCAGCCCCAGACCCTCTGTCTTACCCCTACCCTGCTAGGGAATGACTGTCTATGCTAAAGAAGCCACAGAATGGTATAGGCGAGCAGATGGTCATTTCTGACCGCCCATGAGCAAGCTGCCCCTCCCAGGCCCAAGGATCGGGAACCTGCCCCCAAGGGCACCGGGTCAGAGGGCTGAGCATGGGGATCCTTCAAGGAACCCAGGTGCAAAGCTGCACTTCCAAAGACCAGGAATTCATCCTTCAGTTACCAAGGCCTACACACAGGCCAGCAGGTTTATCTTTAATGCCAAAACAAGTCCCAAGTGACAGTGGTGGCCTGCAGGGTTAGAGAGTTTGTTGCGACACTGGCCTAGTGCCATGTCACCTGGCCATCTGCATCAGAGGCAGGTTTCTGTGCCACTAAAGGACGGGGAACAAGAATGATGAAAATGATGGGAGAGGAAGGTTGGCACCTTGAGTATCCCCTGCCCCTGTCAGTGCTAAAGGCCAGACCCCAGACCCCGGGCACGGTGCTGGGCCAGCAGGGACATGCCACCTACAAGCCATCCTGTTACCAGGTCGCTGGAAACGGCAGCGCCTGCTAAGGAAGGGCACGGGGCAAGGCTCACCTCAGAGATTGGCAGGAGATTCGTGCCGAGGAGAACGTGGAGAAAATCAGGTGCTGGAGATCAAGGCTCCTCCCCAGGGGAAAGCTCCCAGAAGACAGCACTGGCAAGTGAACAGACAGACAAACTGAGGGACCAGGGACTGACCAGGCCAAGCTCTCATTAGCACACAGTTGAGCACTTGCACCCAAGGCCCCAGGCTCTCGGGAAAGTTTCTCCTTCAGGTCCTGGGAGTCTCCCAGCAAGCTGCTGCACTGAGCGGGGCCTGGAGAAGGGAGACCCTGAGTGGACCACAGCCCTTGCCCCTTGGCAGGAGCGGCCCACAGAGGCAGCACAGCTGCCCAGACTAGAAGCAGTGGCCCCCAACCCTCAGAAGGCAAGCTGCAAATACTTTTTGGGCCAGGGCCACCAGAGACCCCCGAGGCCAGCAGAGCTGTCTCCTTCGGGGAGGGGGGCAGAAAGGAGTGACCTCCTTAGGCATGGGATCCTGGTGAGACTGACCAGGTTTGCAGGCAGAGGAGCAGGTTCATGTGCCAATGGGTAACCAAGGAACCCAGGGCCTGCCCACTGCCATGAGCTGGCTTAAGCGCAACCTCTTGTCCAGCCCCGTGCCAAGGGCAGAACCGAGAAAGATGCTGTGCGCAGTGAGCTTGGGGGCACCCAGAGGGCACCTCTTAAAGAGCTGGTTGACCCCTACGGCACAAGAACGGAAAGCCCCGAGGCGGATGGCTGACCCCCCCCCATTTCAGAGAAACAAAGGATGAGGGGGCATGGAACAGCCCTGTGCCAGCCCAGGGCTTCACCCTACAATCACCATGGCCTGTAACCACAGATCCAGGAACAGCTATCAATGTCCAAGGGCCCCCCGTACCTGCTGCAAGCCCACCAGGGCATCTCTGCCTTCCTAACCAGCCTGGACACAGCATACAGAGCTAAGGAGCCTGGCCCAGAGGACATTATGTTCTGCCCTCCTTCCATCTTATATATATGGATTCCAGGCTACAGCTAAAAACATTTCTTTTAGTTTACACCAAAGAGAAATATAACCCTTTAAAAGCAAGTCTGTTGTGTCCTCACGGCGAGTTGAGAGCAATGGTCCCTGCCTGTAGCTGGAGAAGAGGAGGTGCTGGGGGCCCTGTACAGGCCTACTGATTCTCATCTCGCATCTGCTCCATGATGCTGATGAGGCTCTCCAAGCCGAACACGTAGCCTCTGTCGGGCCCGTCGTGCACAGTGGGGTCATCCCGGAAGCCCTTGAATGTGCTGTGTGCAAAGTCAATCATGCGGACATCCACCTTGGGTGGAGAGGAAGGGCCTGCGTCAGGACTGGCACTGCTGGGGCTGGGCACACTGGGTGATGCCACTTCAGGGAGCCCCATGTCCAGGTGCTTGAGGCGCATCTCCGATCGACACTCCTTGCCATCATAGATGACAAGCAGGGAACTGGAGTAGAAGCGATAGGAGGCCTGCCGCTCCAGTACAGCCTTGAGGCCCCGCAGTTTGCTCAGGATAGGCTCAAAGAGGTCACGTCGCAGGTCCAGGCCGTTGTGCAGGTACTGATAGAGGGCATTGCGGAAGCCTTCAATGGAGAGCCCTCGGCCATAGTACTTGTTCCTGCAGAGGTAATGCCCTGTGTCCAGCTGGTACACCTGAAACCCCAGAAAACAGGGTGAGTGCCAGGGCAGAAGGCTGCTCTCACCGTGCACAGCGGGCACCCTCCAGATGGCGCTCCGACCAACCCAAGGCCCTCTGCTCCCCGCTGCCCTGGCTAGGGCAGCCAAGGCCACACCTCAGGTCCACAGCACAAGAAGCCAAGAGAACACCAGGAGCAGGTATCACGCAGCCTGCACCTCGTGCTACGGGGCTCAGTTAGTTCTACCTTAGAAAACCTTGGTCAATACACGAATTCCTCTTGTCTTAAAGTTGAGGCAGGAGTAGGAGTAGTTGAGTCTAGGAGTAGCCCTGGACTTGGAGTCCAGCTCAAAGTCAGGAGACAAGGACAGAAGGGTTCAGGGGACACATCCTCAGGAGCTCAGGAAGAGCCTGTGGCAGGCAGGCACAGGCACAACCAGAAACACAGACGGCAGCATCGGGCTCTCCGGAGGCGACTCACCTGCATGCCACAGACCCGGACGCCCAGTGTGGCAGACGTGCTCTGCTCGCACTTCCGCATCTGCCGGGCTGCCTTTTCAGCTGACGCGTCGTCGCCATGCTGCCGGGTGCCCATCTTCAAGTCCAGCACACAGGGGTACTTGAAGTGGTGCACCACATTCTCCAGCAGCAGGAACTCTGAGTTCTGGTCAAGGAGCACAGGCACAATCTCCCACCACCTGACCAGCCTGGCCCAACTGAGCGCTCCACACCCCACTGCCTGTCCCATGGGGGTCACAGGATCTGGCTTTCTGCACACCATACATCCGTTCACACTGCACAGCCAGCACCATCACCCACATGTAGAACTTGTTCATCTTCCTCGGTCGAGCCTCCATGTCCACTGAATGCTAATTCCCGTTCTCCCTCCCCGTAGTCCCTGGGGACCTCTGTTCCTTCTATCCGCAGCGCTGTGAACTTGTCTATTCCAGGTCTCAGGTATAAGTGCAATCATATCTGCCACTTTGTGTCTGGCTAGCTCACTCAGCATAATTATGTCTTCAAGGTCCATGCACATTATGAGCATGTATCAGAAGTCGTAATTCCCCACTGCATGGCTACACTATACCCACTGATGATGTCTGCATTTTATCCTCTATTTCAATTTTACAAGCGACTCATAAAAGAAACCTTGGACACATTTGCCCATCAGTAAAGCAAGGCCCTCTGCAAGCCTTGAGCTAACCCTAAGAGCTAAGAACGAAATCTTGGCTGCATTATGACAAATGAGGAGATTCAGTTCTAACACACTCTAACAGGAATGTTCAGAAAGAGCTGGCCCTCCTGCGATTTCCAGCAAGCTCTATACATATTCAAATTTACTATGAGCAGCACCTTCTGCTCCAAAGGGCACTACGGTCCTAACATCCCAGCATTTATATTCATATCTTCAACCAAATACAGGCTCTTCACAACCATCTTTCTTTAAACCTTGTGAAGACACAGACTTGCCTCAGGTCTACCAAAGGACACGGAGGCTGTCGGCCAGGGCTGCAAATCTCTTCTGGATGCTAGGCTCTTGTATCCTGGAGGCCATCCAGTACCACTCTGAGGATGGACATTTTAATGCCTCCCAATACTTTGGAAAGAAACTTAGAACATTACATTTGGCTTTTAATCAAGCCCATCACCTGGAGTAGCCTATAGACAAGCAATGACTGAAGCTGGAGGGGCTGCAGAACCCCTCAAGGACGCCTGAGAGTGTGGGCTCGAGCCTTGCCTGGCTCACTGGCTCGGGACACACAGCCTCACCCTGTGCTTCTGCACCCCCCGCTAAGATGGCTGTGGATGCTGACTGAGTGGCTGCCTGGGAAGCACCTCTGTTCTCTCCTTCAGCATCTCAGGATTCGTGCTCATGTACCTGCTGCCTCAGCACAACACACGTAAGACTTCCCATTCCACAAGACTTCTTAGCATCTTAAAGCTAGGGACAAGCAACCAGGAACAGCACACTAAGCTACCGCCTGTGATGCCAGCATGCCATGTGAACACCAAGCTTGTGCCTTGATAGCTCTACTTCCAATCTAGCTCCTTATAATGTACCTGAATCAGCAGCAGATAATGACCCAAGAGCTTGTACCCCTGATGCCCACATGGGAGACCCAGATGGAGTCCCTGGCTCCTGCAGCCATTTGAGAAGTGAATACACAGATGGGCAATATCTGTGATCTCCCTCTCTATATAACTCTACCTTTCTAATAAACCAGCAATTTTGTGGGGGCAGTATTTGGCACAAGAGTTAGGATGTTGGGCTGACAGGCGTCAATATCCATTTTGGGTTCCTGACCCTAAAAGTTTCAGCTGAAACGAGACCCTGCAAGACAGCAGTGACGGCTCATGCAGTTGGCTCCCTGCCACACACATAGGAAACCTGAACTGAGTACGTGATATTTGGAGAATGAACCAGCAGATGGCAGCTCTGTATCTATATACCCTTCTGCCTTAAATACATTTGAAAATGAATTTTAAAAATTCATTTTAAAATAAAATTCCATTACTTTTTGCTTTACAAGAATAGTATTTATCCTTAGACAAACACCAAAATCAAACAGGCTATTTTTAAATTTATTCTCTGTAAGGTGAGGGACGATATATGCATGCACACACAAACATACGTGTAAATCTGATTCCAGCCACACACTGATCAATGTGATAGCCACAAGCCACATGCAGTGATCTATACGTAATTAAATGTAAATTTTAATTAAAATTTCAGTATGCTTGAGTCACAGAAGCCACATTTCAGCTACTCAGTGTGGCCGGGGACTATCACACAGAAAAGCCTGGGGACACAGCACTTCCTTCAGCACACAGCATGCACGTCCAGGCTGTCAAGGCGCAGGAACCACCAGTCAGTGTTTCTATCTGAAAAGCATGTGGGAAAAACAACATGTTCATGACAGTAAAAGAGGAACCTAGCAAACAGGGAAATGAGATTAGAGAGAGTCCCTGCAGAGAGAAGGCCTTCAGCCGCAGGCCTGGCAGGTGGTCCCAGGAGGCCTGGCTGCAGGTGCCAACAAGGATACTGTAGAGCTTGCGGTCCTTGGACTCGGAGCGCATGCGGCTCAGCTGCTGCTTGTGGCAGCGCAGGCTCCACGGGTTGTGACTGATCTTCTCAGAACCCAGCCCGCTGTTGCCATCCAGCATCTGGAAGGGGACGTCCGAGTGGCAGTGCAGCTCTACCTTTGGGCTTTTTGCCTCCTGGGAGCTAGGAAGAATGAGCACACACAGAGCATCAGGGGCCTCCCTGCACAGCGGAAGGGACACGTGGGCCAGGCTTCATCCGCCCCCGCGCCATCCCTGCGGACAGGCGCTTCAAGGACTCAGGATAAGGGAGTCAACAAAGGTAACCAAATGGGCAGGTGGTGTGTCCTACATTAGGAAAACTGAAAAACAATTCTTCATGTCTCTTCTGGAAAATTCAGAAGCTCTGTAAGAGAAGCCTGATCACTGCACAGAACAGGACCTTGAGCCTGGACACGGGTGACCCTGATGCTATTCTGCTTCTTAGCTTTTCACTAGCTAACTCATGAAGCACCTTCTGCACCTCTGGAGAACAATAATAAGCCCAGAGCAAGCCCACTTTAAGAGCTGCTGAGAAGGGCCCAGCTCAGTGGCCTAGTGGCTAAAGTCCTCACCTTGAAAGCACTGGCTGGAATCCCATGTGGTCGCCGGTTCTAATCCTGACAGCCCTGCTTCCCATCCACCTCCCTGCTTGTGGCCTGGGAAAGCAGTAGAGGACAGCCCAAGGCCCTGGGACCCTGCACCCATGTGGGAGTCTTGGAAAAGGGTCCAGCTTCAGACTGGCTCAGTGCCAGCTGTTGAAGCCACTTGGGGAGTGAATCATTGGACAAAGGATCTTCCTCTGTCTCTCCTCCTCTCTGTATATCTGACTTTCCAATAAAAAAATAAATAAAATATTTTTAAAAAGAGTGTACACAATCTAGGAACAAAAAAAAAGAGCTGCTGAGAAGAGAACCAACTGCTGTTACACGGGGCCTAGATCAACACTGTGTATCACTAGGATGACCAACTCAGGGTTCACAGTCACCAGTCAGAATAAAGACTCTTGGGGTCAAAGTAGGAGCACTAGATGAAAGCTTCTGTATCAGGGTCATGGCATGGCTGCTTGGGACCCTGAGCCCACGTGGGAGACCTGGAAAAAGCTTTTAGCTCCTTTGGATCAGCTCAGCTCCGGCTGTTGCGGCCACTAGGAGAGTGATCTAAAGGACAGAATATCTGTCTCTCCTCCTCTCTGTAAATCTTTCAAACAAAAATAAATCTTTTTTTTTAAAGAATTTATTTTGTTCGAAAGATAGATTTTTAAAAATCTCTTCTATTTATCCGAAAGGAAGAGTTTGAAGTCTTCCACCTGCTGGTTCTTTACTCAAATGGCGACAATGGCTGGGCCTAGGCCAGGCCAAAGCCAGGAACCAGGAGTTCTAGATCCCCATGTGGGTGCAGGAGCCCAAGCATTTGACCCATACCCACTGCCTTTGCAGGCTGCATCAGCAGGGAGCAGGTCTGGAAGTGGGACAGCTGTGCCAAGAACCAGTGCCCATTACAGGATGCCTGCACTGAAGGGGACGGCTCTACCATGCCACAATGCAGGCCATAATTTACCTTAATTTATTACTTTTTACAATTTGGCATTTTGTTTTCTTAAAGTATATTTGCAAAATTGTAAAATATCTCTACAAGAGGTAGCTTTGTGGTGTGACAAATTAAGCCTCACTTACCATTCTGGTATCTCATCCTGGAGCGTTGTGGCTGCTCTGCTTCCCATTCAGCTCCCTATTACTGCAACTGGGAAAGCAGCAGATGACAGCCCAAGCGCTGGTGTCCCTGGCAGCCATGTGGGAGACCCAGATGGAGTTCTGGGCTCTTGGCTTTGAACTAACTCAGCTCTGGCCATTGCAACCAATTAGGCGGTGAACCAGCAGATGGAAATTATCTGTCACTATCCCTTTCATACTAAATAAATACATAAATCCTTATCTAGCACTACCATACTTCAGGATATTTTCATCACTAACCAAAGCAAACCTTGTCAGCAGTGGTAGTTATTCTTCCCTCCTCGCCATCCTCAGCCTTTTGATTACTAACAGGAAACAAGCACCAACTGGTTCTCTCTCTGTGGATCTTCTGAAAATGTTACATAAGCAGGGTGATTAGTCCACTATGGACTAGTCCTTTTCAACCTTCCATCTTGTGTGCAAGACAACAGAAGGCCAGGGAAGGACCAGGTACAATGGCTCAATGGTTTGTATCCTCACCTTGCAAGCACTGGGATCCCATATGGGCACCGGTTCATATTCCAGCAGCCCCACTTCCCATTCAGCTTCCTGCTTGTGGCCTGGGAAAGCAGTTGAGGACGGCCCAAAGCCTTGGGACCCTGTACCCACATAGGAGACCTGGAAGAAGCTCCTGGCTCCTGGTTTTAGATTAGCTCAGCTCTGGCTGTTGTAGCCATTTGAAGAGTGAACCAGTGGATGGAAGATTTTTCTCTGCTTCTCTATAAACTCTCATCTGCCTTTAATAAAAAATAAAGTTTTAAAAATATCTCTTTTTATTGCAAAGTCTTAAAAAACAAAGGACAGAAGGCGAGGGAACTTGCTGCCAGCAGGGGGCATTCTTGCTTCAAAAGGGATGAAAAAGTCTCACTCTGAGCCAGGTACAGACTAACCCAGGAAACAGCATCACTGAACATGACAGAGAGATAATGCTGTGGGGAGCTCAAGGGCACCAGCCACCTGCCCCAACCGCAAGTCCTGCTTCCCTTGTGTCAGGGCTCCAGGGATGTCCAGAATACTTAGACCAGGAGGGTATGATAGGCTCCTGCAGCTCTGCTCGCCCCCACTTACCTCTCAGAGGCTTCAAGTGACAGGGACCCCTTCTCCTCCTTGTGGTCACTGCCACTCCCAGACCGGTGCAGGCTGCGGCGGGAGTGCTTGCGTCGAGGCTGTTCTCGTTCGGGGGTGTCATCCTGCTCCACAGTCTCACTTTCCACGTATGGGTAAGCCACCAAGTTGATGTAACCGTCACTGTCCCCCTCAAAACAGACAGACACCACACCTATTTGGGAAAAGAAAAAAAAGGGAAGCAGTCAACACACAGCTACACAGATGGGGTGTGTAAAGCTCATCGTCACACTGGCTTTCCCATAACACATATCACCTGTCCTCCGTCAACTGCACACTGATATGCAGTGACAGACTGCAGATACCACCCTCCCACGGAAGTCTGCTCTTTTACTTTGAACTTGGATAAATCTGAATTTCATATTGTCCTGTTATTATTGTTCAAGATTTTGCTGATGCTTTTCCAAGCTCTACTTTTTCCTAATAAAAGGATTTACCTGCCTTGAGACAATGATCAGCCATAACCCCCTCACAGGGCAAATGAACAACACACCCAGGACTGCTGGGTCGCCACGGGCCGCTGACTGACCTTTGTACTCAGGGGTGAACTCCTTCATTTCTGGAGGGAGGGATTCGTAGAACCGCTGTTCCCGGGAGATGAGGGGCTTGCACACAGTGTGGTCGTCGTAGCGCATCATACTGCTGTGGCCGCCCACCTGGTGGATGAAGGGTTCCAGCAGGACTCCCCGGTCTCCAGTTCGACTTGCGTTCTTGCCATACTGCCCCACTTCCATGGTTTGACAAACACACATTGCGTTGGGGGCCAGTTGCACACTGAGGGCAGAGGATGCAGCACATGGGCCACAGGAGCAGAATGAGGTTGTCGATTCTGGGGAGCTGAAAGCCAAGATCTGTTCAGCTTAGGATTATGCCCTGCAGAAGAGAGAAGAGGAGGCAATCAAAATGTTTGGCAAGTCGCAAGTCACAACTTCCCTTAGAGCTCCATGAATGACGATAAAAACTATTTTGTTGACCCACTGCAATGGCCTAGTGGCTAAATTCTCATTGCGGCCACTTGGGGAGCGAACCAGTAGATAGAAGATCTTTCTGTATCTCTTTCTCTCTGTAAATTTGGCTTTCCCATATTAAAAAAAAAAAAAAAATGTCAAATGCCTACATTTCTTTTTCACTTTGACTCTCAAATAAAATAAATCTTAAAAAACCAAAATGATGGAAGCCAAAACAGCAGTTATTCTGGGAAACACTGATTAAGAAGGGGACAAAGATGAGGATAACATGAAAATACTGAAGAAGAAAATCTATTGGCCACACAGTCTGTTGAATGTCACTGTAAGTCAGACTAATGACAAGGGGGAGAAGACAGTATTCCTTTCTATACTAGCAAAAAAGTAGAATATGGGGATGCCTTTTAAATAGATCCCATTCAGGCCCGGAGCAGTAGCATAGTGGTTAAAGTTCTCGCCTTGAACACCCCGGGATCCCAGATGGGTGCCTGCTCATATCCCAGCAGCCCCACTTCCCATCCAGCTCTCTGTTTGTGGCCTGGGAAAGCAGTTAAGGATGGCCCAAAGCCTTGGGACCCTGCACCCATGTGGGAGCTGGAGGAGGCTGAGCTCCTGGCTCCTGGCTTTGGATTGGCTCAGCTCCAGCCATTGAGTCCTCTTGGGGAGTGAATCAAGAAACAGATCTTCCCCCTCCATCTCTCTTCTCTGACTTTGCAATAAAAATAAATCTTAAAAAAAAAAAAGTGTGACATTCTGGGGTCAATAAATGGCACAGCATGTTAAGTTGCTGACTGACATACCAACATCCCATGAGTAGCCACTTCTGACCCAGTTTCTGCTAATGTGCCTGGGAAAGCAGTGGAAGACGGCCCAAGTGCTTGGGTCCCTGCCACCCACATGGAGCTACTGTCTTTCGCCTGGCTCAACACCAGCTGTTACAGCCATCTGGGGAGTGAACCAGGGGACAGAAGATCTCTTTGTATAACACTGCCTTTCAAATAAATCTTAAAACAAAAATTCATTGGTCCCCAATAGTGTCAAACCCCTCTCTGCTACAGTCTTCCCCATCCAACCCCACTTCCACAGCTGCTCTCACCAAACACGTGGCAGTCATTCTGAATTCCTCTTCCGTCAAACCCCTCCAGAACATCGCAGAGATTTCAACCATGTTACTACCTTCCCATCACTGCCACTCTCACTTCCTGACTGCTCTCCCTGCTGGCCTCCCAACAGCTCCCGCAACACAGCAGTCACAGTGATTCTCCCACGACAGTCAGAGTGCATGACTTCTGTTTTAAGTTGTGCAGTGGCTCCCAGCTCACAGCGAAAAAAGCCAACTCCTTCCCATGTCCCACAAGATCTGTATCCCCCACATTCCTTCTGACCTCATCTCTTACCCCTTCAGTCACACTAGCCTCCTAGCTAATCCTCACACACTAAAATGCAAGTGCCTAGGCTCTCCGATGTCCATTTTAGCAGGACCTGTTCTTTATTTTTCTCCCTAGCTTAACATTCCTTTACTCTGTTTTGATGACCACAAATCAATCTGTTACTAAGATTAACTCACTGAACTGATGGAGAGGTAGAGCGCCGGTCAGGCTCACAGGATCCCAGAACACAAGACTCAGCAGGTCACTGATCAGTCTGTAGCAACACCTTGACCTCAGGGTCTGCTTTAAAGGCTTTGTTGTGGTTTACAGGAATTCTAGGCCCTAAGCAAAAAATAACAGCCAACTGCAGATAGCATCCAGAATAATCAGAGCTACCAGCAAAATCTCCAAAACACTACAATAGCAATTCTACCACCAACCAATCAAAAAGGGGTGACACACAGTTTGGCCTGCAGATCAGCAGACACACTTCCCGCCTCCTCAGTCTAAAGGGTTCTTTACCTTTACTTTCTCCTACCACTGCTGTGTTGGTGACTGCCTTACTGAATTTTGGGCAGAGACCTAGGTTTTGGGGTTCCGCAACACCAGGCTTATTCCCACCTGAGGGTCTTTGTACTAGCCATTCCCTCTACTAACATTTTGTCCCCGAATACAAGCACAGCTTGATCAAAGTCTATTTTCAGCAGTTTTTTTTTTTAAGATTTATTTTATTTATTGGAAAGTCAGATAAACAGAGAGAAGAGACAGCGAGATCTTCCGTCCGATGATTCACTCCCCAAGTGAGCACAACGGCCAGTGCAATGCCGATCCCAAGCCGAGAACCAGGAACTTCCTCCAGGTTGCCCACATGGGTGCAGGGTCCCAAAGCTTTGGGCCGTTCTCAACTGCTTTCCCAGGCCACAAGTAGGGAGCTGAATGGGAAGTGGAGCTGCCGGGATTAGAAAAATGTGATGATCCTAAATCAGTAATAGTGGCAACATAAATTTATGTGCTTTAACTCAAAAAGACTTGATTTATAAGCGAATAAATGAGTTTAAATATACCTAGATAAGAACAGCAACAACAACAAAAATCTAAGCAAAATACTGAAGGCAAAAAAAAAAAAAGACATTTTTTAAGAACAAGATTAAGGTCTTCTTTATCAATGATACCAAAGAAAAACAAAGGCAGTAAAATGAAGCAAAGGTCAAAGCACTTGCTGAACCAAATTAAGGAGTTACAATGTAAGTATGTTTTTGTTATCTGCTTTAATTCAAGAAAACAGCAAACCTAGAAAGTAACAATGAATTTTAAAAAACCTGGAAAAGAAATCGTAATCTCAAACAGACCAGAAGGGGAACAAGGTCAGGATTATTTTAGGAAGAGAAAGGCACCATCTCCAAAGCAACTGAAAGACAATACTCCGATTCTTCAGTCAGGCAGGCACAGACACACAAACTGAAGATGAGCAGGAATGCATTCTGACAAGTTAAAATGCCGATTTCTGTGGTCAAGATTATCCACCTGGGTTTGATATGTAATCTTTACAGAGCAAAAGAAAACACTATTGGTACTTTCATACTTCACATGTAACTGTAAATTACCTCAAGATGTCATAAAAATGGGGCCCAGCACGATAGCACACCAGCTAAAGTTCCCACCTTGAACATGCCGAGATCCCATATAGGTGCCAGTTCTAATCCCAGCAGCTCCAATTCCCACCCAACTCCCTGCTTGTGGCCTGAGAAAGCAGTGAAAGTTGGCTCAACTCCTTGGGTTCTGCACCCACGTGGAAGACCCGGAAAAAGCTCCTGGCTCCTGGCTTTAGATGGGCTCAGCTCTGGCTACTGCAGCCATTTGGAAGTGAACCAGTCTTGCATTATCTCTATAAATCTGCCTTTCAAATAAAAATAAATCTATTAATATATATCCTTTTAAATAAAAATACATTTTAAAAACTGACTTAGAAAGCCAGTATTTCTATTATTTGCTCTAAGTTAAGTAAGGTCATTTAAGCATGAAAAATACGACAAAGTATCATACTCCTTTAATATTCATATTAAAGAAAAAAACTTACAGTTGGAGGGGGCAAGTGTTTCACATAGCAGTTAAAACAGTACTTTAGGGATAGCTCTCTGTCTCCTCCTCTTTGTGTAACTATTTCAAATTAAAATAAATCTTTAAAGAAATTTGCTTTGGACATGTATATCCCATATCAGAGTTCTTGGGCCCCAGGGGAGCTCTACTCTTAAATCCCTGCTCACACACACCCTGGGAAGCAGCAGGTGATGGCCCAATGGCTAGGTCCCTACTGCCCATGGGGGAGACTGAGGGTCAGCTCCCATTTTCAGTTTGGACCAGTCCCAGCAATTGTGGGCATCTGGGGAAGGAACTAGTAAATGGGAAATTCGTCTCCCTCTTGTTTTTCTGATTTTCAAATATTTTTTTAATTAAACTTGCTAAGCTGGTAGTAATATTGTCAAGAATTTTATTTAGCATTAATTAACATATATCCCGGGAAGGTATCAGGTAATGTTTTTGGCAAATATGTCTGATTTTTCACTGTCTGATACAACGCAAAGGGAACATAATAAAGTTACTGAAATTTTAGAACACAATGGTAAGTCACAGTCCCAGGAAAAAGCAACACAAAGCTTGGACTGCACAAATTTGGATTTTGTAAAAACTAACACCCGATTTAATTCCAGAAATAAACATCAGTATGGGCTAGGAGGGAAAAAATACTGAAACAGCTTCAAATCCATAGAAAAAAACTAGAGCAGAGAATCCCCATGGCGTAGCAGGGACACTCAGCCTCTTCACCAGGGTGTGTACTTGAAATCCAGCTTCCTGATCATGTCTCTAGGAGACAGCAGGTATTGGCCCCAAGCACTTGAGCTTTTGCTATTCACAAGACACCTGGCTTCAGCCTGGCCGAGTCCCAGCAACCCAACAACGTGCTGTGGTCGTAGGAGGAGTAAACCAGTGATGAAGAGTCCATCTCTCCCTGACATTTTGTCTCTAAAGTAATTAAATATCTTTTAAAAAAAAAACTGTATAAGAAATATAACCAAGGGTCCGGTGTGGTAGCATAGTGGCTAAAGTCCTCGCCTTGCACACACCGGCATTCCAAATGGGTACCAGTTCTAATCCTGACTGCTCAACTTCCCATCCAAATGCCTACATGTGGCTGGGAAAGCAGTCGATGACGGCCCAAAGCCTTGGGACCCTGCATCCACATGGGAGATCTGGAGGAAGCTCCGAGCTCCTGGCTTCAGACTGGTGCAGCTCCGGCCACTGCAGCCGCTCGGGAAGTGAACCAGCAGACAGTAGATCTTTCTCTCTATAAATCTGACTTTCCAATAATAAATAAATATTTAAAAAAAAAATTAAAAAATAACCAAAACACCATTTTGTGCTCTAAAACATAAGGGAAGGAATCTGATGCCGCCTTACGTTCAAGTCCATTCTTGCCTTTGCATATGATCCTGCAGGCACTGACATAGATTAGTTACAAGGGTGAGACAATTCTTTCTTCCCTACCCCACCTTCACGGATCGTTTCAGATGGATCCCACTGCCACCTGCCTTTAGGAGGAGAGACATTAAGAAACATTCTTGAGTCACACAGGGCTGCGAAATACACCCCTGAACTAGAAGCCAGTGGGCACAGAGCCCCAGAACAACTGGAGAATTCTGACACAGAGACATGCAAATAAGCTTCTTTTATCCAGGGAAAAGATGAGGGATTGTTTAGATGCTGGGTCCTAACCCAGAAGCTGGGGGTAACAACCCTAACCCCAACATCAACCCCAGTCAGGCCACCTGACTGAGAATAAACGGGCAGCAAGAAGCAGGTGGGCCTGGGGAGGTGGGCAGCCTGGGCAGGTGGCCTGAGATGTGCCAGTCCCTCAAGGAAGAGCAACAGGAAAATCCAGGACAAGGAGAGACTGTGGGGCCTGTGAGTCTCCTACCTGTCTACACTGGATTGCTAGGCTGGAAACCTGTGCTTCCCCAGAGGCACTCTTCAAAGATCCTTCTGAAAATGGCTGCGTTAACCAACCTAACAAGCAGGAGAGAGGAGGTACCAGAGGACAAATTTTCAATTAAAGATGTGAAGTATCACAAAGGAAATCAAAATGAAAAGCACAAAAAGATACAAGACACTCAACTGCCCCATGCTTCCCATCTGGAAGATTTCCTGGTCTGCTTTAACGACAAGCCACAGGATGCCTGTGCTGTGAGTACAGGTGAGCCACACCTGGATCAGGTATGTCTCACCCAGCACCTTTACAAATGAATCTAAATATGGGCAAGCCGAGATGTGTAGAAAGACGACACAGACGGTTCTCACTTCACTGGTATATACTCAAAATAAGGTATCTGAAGTACTACAACATGGAATGGAGAGTTTCCTGGATTTATTTTCTACCAATAATACCAAGGAATACCAAAGACAGAACTTTCTGATAACTCAAAAATGTAAAGGGACAGCACCAGGCATATTGTCACAGCCTAGGTTTCTGCACAACCAATTAACTCTGATTCTTTATCTCAGTACTACTGGAATGCAACTAAGACGGGGGCAAACTGACAGGCTAAAGCAGAGGGGACTGGGAGATGAGAACCTCAGGAGACTTCTCACCTGAATAAATGATTTTTTATGATTTTGTTTATCAAAACAAGCAGTCTTGTGACTCATCCTAATTTCCATACCTGTAACACCAGATTTAAAAAGTGAAGGACAGGCCCGGTGGCGTGGACTAGCGGCTTAAGTCCTCGCCTTGAACGCCCCAGGATCTCATATGGGCACCAGTTCTAATCCCGGCAGCTCCACTTCCCATCCAGCTCCCCACTTGTGGCCTGGGAAAGCAGTTGAGGATGGCCCAAACCTTTGGGATCCTACACCCGCATGGGATACCAGGAGGAGGTTTCTGGTTCCCGGCTTCGGATCAGTGCAGTACCAGCCGTTGCACTCACTTGGGGAATGAATCATCAGATGGAAGATCTTCCTCTCTGTATAACTGACTTTATAATAAAAATAAATAAATCTTTTAAAAAAAAAAGTGAAGGTCATTCTAGGTTGGAAAGAAAAAATAAAATCAGTTTTATACAGATAACAGAACAAAATCTCACACCTTAAATCACAAAAAAATTATAGATCAAAAATGATCATGAATATAGAGAAAAAAAACTTCAAAAGATTTACTTATTTTTATTGGAAAGGTGGATCAGATTTACAGAGAAGAAAGCAAAAGATCTTCTGTCCTTTGGTTCATTCCCCAAGTGGCTACCAATGGCCAGAGCTGAGCCGATCCGATGCCAGTAGCCTCTTCCAGGCCTCCCACATGGGTGCAGGGTCCCAAGGCTTTGGGCCATCCTCTGCTGCTTTCTCAGACACATCTAGGGTGCTGGTTGGGAAGTGGAGCAGCCGGGACACAAACCAGCACCCACATGAGATCCCAGCACGCGCAAGGTGAAGATTTAGCCATTGAGCCATCACACTGTAGCCCGACACAAATTTTTCCAAGATGTTCTTGGCAAAACAAATGCAATGATACACAGAAAAACACATGGTAATGCAATAGGGAATGAAAGATTGACACCAGAAGGATCAACTCATGTTATTCATCACACTAACAGAATTGATGAGAAAAATCAAGTAATTGAGTTCCTGCCACCCACACCTATGTATGTATTTCTCTACCCCTGAAATAAATCCAACAGAAAAAGTT